ATATATTTTTTACGAAACATAGGTTGTAGCCAACCAAGGTTGTCAAACCAGTTTATGCCAGTGTGCCGGTTTAGCAAGTGGAATGGTTCAATCAGTGGCACATACCGGTTTGTGCCGGTTCATACCGGTCAATATTACAAATAAAATTATAAATACTCATATTTAAACATGGCATTTAACGTCAATACCTAAACATTTATACTTGAATCCAACAAATAATATCAATATTTAATTTTTATACTCATAAAATAAAAAATAAAATAATTTTTATATAAAAAATTCTCTAAAATAATATTATTTTACTTAGAGATTCATATATCGATCATGCCGGTCATACCGGTGGTGTCACGCCGGTTTTATGACCGGTACGGGTTGAACCCGGTACAACCGGTGACACGCCGACCGGCGTGACAACCATGCAGCCAACCCTGCCGCCTATCCACATTTAATCACATAACTGGTTTATTTTTTCTCAAATAATCAATGTTTCCATTATAATAATTTAGGAAAAGGAGATAGTAGCCAACTGAGGTAGATGAAATTCTCTCTTTGACATAAACATTTTCTTTTGCGCATTCACCATTTATTCAAAGAACAATAAATTTGTTGGAAAAAGTTGTGTGACTAATTTATCATCTCTTCATAATTAAAAAGTACAGACTAATGTTTGTTATTTTTCTTTTTTTTTTTTGCATTCTGGGAGGCAAAAGCCAAGAAGAGAGAAGAGTTACAGGGGTGTAGGGGAATGGGAAAGAGTATTGCGACCAGGCACAATCTGTCGCTGAAAAGAAACTCCTTGGCTGTCATCCCGCAAAATGGGAATCAAACCTGGTGGAGGGTGTGCAATCTCATGTATCCCGTAGGGATATACGAGACTGTGCTTCGAGAGCCAGTCCGCGACTCTATTACCTTCACGGTACACATGAGAGATGCGCACCAGCCAATCCCGGCTGATCTTTCTGCGAATAGCTGCGAGAAGAGTGCTATACGGATGCACCGGATCCTGTCTGTCGTTGATCAACTGAATAGCAAGTTGCGAGTCTGACTCCACCAAGATGGCTCGACATCCTTTATTCCAAGCCAGGTCTAGACCATGATAAAAGGCCCATAGCTCAGCAAGAGATGCTGAAGCTTCTCCAACATTGGCCACGAAGCCAATGATCCAGCGCCCGGTTTCGTCTCTCACTACCCCTCCCGCACCCGCGAGCCCCGGGTTACCGTTGGAGGCGCCATCCAAGTTGAGCTTCACCCACCCGTCGTGTGGCGGTGTCCACGAGATATTTGCCATGATCCTATCTGCTGGAGCAGTCCTCGAACCCATCAAGATAGTAGGTGCGTTCCAAGCCTCGTGCCAAAGCTTAGCTTTCGCAATGATCGAGTGAGCTAAACTCGGCGGACTAAGAGTAGCAGCAGCCCCTTTGAAGCAAAACTCATTCCTATTTTTCCAAATGATCCACACAGCCACACTGAAAAGCGTACTCCACCTGATACCCCCTTGCCATTCATCCTCATCCGCCAGGTTGGAGCGCAGCCAGGCCGTTGCCGAAGAGGTGAAGAAGTTCAGCTTCTTATTGTCGGGGACGTGTCTTGCCCAGAAGAAGCTAGCTGGTGGACAATCCCTTAGGATATGAATTATAGACTCCACCTGCCCACTGCACCTGGAGCAATTTGGAGACGTCGCTATCTTCCTTGAATAACGGAGGGCATTCGTTGCAATTCTCCCCAGACAGGTCAGCCACACGAAACTTCGAATGCGTTCCGGGACGGGGAGGCTCCAAACAATCTTCCAATACTTAGCATCCGCATCTGTCTCCTGGGGCAACAAGGATTCATAAGCAGATTTGGTGGTAAAACTGCCGTTTGAAGAAGGTGCCCAAAACAAAGTGTGCTCTTCCCGTGACAGCTTATCAACCGCAATCCCCATAATCTTGTGTTGAACATCCAGCGGAAGAATATCAGCAAAAAGCTCAGTGCGCCATGATCCATCTTCATTGATCAGATCGGCTACCGCCTCCTCAACTCGATCACTCGGAATAGGCTCCACCACCACATCCTTGAGCGGAACCTGCAAAACCCAGGAATCAAGCCAAAACTTAGTGGAGATACCATTCTTAACATTCCAAGCACAGCCGCTTTTAAGCAAAGAGGAAGCAGCCGTTAAGCTCTTCCAAGTAAAGGAACTTCCCTGAGATGGGCAGAAAAGATTCAAATTCTCTCTCTCGCGCCCATATTTAGCTTTAATCAATTGAGTCCATAGCGTGTCCCTTTCTTTGAGCACTCTCCATCCACTTTTAGCAAGCATGGCTAGGTTCGCTCTCCGGATTGAGCGTAACCCAGCTCCCCCTTGGCTCTTAGGAAGCACCATCTTCTCTCAGGCCACTAGATGTAGCTTCGATCTGTTATCCTCCTCCCCCCACACAAAATCCCTATTGATCCGGTCAATAGATGCACACACTCCCTTAGGTAGCAGCTCCGTATGCATGTGGTAGGTGGGAAGAGAAGAGATAACAGAGCGAGACACCGTCAGCCGAGCTGCCAGGGACAAACGCTTGGCCTTCCAGGGAGCCAGCTTCTTCTGCATCCGAAGAATTAAGCTTTGGTACCTTCCTTTGGTCACTCGTCCATGAATGGCGTGGATGCCAAGGTATCTCCCAAGCTCCGCTTTAAGTGGAATTGCTGCTCTTTCGCTAAGGAGAAGAGCTTTGGATCTGTCCACATTGGGAGACACAAACATCAGAGACTTGGCATAATTCACTCTTTGGCCGGAACTGTCACAAAAATCGTCCAAGCATTTCTTGATAACCCTAATCTGTCTTGTTTCCGCCTCTGCAAAAAGCAGGAGATCATCTGCAAAAAAAAGATGCGTAAGAGGAGGCCCATCCTTAGTAAGCTTTATGGGTTTCCATTGCTTACTGTGGAGGGCCTCATCGATCTTATGAGATAAGCGTTCCATACACCAAACAAAGAGGTAAGGGGAAAGAGGGTCTCCCTGACGGACGCCACGACTAGGAGTGATGGTATCTGAAAGAGAGTCGTTCCAAAGCACCCGCATTCTGTTTTGCTCAACGCAGTGCATGATGCACCTGATCCAAGAGCTGGGGAGACCAACTTCCTTCAGAGTGTCTCGAAGAAAATCCCAACGCAACATATCATAAGCTTTTTCTAAATCGATCTTGAGGATCAGCCCGCCTTTCTTTCCTTTCCTCTTCCTTAACGTGTGGAGGACTTCCTGGACCATGATGACATTATCAGTGGTTTGCCTGCCAGGGATGAAACTACTTTGCCTGGGGGAGACGAGCTTCCTCATGATCGGCTTCAACCTGTTTGTGATTGCTTTGGTGATAGCTTTGAGGCTGACATTGTTGAGAGATATAGGTCGAAGCTGTGTCACAAACTCCGGGTGGTCAACCTTGGGAATAAGAACTACTGTTGACTCTGAGACTTCCGCAGGGAGAGCTCCCGAGGAGAAGAAAGCTAAAGCCATATCTGTCAAAGATTTCCCGACCACTCTCCAGGCTTGTTGATAGAAGGCCGCGTGAAAGCCATCAGGGCCAGGAGCTTGGAAAGGCTTCATATCGAAAACGACCTTGTGCACATCCATGATGGTAAAAGGCCGCAGCAGGCTAAGAAGCTCCTCCTGTTGAAGGCGAGGAAAAGCGTGCTTCGGCATCTTGTCCTCATACACCGAGTCATCCTGAGTATACAGATTGGCGTAGTAACCAAAAACCATCAGAGCTAAATCATGTGGTTCCTCAATCCAATTACCCGCCACATCATGAAGAGCTATAATCTTGTTTTTGCGTCTCTTGATGTTAGCCTGCTGGTGGAAGTAGCTGGTGTTTCGTACCCCAAATTTCACCCATTTCTCCCTAGAACGCTGATACCATATCAACTCCTCTTGCTCAAGAACCTTATCCAGCTCTGCTTCAAGCTTGGAGTGTAGTTTGGCTAGGTTTGGCTGAAAGGTGTCTGTAAGCCGAAGCTCGACCCCTCGAATTCGAGCAAGAAGCCTTTTTTTCCTTTGTTGCACGTTCCCAAAAACTTCAACATTCCATTCCTGAAGGGCATCTCTTAGTTTATGGAGTGCAGTAGGCAAAGTAGACTCCTGGTCCCAAGCCCCTGCAATGGTATCAAGAAGAGTGTTATGAGTAAGCCATGCTGCCTCAAACTTAAAGCCACGAGTAACATGCGGAATTTGCCCCTGTGTAGCAAAAGAAGTAAGAATGGGGTTGTGATCCGAGTTAACACGCGGCAGGTGGCGAACGGTGGTGCTGGGGAAGGCCGAGTTCCACAGGGTGTTGTACAAACTCCTGTCAATTCTACTGGCCTTGTAAGACATCGGATTAGACCCTCTCGTCCAAGTGAACTTAGGCCCTGAATATCCAAGGTCTAGCAGCTCTGCAGCGTTGATTCTGTCATTGAAAATTCTGCATCTCCGCATCGTAGCCACCAAGGCCGCACCCGACTTCTCGGAAGGGGACCGAATGGCATTGAAATCGCCTGTTAGAATCCAGAGGAGAGTGATCTGCTCGCTTTGCTTGACAAGGCTATCCCAAAGCGCCTTCTGCTGACTGTGGCGAGGAGAAGCATAGACAGCAGTGAGCATCCATTCGGCCGCGTTACTTTGAGAGATGCGAAGCGAAATATGTTGCGAGCAAGCCGAAGTTATTTGGGTAGAGAAACGGCGGGCATCCCAGAAGATCCAAATTCCACCTTTGCGCCCTACTGCCTCGACTTGGATCACATCAGAAAAGCCCAATTTATCACAAACTCTATTAGCCGCGTTGCCGCTAACCTGCGGTTCCAATAAAACAACAAAATCAGGTTTTTGATCTTCAATGAACAGCTTTAGTGCTCGGGCAAAAGCTTTGCTACCAGCTCCACCCACGTTCCAAGCAAGAATTTTTAGATTATGTAAAAGGGACATAGACATTAAAATAATGGGATAGAGAAGAGAGAAAAGACAAGATAAAGGAGTCAAGTGGAGCGAGGTCACCAAATTACTGCACTGGAGGAGACGAACCCCCCTCTGCAATTGCCAGGGTTGTAGCATGTTGCTCCTTGGTGTTCATTTCGACAGTCTTTGTATGCACTGCCAAAGCATTCTCTCCAGCAGCATTAGTCCAAGCATGAATTTCTTGAAGGGTGAGGGTCGCCATCTGCGCTCTCGATTTAGACTTTCTGTCCTTGATCGGCGACCAGACCTGCAGAGCTTTGCTCGGATGATCCTTTACTGGTGTGCCCTTTTTGACTTGCAGGCGATCAGATTTCTTACTTTTTGTTCGAGCTCCAGCCGTCGGTTGCGATGGATCCGGTTGTTGGAGGATTTTTGGAGGAGCCTGGACCGAGATAATTTGCATATTGGTACCATTGGGTCCCTGGCTCGTATGGACAACTGGAGACGCGGGCATGCCACGTTTTGGGCTAGCAGGCTTGGTGCTTGCTTTCAGGGACGCCCCGTTTTCCCCCTGAACAGCTGCCGATGTGGAGGCCCGGCTGTAGTCAATGTTGGGCCGAGGCCCATTTGTCTTTGAATTGCCATGTAAAGGCTTGGGTCCCAAAATGCCATGACCGTTGTCCTCCTTGATTATTCCCTTACCTTTGTGAGAATCCTTCCTTGCCATAAGTGAACCACCTCCTTCCTTCCCTGATTGTTCTCCTTTCCTTTCCTGGACATTTGGTCTTTGGTGCGTTGGGATTCTTTGAGTCACCACTTGACTAATATGCACTCCACTTTCCTTAACCTTTGCCACGTCTTTCCCTTCTTTGATGTATTGTCCATGAACTGCAGCCCCAAAATCACTCTCCGACTTTCCTTTTTTCAAAGCCCCCCTTGGATTGCGACGACTTTTTTTGGTAACTAACATCCATGGGCCGAAGCCGGGGTTGGATTCGTCGGCAACAGTTGGGGGGGTCGCCGGAGTTTCCCCGCCGGTGATGACAAGTTGGCTCGGGGTGTTCACTGGACATAGCATCGGGCAGGACGTGGCATTATGCCCGATCTTTCCACACTCGAAGCATACAACCGGGAGATTTTCGTATTCGACCATTTGCCATTTCCCGTCCAGAAAGATACGCGGAACCAAAGGTTTGGACAAGTCTACTTCCACCGCCAACCGATCAAACTTCCTTCGCTGCCGATTCAGAGTATGGTAGTCTAGTTTAATTGTTCGACCAACAAGGTTGCCCAATGATGTCAGAATCTCCTTGTGATAAAAGTGAACTTTGAGCCTCGGTAGTTGAATCCAAACAATTATGGTTTTAGGGAGGGGGTCGAGCACGCCAAAGCTAGGCGTCCATTGTTGTACCGCCAGGTAGTGATCAAAGATGACCCATGGCCCGTCGGTGAGAGCCTTGAAGTAGTCCTGATCGTTGGACAGTTGCACGAGATAACAGGCATCATCAAGGTCCATGATCTCCATTGATCCAATAGGCCGCCATAGCATCCGGAGACGGGAGCATAGAGTAGTGTAGTTGATGCGGAGCCCGAGTAAACGAACAACTAAGGTCTTCTGCCATGGAGCACAAAGCTTTTCCTTGAAGCCGGGGGACAGGTTTAGAGCTGGCTCACCGTTATAGAAGCCTGGGACTAGATCATGCTCCCCCACTGGTGTCCATTGTTGGGTTTTTGACGAGGTGAGATGCCCTGCCCCTGTCACCGCTTTAGCATAGGAAAAGGATTGCGGTTTAAGAGCAGGTTGCGGGGGGGAAGAGGCCTTCTCCGCCATGGTAATGTCCGACGATACTACTAGCCCTTTGCTTACCTACGGGGTATCAGAGCCGATCTTACCGGTATAGTCACTCACCGCCTCTTGTGTGGAACTATGTATCACATCAGGAGAGGTGTTCATCACCATGGTTGCGGGGGCCAGGAGTGTCGTTGATGGTGAGAGATGTGCCGTCGTGGCGTCCGGTGGCCGGCCAGAAGGGGTGAGATCCGGCGCCACAGTCAAGTTTTCAGAGAGAGTATTTATGAAATCAAAATTTAATAGCGTTTGATTGGTGATTAATGGTTTCATTAAATGTCTTTAGAGGAAGAGCGGGTGTACTAATGTTTGTTACTTATTTTACATACTAGTAAGTCAATGTCAACTACATCTGACATGGAGAAATTAATATTAAAATCAATATTAATATTTATTACATTTCTCTCTCTAAAAAGAGAAATTTTTTTTTTTTGCATTACAGAAGGCCGAAGGCCGAAGAAAGAGATTACAAGGGGGGCGCCGAGAGGTTGGGAGGAGAGGAGAAGTCCGCGACTACACGTCGCTCGAAAGTGATACCCATGTTGTCCTCTTGCAGAATACTTCCTAAGCCTTGGGGCGGGTTCGCAAGCTCATGCATACCGTAGGGATAGACGAGACTGTGCTTCGAGAGCCAGTCCGCGACTCTATTCCCTTCCCGGTATGTATGAGAAATGCTCACCAGCCAATCTTGGCTTAGTTTCCTGCGAATAGCTGAGAGTAGAGTGGAGTAGGGATGAACTTGGTCCAAACGGTTGTTAATAAGCTCAATAGCTAGCCTCGAGTCTGATTCCATCTTCAAAGTTCGACAGCCGGTGTTCCAAGCAACTTCGAGACCATGAAAGACAGCCCATAATTCCGCAAGAGCAGCAGACGCCGTTCCTATATTGCCCACAAAACCAGAGACCCAACGTCCGGAGCTGTCTCGAATGCAACCCCCTGTACCAGCTGGTCCTGGATTACCACAAGAGGCACCATCAACGTTAAGAGTATACCAACCTTGAGGAGGGGGCTTCCAGCCAACATTCTGCACCACCCTAGTAGCCGCTCTAGATCTGCTGCCAGGCAAAACCGTCGGAGCATGCCAAGCCTCATGCCAAAGTTTCGCTTTAGCAATGATGGAGTGAGCCAAAGAAGGAGGAGAGAGGACGGCCGCAAGGCCCTTGAAGCAAACCTCACATCTACTTTTCCAGAGACACCAGGTTGCCACCCCAAAGAAAGCAGCCCACGGAATCCCGGAAGGACCTGCTTCTGAGTTGCTAAGATTCTCACGCAGCCAATCGCCCTGCTCTGCACTGAAGAAGGAATGCTGTTTCGCAGTAGGGACATGCCTGCTCCAGAAGAAAAGAGCTGGGGGGCAATCCCGAAGCGCATGGAGAATGCTCTCAGGCTGTCCCAGGCAGCGGACACAATCCGGGTTAGGAGCTGATTTCCTGCAAAAACGAAGTTGATTAGTTGCAATTCGACCAAGACACGTCAGCCAGAGGAAGCTCCTAACGCGCTCCGGGACCGGTAAGCTCCAAATGATCTTCCAATATTTCTCGTCTGGGTCTGCATCGTGCTGGTTAAGAAGATTGTAAGCTGTTTTAGCCGAAAATCTTCCATCGGAGGCCGCATTCCAGAAAATAGTGTCATTCTCTGTCGAGATAGTGTCCAGGGCTGTGCTAAGGATCTTCATCTGGACCTCCTGGGGAAGAAGGTCCGAGTAAAGGTCGGTACGCCAAGCTCCCTCCTGAGTCACAAAATCCGCCACCACGGCGTCCTCCATTTCCCCCGGAATTTGCCCAACCGCTACATCCTTGAGAGGTACCTGCAGAATCCAAACATCGGACCAGAACTTAGTGCGTCTACCATTCTTAATGTTCCACGCACAACCTCTATGAAGCAAATCAGCGGCCTTAAATTAAGTTTGAATTGATAGTGATTGTAATTAATATCACTTGAGGAGAGAGAAATGTAATTCTCAACACATAATTAATATCATCTGACAGAACCAAATTTCTCTTGAGACATAACGAAAGGTTATCATCAAGGTTGTCAACTCGCGGGTCGACCCACTTAGACCCTGGCTCAGTGAGAAAAACAGGTCGCACATACCTGCCGGGTCGACCGCTACAAGGTACCGGGTTGGATGTCAAATTGTGTCATTTGTTCTTTAGTTTGAAATGCTCCTATTTTCCGATTTTTCCTTTTCGCCCAACTCTTTGGAATTCTAAGTTGAACATTTGAATATATATGTTATATAAGTGTGTGTGAATTTTCACTATATGTTTGATCTAAGTACGACATATTATTTTGGTGGAATATTATATGTTATAACTCATATGTTAGATTAGATTTGATATAATTTATCATGATGAGTACAATATAATGACTCTTTATATATTTTCGGGCTAAATCAGACTAAAACACGCGACCCATTAACCCTTGACCCACTAGCTCCACCCGGTTCGAATCAGCCCACGGGTTGACAACCTTGATTATCACTGACCCGTATCTCATCTAGGGATGGCAATGGGTCGGGTTTTGTCAAACCCAAACCCATGGGTTTATCCGCCAAAAAAACTCGGGGTAAAACTCGTTGGGTTTGAAAAACTCAAACCCAACCCAACCCGCTGGGTATCCGCGGGTTAATGGGTACCCGTGGATTTTTGTAGTAAAAATTTACAATAACAAGTTTCTTTCAAAAAAGTGTAACATCAATTTTTTCATACAAATTAATCATACAAAAAACATCAATCTAGAGCATACAAGCAAACCGCAAATGATCAATACAAATTGTTCAAAATTAAAGATAAAAATATATAAACAATAAGATTAATTGAAAACTTCTTCCTCGTCAACTAAGTTTATTCACTCTCCACTTCATAATATCAACTTCATTCCAAACAATTAGAAAGAACAAATTATACATGTCTCCACAAACATATAGAATATTAGTTATTTAAGGAAGATATATTATTTAGAATATTAAATATAACGGAAAAGTAATTATATGTGTGTGGGCGGGTACCCATGGAGCGGATTTACCTAAACTCAATCCCAACCCGACCCGGTGAATAGTGTAGCGCTCATCCCCTATTTGGCCTCTTGGATATGAGAAAAGTGTAAATAAATGTCGGAAAAAATCGCCTAAACTGACGGTCTGGCCTACTCCGTTTCTCTCTGTATTACTGCCTCCCTCTCATCATTATCACAGCCGCCTAATCCAAATAATTACTCTACTATCCATCCTATCCCATCTCCCTCTGGTTTGTCACTCAGACACGCACTGGATCTCGTCTTTCTTTTCAACCGGATTTCCTTTTCTCATCACCTCACTCACACTCACCATCTTTTCTCTACTCACCAAAGGAGAGAAGTGCCTGCCCACTGCAAAATACATATATCCAGTTTCACATAAAAGTGACTGATATACAGAGACAAGAAAAGGAAACCCACTTCTCTTTCAACCTAAAAAAAAAATGTGTTCGCCGTCGCCGGCGGTGGCCGTGAAAACCAGAAATCCCCATCCCACCAACAACTCTTGCTCTCTCAACCCACACGCAACACCCTTCGTTAATTCAGCTTGCCGCCGAGCCCGTGACCCTGCCGCCGGCGGCACTCCTTCCGTGGCGCCGCCTCATGAGCTGATGACGTCACCGCCGCCTGCAGTGAGCATGCTGCCGCCTCTCCTCCCTCACCAATTCCTCAACCGCCCTTCTTCCCTGCTCCCGCCGCCGCCGGTTCCGCCCACTTTTCCCCACTCCTCCTCCGCCGCCCCAATTTCCGTCCCCACTTTCCCCCACCACCATTATCACTACTACTACTACCAACACCAAACCGCGCTCTACACCTCCTTCCGCCCAACTTACCCACACCCCGCAGCCGCTTACCACCATGTCTCCGCCGCCGTCGCCGGTATTTCCTCTTCCCCGTTCTCCTACAGCAATCAACAGCTGCAGTACAGCCACCAAAACACCCACACCCATCCGCCTCCCAACGTCGTGCTCAGCTACACGGTTCAACCCGAACCCAAACCCACACCCGAACCGAAATTCAAGGTTACTGCTTCCGTTAGCAAACTTCCCCGTCGGTTCACAGTGGGGATGATGACGGCGAGGAGAAACGGCGTTGCTCGTGGTGGTGGGTCCCACAGGCCTGTTAGGGTTTCCACGCCGGGTTGGAAAATTGCTGGAGGAAAAAGGGTTTCTTCTTCTTCTTTTCTAAGTGGCAAGAAGAGTGCCGTCGCAGCAGCAAGTAAAGATGGCGCCACAAGCTTAATGATCCGGAACATTCCCAACCATTTCCAGTTAAGTCTCTAATTATCAACCCAATTTAATACCTCCTCTTATCTATGCATGTCAGAAGCAGTAATTTGTTAGATTACTCATTTATGATTACAAATTTACAATCTCGTTTTTTCCCTTATTTTTTTTATCTTCTTCGTATAGATCGATTTTTATAATGTTATTTTGGGCTTCTGGGTTTTGAGAGAAAGAGAGACGCATCTCAAAGTTCCATTAATTGATTTGATTTACATTGTCTCCCTGCTTTTACTCGACCTTCTGGGCTCTGGCGCTATTCTTTCTTATTATTATGATGAGGGAGAGTGTTTTGAGGGTTCATTTATTTCTCTCTGCTTCCATCTGATTTGATAATTATTATTATTATTATAGGTGAAATTCTGTTCATGATCAGGGTTTTGCCAGGATAATAAATTGTGTCCAGATCCAGTCCAATCACACACCTATTAATTCTATATCGTTTTTGCTCTTTTTGGGTGCATTTTCTGTGTTTAATATACCTTCGTAATAAATATTATTGGTTCTCTGTCGTTTTCGTGGTGGGGGTGTTAGGAGGTTTCATCTGCTGCAGTATCTGGACACTCACTGCGCCGACGAGAACAAGAAGCTGCTGCTGGCTGCGGCGGGGGAACAGAAGCATGTTTCGCCGGTTTCTTCCTCCCGTGATGGCGTTGCAGCGTCGGAGTACGACTTCCTTTATCTCCCCATGGACTTCAGGTGATCTAATTTCTGCTCTTGATGCGTTGATTAATTATTAGCTTGTCACTATAAATTGTGCCTCAACAGTCAACTATGACTCTACTTTTAAACAGGACGGGCGCCAATCTAGGGTATGCATTCGTCAACTTCACCTCCGCCGTCGCTGCTGCCCGATTCGAGCAGTCTTTCAGCAACTACAAGTGGAATTCATCGGCCTCCAACTCCAAGATCTGTAAAATCACCCCCGCTGAGATTCAGGCAGGGTTTTTTTTCTTCTTCTTTTGTGCTAATATTCTAAGGACTATGCGTCCACAGCTGATTGATAATGCTAGGGGAAAAAAAAAACCTTGGTGGGTGCAGGGGAAAGACGGGCTGGTGAGTCACTTCAAGAACTCGAAATTCCGGTGCAAGTTCGACTACTACCTTCCCGTGGTGTTCTCCCCTCCACGGGATGGGTTGGGACAGAGGAAGACGATGGCGGCGGCGGCGGCGACTACTACTTCGATCCTGATTGGGCAGCGCATTCCTCCAAAGGTTTATCACCGTGGTGGTGGTGGTGGTCGCCGTCATCTTGTTCGCCGCGACAACAACCGGCTGGGTTAGCTGCCGATGATCCTGTAATCCTGTTAGTACCAGATGTTTGATTTCCCTTCTGTGTGTGTGACAGTGTGAGTGGTTGGAACTACAGTTGCACGTTCTATGCGTAAGTAAGTAAGTAAGTAGCAGTGGATGAGCCATTAGTGGGCGCGAATGAAGTGCTCGTGTTTTCATTGTCTCCCTGGTTTCATGCCAGCCCGGGGTGAAATGGAAACACCAGGCTAGCCTTGTTCAGCATCTCTAGTGGCCTCTACATTATCCAAACTAATTAAGTTTTAGTACCGCGGCCAACAATCGGTGCTGTCAAATGGTTGCTCACTGTATGTTAATGTGATCATGTTTTCTTGTATGTAAGATGTTTCTTGTATGTTTTGGTAAGGTGGGTTCAATGTCATCATGAGCATAATCATAATTAGGTGATATCCAAGACCACCGAGTGCTTGGAGGCAACCTGATGAATGTCCTAAGCTAGGTTTGAAGGGGAAATGGTCCTTGTGACTTGTGAGCAATCGGGCGTTGCCCCGGGTTGTTCATATCCTCACGGAACTTGGAACAACAGTCACTACTGACGTATGTTAGTAACAACTATTGGGCAACCAGACCTAGTTTAATAACGAATTGATTCGTACGCCAATGGAAATTAGGGGAAAATGCATCTAACAAAGATTTTGGTTTGAAATCCATTCAAGACTTGGTTTGCTCTCATTACATTTTGTAACTTATATAGCTCTGAGTTTGTGGTTGCCAAGCTTCCGTTGAGGTTTAAAGTCTAGAGAAAGACTGTAGGGTTTGGGAAGGGTAGAAGGTGTAGGACTCTTCTATCGTGTTATTTTTACTGTTTCTGGTTGACTCGAGTTGAATATTCTTCTTGTTGTTCGTCCTCTTGGGTTGGAATGATTGAAAGATGGTCAAACTCTACCCCTAATCGATCAAAGTAAAACCCTAATTTGGTCAAACTCCGACTTTTTCCTCGCCCTTTAGTCAAACCCTAATTTACCCTAACCCTAATTTTGTCAAAAACCCTAATTTCGGTACAACCCTAACAGTATAACCATACACTTGTGTGCATCTCGAATGGTCGGAATATGGCAGTGGTACGTTAGCAACGGGTCTATAAACCGACGATAGTTTCAGGTCGGTCAATAAAGCCTTCACACGTGTCATTTGTCGAGCACGATAAATTTTTCAAAAATATTGTACTCCTATATCCATTCTATTCTTCTACTTTCACCCAAAAACAAAAGGAAAAGTAGAATTGATCTTCTTTTTTTTTTTTTCACAAGATTTATGGACGCCAAAATAGTTAAAACAAGGCGGACAAATAAGAGCTCCCACACAAAATCCTCAGTACTTTTGGCAGAATGTTTTCGTTCCAGAGTTGATGCTATAGCTACATACTGTTTGGCGAAGAAGAGAAAGGTTGGAGCATAGGGCAATGAGAGGAAAATCTTTTTGAGGACTGGAAGCTGGACAATGACAATCTTTCCTTTCCTTTTTCCTTTTGTTTTTTATTTGTGCATAAAAGGGATGGCAGTGGCAGGCCAAGGTAAGATGGAAGATGGACAGTTTGCAGTTTTGGAGAAACATCGTTTCATTTTCACCTACAGGATTTTGCAGGCTACTCTGCTGCTGCTGCTTATGCTTATCCCTCGCCTACCCTTTTTCTCTGCAATTCCAAAATACCTACCTAGTCATCCTCTCTCTCTCTCTCTCTCTCACCATATCTTCCTTTTTCATAAATGGGTGCAGAAAAATAAAACGATGAACAGTAACACATAGCCCAATATATCAAGTTATCAACAACCACTGCTGCTACTCTTTTGCCCAAAATATGGGATCTGATCAGATCATTTTCCCAAGTCAGATATCATCATTTTGATCACCACTACTACTACCCTTCTTCGCCTGGAGCTATGGCGATCTCTCATATCCTTCTCCTATTCCACCACCAACTCAATCCTATTCACTGTTTCTTGAATACCACAAAATGAAATTTGAAAAAGGTAGGCCGCTTGTTCTTTTTTTTTTATGAGATAGAAACTATAACCATTCATCCATAGTTTTGATTTCTTTTTTTGTTCTTAAATATTTGGCTATAACTTTCTTTTTAACACACTTTCGAAAATAGGAAACGCAAGTTGAGTTGGTTTAGCGGCATAAGGAATCGAAGGAGAGAGAGAAGGTAACAAGATCGAACGGGCGACCTTTGGCTAGAATGTACTACCCCCACAACCAAACAGGACACTTGAAATTGGTGAAGATACAAGTTGAGTTGAAAATTATAAGAAAGAGTACAATTAAGATAGGTGCCAATTGATTGATGTTCAAGCAACAAAAAAAAAAAACAATGTAAAGCCAACTTTAATGATGTAGAGCCAAAGTGTCAAATTTGGTGTTAGATTTTTGTCCAACTTTAATATGTTTATTTACATAGTAACAATTGATGAACAGTAAGCACGAATATTTTTAAGTAATTATTTCTTATTTTGGTGCTATTATTTTTCGTCGTAAAATGTGATGTCATCGGTGTTAAAAGAAGGCCAAGATGATGGATTGCTGGAGGCCTGGAGCAGGGACGACGAAGGGAAGGCATCAGATTATGCCAACATATTTGGACTGCAGTCTGCAGGAGTGGGTGGAGAATTGTATTTTTCACCATGTCTTGGAATTTTTTTTATGTAATTGGAAAATTTAATTTATTTTTTTATTAATAAATTCATGCAAGAAACATACATGAGCAATACACATAAAGCCACATAATTGATGGTTTAAGTTGACAATTCAACGGTTAATGGTTAACTTTAACATACAATGAAAAGTCCAAAACCTTTTAAATATAAATGATAAAGTCCAAAACCTTTTAAATATAAATGATGTTGACTCCCAATAGAGTCAAACATCTCTATTTTTATCGAAAACATGAAATATATAACTATCTTTTTTACTAAATGTTAGTATGTGTAATGGTATTATACCAAATAAAATCACAAGCAGCAGGCCACTCACCCGGGTTTTCTCCGCTGCATTTAGTGGCCAGAGTTCAAAAGGGGAAAGAATTGGTCTTAAAGCTTCAACAGGATATAGCCTATGTTTGTCCCGGGTTTTAGAAGTGTTTTTCAATTTTAAAATATGAAATAGCGTCAAACACCTTTATATCCTCGGATTTTGAAAAACTGAAAAGCGTTCTTGTATAACATAAAAATATAAGCTCTGATTGGGTGTTTTTGCGAAAAGCTGTTTTGAAAATACAAGATTATCCTTACCATATTTTAATTTTATTTCAGAAAATATAATTTTATTGCATTTATATCATTTTGAAAATAAAATAAATTATAAAATTATATTATTTAATATAAAAAAGTCTAACAACATCCATTTTGACTACATTTTATTGTTCAAGTTCCTATGATGCCAATACTAATAGTTAGTTTTCAAACTATCAGAAAAGCCCATAAAAATTGATGTGCTGTGGGCTAGTCTTGTCCCTTGGGCCTATGACTTGCGGCCCATAAATATTTCCGAATTACCACCGTTTCGATGCAGGATCAGTAACTTGCACCATCTGGGCCTGCCAAACAGCCGGTAAAGCCCAAATAAACAAGCCCCCATCGTCCCTGCGAGAGAGGATAAGGCAATAAAATTCCGCTCGGCTGATCTTGTTCTGGGTTGCGAGAAACCGCAGGAAAATACAATCGAAGCTCGTACCAAAAAACCATCCACAAAACAATCTCCACTTCTGGAGTGACCAGAGAACCCAAGTTCGAAAGATGGTGCAAACGCTGGCAATGCCCGTGGCGCCCTCGCTCTCTCTTATCTGCAACGGACTCCAAGCTACTTCCCTCTCCAACTTCGTCTCCCTCCCGGTCTCAAACTCTCCCAAGGTAAAATTGGACTTCTTAGATTGAAATGTACCCATGTAATTCCTTTCTTGTTCTGCGGTTGCAAATTGCGTGCTTGAGTTGATAGCCGATTTCTAGGGTTTTGAGGAAACTGGGATTCTCAGCTGTGTTTTGAATTTCGGATTTAGGTTGGCGGGCTGAGCATCCGATGCGTTCGTGTTGGTGGTGTGGAAATCCCCAATGGGAAGAGAGTTGAGTACTCGCTTCAGTACATCCATGGCGTCGGCCGCTCGATGTCGCGCCAAATCCTGGCCGACCTGAAAATTGAGAACAAGATAACCAAGGACTTGTCCGAGGAGGAGCTCACCAACCTCCGTGATGAAGTCTCCAAGTATACCATTGAAGGAGATTTGGTAAACCCCAGCTTATTAACACTCATTGAACAGTCATTTTTTGTTTTTCTGCAAATGAAGGTTGTAATTTTTGTGGGTTCTGGGTTTTGGTTGCAGAGGCGTTTCAATGCGCTCAACATTAGGAGGTTGAAGGAGATTCAGTGCTACAGAGGTGTGCGACATATCCAGGGTTTGCCCTGCAGGGGACAACGCACTAAGAACAACTGCCGGACCTTGAAGGGTAAGCGTGTCGCCATTCCCGGCAAGAAGAAAGCTCGTTGATTGTTGCTTCTGATTTCTCTATAGCTTGTGAGCTATTCTGTGCTGTAATGTTCTGTGATTACCATTTCAAGTGATTTTTGTTTGTAAACTGCCCAGAATCTTGAGATAAGTTGCTCTTCAGGCTTTTATCATATTCCAATTGTAACTTCCCTATACCAATGGAATTTGGAATGCCGTTGAAAACGTTTTGTTTCCCCAATTGGATTACAAATGGAAGGAATGTTGTTGGGAAAATGATGCCCTATAACCCCAATATGTAACAACACCCTAGCGCTTACGAGGCAGATCTCGATGGACGAATCATGACGATAGGTATACATACAATTTGCATATGGTATTTTTGGTGTTTTCAAAATGATGATAGTCAAATTTGAGTCTAAAATACCTCTGATCTAAAGCAATGTTTTTACTATGGGTACCAAAAGCTCAAAATTTGTGTCTACATTTTACATTGACAGGAATCTTCAATAGCACACCAATTTAGCATATTAAGGTCATCATCACGTACCAAAGAGATAAATTACAACAGGTACTTGACATCACCAAAATTCAGTCGTTGAAGAAGAGTGGGGAAGTATTTTTGAATCAAAACTAGCTACATACAAAATAGTCAATGGTTGCAATTGGATGCCAGCAAAACCCAAACAATAGGAGCAAAACAAGAACCCTCACCGAAGCTATTAGCTTACACAACAAAGTTGCTACAAGCCTACAACATTAACTTGACGAGCAAGAACAGAGCAAATGAAGCTGCAAAGAAACTACTTCCTAAAGGAGGGATCACCAATGAGCAGGCATCTGATCCTGATGCACTTCCAACTGGACCGTTCGCCCCGGGAAACCCTGCTGGCATTGAGCCGGTTGCCGGAACTGTACTCGGCCCAATAATGCCGCCGCCATATCCATGAGGGGACGGTGCCGGTGCTGGCGAGAATGTTGCATCCTTGGTTACTGTTGTAGGAGGGGCTACAAGTGCAGGAAACTGCTGTTGTCCTGCATCAGATTAAAAAAAAAAGGAAGCACAATGGAGCTATAAAAAATGCTAAAATGGGAAATCATTTCTGTCTATAAATAGACTCAACTTTAACAACTGAGAGAAGCAATATATTCAGTGTAATCGAAACACCCATAAACAAGCAACCAATTTAGACGGCTGACAAAACCAGAAGCATTACAAGAGTGACAATAGAAAGTCCTACAACTTGTAGGACTATAAAACCATGAAAGAAACGGCCAGTGATTATCAATCAAACTTCTTACCTGGGCATCGTGGTTGAAGGGATGTGGACAACCTGCATGTCAATGACGAAAACATACCATCTTCAGTTATTCAGCTAACATAAGGACACTTGAAATCAATTGTTCAATGAAACAAAGGCAAACTACAATTTGAAATCAATTGATAGAGAGCATACGAGGTGATTATAGTGCCATTAACGTATCCACCATAACTACAAGATGTCACATTACACCCAGCACTGCTCTGCTGCTGCGTTACATTTCCAAGCATAAGATTGCTGCCACGGCATTGCATGCTCGAACAAGACACCGCCAATGAAGCAGGCATACAGTACAAGCTACACACAAAATTCAACTGAATCAGAATGTGCACCAAAAAACATTAAAGGGGTGAATCCACGGATTATAAACCAAAAGGCAAGAAATATTACTTGAGATTCGCAGGCCCACAGCTGCACTGTACACAATGACTGGCAACGATGGCATAGCTACCATTTGGCACCATCAAACCAGAATCAGAGGCGTATCGTGGAAACCTAGAAGCACAAGCTGCAACCCAAAGCATCAATCATTTACCATCTGTATAAAACCTTTCATTGACATCAGAATTTCATTTCTAATCAGAAAAGGAATGTCTGGCCATTCACTGCCAAAAGCAATGTTCGTAAGAAATACTAAAATTTTGGAACGAGTCCTACTGTTTGTGTTTGGAATGAGATGTTAATTTATTCCTAGAAATACTTCTACAGCTCTGCTCTCATGGCCAAAAGTAGAAAAGATGAAAAAATGTAAGAATTTTCTTCGTAAAATTGGACAAACTAGTAACTATAGTCCACTAATTTCACTTCCCACCTTAACAAATCCCACCAATTTTGATGGATTTCAGCTTTAGAATTCTATTTTCTCAACCACACAAAAATTTCGAAAATGAAAATCTCCAGTTTTTGAGGATTCCATACTACAGAAGCACATTGCCCAAACATTCAAAGACTCGCGTTAACATATCTACCGCTACAAGAACTAACTATAAGCTGAAGAGCTGCCAACACAAACAACAACAGGACTCACCTGGCAACGGCACGGCGAGAATGTCACCAGCCTTGATGGCAGGGCTGCCCATAGCATTAACATTCATCAAATCAGTGATAGTAGTGGTGTACCTAGCAGCAATCCCAGTGAGAGTATCCACATCCTTCACCACATACGAGAGGTAGATCGCCGGCAGGGAGTTATCAGTCCCATTGAAACAAGTACACGGCAAAGGAACCACAAGGGTCTCCCCGACGTCAAGCACAGCAGATGGGTCCTGTATCGAATTGGCCTCCTTAATCTGGTCGGCCGAGACCAGCCCGGCGTAAATCGAGTCGGCGATGCCGGCGAGAGTGTCCGAAGGGCGCGTCTTGTAGTGGGTGGACACCGATTTGCGGATGCCGTCGACGCAGGAGCAAGAGATTGGGATCTTGACGAAGAGCTGGGAAGGGAGGATGCGATTCTCGATGTCAGGGTAAGAGATGTCGATGGAGTTTGCGGTGAGGAGCGCGATTGGGTCGATTTGGAAGAGGGAAGCGACCTCCGAGACTTTGAGGTCGGTGTAGAGCGTGTAGCCGAGGAGGGCGCTGCAGGAGTCGGAGTTGGAGCAGGGCTCGATTGTGGATTTCGCCATTACTAAGAAATGGGTGGTGGTGGTGGTGAAGAAGAAGAAGAGAAGGAAGAGGGAAGTGGGTCTGGGTCGCTGCATTTTGCTTTGAGGAAAAGGTGTTTAGGGTTTTGTGTTGAGGGTTTTTGGGGCGGGGGAGGGGGACAGTTACAGGAAGAAGGCAGCTGAAAGGGTATAAGCAAGCAACACAGTGGGCAAAATGTGGGTTTGCGATTGGAGGTTTCGGTGAATAGTTTGAGGGATTTGTTACAGTGGTCGGTTTCTAGTTTCTACTACGTTTTCTTCTTCTTCTGCTACTTTCTTCCAAGTGCTTCAATGGCGTCCAGCGAGGACTGAAGAGCAGAGAGAGAGAGAGAGGGAGGGAGGGAGTGCTCTCTGTTCAAAAGAGGTTGGAGAAGAAGACAAATGTTGTCGCAGAGTCAAGTCAGAATCTCGGTCCTAGAGAGGGAGGTAATAATACCAATCTGTCCTCGAGTTCCATGATTGAAACGGCGTCGTTGCTACAGTACTTGATGCTTGCTATACTATGGCATAGAAGGGTGGTTTTGGGATTACAAGTTTTGCTTTTCATCGCATGGGGCGAACCGCGAGGCCCACATGCAAATTTGCAAAGGTAAAAGCAGAGACGAGAGACTGAGAGAGCAATTTCCGGTTTCTTTTTGCAGGCGGTAGAGAGAGAGAGAGAGAGGAAAGAGGTTTCTCCGTTTCTGCTTTGCTTTAAAATTAAAAATAAAAAATTTGAGGAGGTGGATGAAAGTTTGGGCCCTGGATATGATTCACAGGCCCGGTGCTAATATGAGGCCGATGAACTCAAGGCCATGCGGACATTTCATGGGCCTAGGTGCAAAAACTGCTCAGCTTCGGCCTTTTCTCTGACTGCATATTGATAATACTAATTACTGAATATCTAAACGAGTTCGTTTGGACTCCGGCGATAACTTCATCTTGTAACAAAGTGGTTATGATTCACGTATCTTTTAACAATTTTAGTTTTAGTGATTAATTGGTATTTGACATGGTCTCCTACCTTTTAATAATCGAAGAGGTTTTGTGTTCAAATTCCGATCGTATTTGTTAAACATACGATATTCTGACATGTGCGAACTTCAAGCTTATATGAGTTAGTTATTGTTTGAGGGGGCGTACTAGTAAATGATAGAAGATCCATAATAAACATCTCGCAACAAATCGAGTCATTGTGACCAATTGGTTCTTGACATGGTATCAAAATTGGTTTGATTATGAGGTCACGTGTTCAAATCCTCACCACCGCTAACACCATGTCTTAGACAGAGATTTGGAGATGGGATGAATATTCAAATTTGGTTGGATAGATGGAATCTTAATAATAAGGATACTTATAGGTCAATCTAGCTCATGACATGCATTTTGAGTTTTTGACACGCCTAAATCAGGCTAATTGTATACTCTCGTTCACGATCGTGTCCTCAAGATCACGGCTAGACATTTGACAATCATGACTATGAACCACCCTCATTTTGCTGTAAAAGCTAGCAATGCAAGACATAGAGTTTCATAGACCAAAGAGGGTTGTGGTTCTTGGCGTAAGAAGGAGAAATCCAATTAGGTTAAGGTAAGCACACATCGCAGAATTATAATTTCTTAAGCATAGGGTTTTAATGTCACTTGCATGGGATAAAATGCATTAGAGGAATCTAGATTTAATGCTTTAGGTGGCTTATTGGTTGCATGACCATTGAACCAATTATCCAATCTAGAAGAGTGATTAAGTGCATGAACATTGGATCAATTGCTAGTTTAGGATTCCTTAGCATTATATAAGAATAATAGCGAATCCATTAGGATTCCCATCACAAGTGTGTTTCTCAATCTTTGAATTAACCTCTTTACTTAGATTTGTATACTTGTTTTTGCTTAGAAGTAGTACTAATTGAGAACCTTCAATCGATTGGTTAGATAGTAACATATCTCATGATAGTCGTAAACCTAGAGACCATGTGGAATAGGATCTTGAAAGTCGTTGTGTATACTTGTTCGAGCTAAGTATAGTTAGCTTTAGGCGCAATAACATACCACAGCGCTGTGGGAAGTTGAGAACTAAAAAATACCTATGTTGAAACCCTTATCTAAATTCTGATGCCTACAGGAAACCTAGGGATTTGCTAGGACAAAGTTATTTTGAGATGGAAATGGAAGACTTGTGTTAGGCTTGACTAAAGGAGAAAAGGTGAGCAAAGTGTGAAAGTATACGAAGCAAGAGACATATTGAAGGGAATAAGAGAAGATTAAAAGAGGGGGGGTGTCATCATCTTTTCTTCGAACCATATTGCCTAAGGAAGAAGTAAATGAATGATAGGACCAAGTAAACAACATGGTTATTCTTTTTCAAAAAGATTAGGGTGAAAGGGGTGGAGATTTGAGGGTTAAAGATTGAGGTTTTATCCAAGTGTTGGGATAGTATGATCCATTGGGTTGATAGGCATCCTCTACATCATTTTCGACTACTTGAAGTTAAGTTCATGGTTCCATATTCACGATGAATTTTAGTGAATTAATTTCAGGTTTCCATAAAAATGAAAGGGTTAATATTTTCGTATGGCCCGAACTTTGACCAAAATAAACATCTTGGCCAATCTTTTCGATCTATAACATCCTGGCCCGAACTATACACCAAAATAAACAATGTGGCCAAACCCAATGTTTGACCGTTAACTTAGACGGTCAAACGCGTTGACTGACGGTCAACGCGCACATCACTGCCAAGTCAGAAGATCTGATAAATATTTAATTTTTTCGTTTTTTATTTTTGGTTTAACAAAGGTATTAGATGATTTTTTTAATTTATAATAATTTAAAATTAGGGAATGTGTGGAAATTGTGAATTTTTTAAAATATTTTATGCTGACTTGGCAGTGACATGGCGCGTTGACTAACGGTCAACGCGTTTGACCGTCCAAGTTAACGGTCAAAAGTCGGATCTGGCCAAATTGTTTATTTTGGTGTATAGTTCGGGCCAAGATGTTATAGATCGAAAAGATTGGCCAGCATGTTTATTTTGGTCAAAGTTCAGGCCATAGGAAAATATTAACCCAAAATAAAATGTCTTTTTTTTTTTTGTTTTGTTGAAATACTACCTACATCCTACCACTTATAAGCATGAGAGAGTGCCACTTTCTTGTATGTTTTTTTCCGATTCATTGTAACCTTCAGAAAAGAAAAATAGGAGGCAAATTACACGAATGTCATGAGCCAACCACTTCATACATCATATGAAAACTCATAATCACATGAGAGAATGACCACACATAAGAGTTAAGACGATGAATGATTGAACACCAATCATTCCTCATTTCAAGTCACATTAATCAAATCCTTTTTTAATTAAAGAAGAGGGTCAACCACCCCTTTGTGCTAAATGGTAATTACCTTTGGCATGTATTATTATAGCATCCACCCCCTGAAAGTATTTAATTAATAACTTTCCGACACTTTCTTTTTTTGTTACAAGGAAATTAAAAGAGTACAAACAATACAACAATTCTCTTGCTAGATCAATCCACTCCTCTTTGGAAGTGGACACCAACTATATCCGCTTTGTAAACATGCCTTAGTGTAGGAGGAACTTTGGGGCAGAACACTTCTTCTCGAGCGACACCGTGACCTAAAGCCTCCAATCCATCTGCGAGTTTATTGCCTTCTCCTTTGGTGTGAAATAATGTGCAACTCAATATTATCCCTCTTGAATCATCTGGACGGAGATTTGAGAATCAGAGGCTATCTTCATACTTCTGTATTCAGAGTCCATGCTAACGACATCTCATCTCTTAAAGCGCATAACTCTGCTATCAGAACATAGCATTGTACTATAAAATTGGCGAAGCCGACAATCCTTACATCCCCTTTGTAAGGATCTTTATTGGGATCATCTGGCGAAGTAATGGAATGATGGAGGAAGAACAGGGAAGAGGTAAAGAATGGAATGTGCAGAGTTGTTCTACAGAGCTAACGCTAATAGAAAAAAAAAGAAAGTAGCTATTATTTATTCATTTGCCAAAAGATGTCATTATCCTAACAGTAGTAGCTATTTATACTTTGACTATCTTCACACGTCATCAGCTGGCTCGGGTTGTTACAAACCCTCCCCCTTCAGAGGCAGCTTGTCCTCAAGCTGTGTTCAAGATGGAAAAGTAGGATGCTGCGCCTTGAAGGAGAGCAAGGCTTCCCAAGTTGCTTCCTCTGGTAGCTGAAGCGTCCACTGCAAAAGCACTTGCATCACAGTCTGGTTTCCCTTGTTCACAAATAGCTGAAAGTTGGACAGCAGCCTTGGTTCTTGCAGTGTCGGTTGGTGCACTAATCGCTTGGCCAATTTCTGGAAGTTTGACAACAGTCTTGGTTTTGGGATTTGGACAGCAGCTCTCTTGTGCGTTCCAGCCTTCAGGAAGTGGAAGAGTTTGACAGAACATCTCAATCAACTCGGCAGCTAGGAAACACAAAGACTGGTTGGACACAAGTGCAACTCGAATATGCACAACCCAAGAGTAACAAAGACATATTAGAGCCCAATTCCACAATGCATCCAATGATCTCTCAGTATGATCCACTCTTTCACAAGCTAACTTCGTTACTGCAAAAGTAGGCAACCCTTGTGCATTCAACCCAGGGACAGACGCAACATCACCACCATCAATTGGATGGAACAAATATCTGGTCCTTCTCTTCTTTACCGATTTAATTTGCCGCTTCCTGAGCCAGAAGAAGGCAAACACGATAACAAGAAGCCCGGCTGAACCCATAGATGATAGAAGAATGCTCAACTTTAACTCAAGTGAATCGTTAAATCCCCCTTGAAACGTAGCAAATTCCTCTGCCTCAACTCGAACATACAAATCCTGGGAACTAGCAGGGAAATACATTGTATCCACCAGTTCTCCATACCACAACAAGCAACCCTTGTCCTTCAGAGCAGCATCTATTTCAGTATATGCAGAATATGAACATTTCTTCCTACACTTACGTTCACAGTTCAGTTCCCCGCTATCATCCTTCCCAATCCAAACTGCCGAAAGCTTCACCTTCGGCACTCTCACAAATCCTTCTCCCAAGGGAAGAACACAATCTTTATAAGGACCTTTGAAATCATCATGATTCCTACTGCCATGGAAATGCCTAAGGATGCCATAAAAAGTTGGGAAGACGTGAAATCCGTAACTCCAATTGGCATTGCCGGGCTCGATAGTGCAACCAAAGATCCCAAACACAAACTCAGTAGGACAAGGATCACCAAAAATGAAAGCTGACTCTTCAACAGTAAGAATCTTATCCATGTATACGGCAGAAATCATCTTCTGGTTAGGAGAACTAGCATAGGTTTTGGTAGTTTGAGAACCACACAGAACTTTCCGAACGAAAGGCAGTCGAGTAGAAGGCGTATCCAGAAAATTCAAGCATGGAGCTGACCCCAGTAAAGGAAACAAGGAAGAAGTGGCTTGAGTATGAACCTGGGAGTCTCCCACAAACCCAGTTCCCTCGGAAATCAACGAAGGGAGGACCAACGGCTGCTGAAGCTGATTGCACGCCGCGACGACAGTCATCTGCACTTGACTCCCAAACCGAAGAAGCAACCCACCGACAAAATCACCCCAAAGCAAAGGAAAACGCCAGAAAGACCACCCCTCAAACCATGTGCGAGCACGCCCGTCTAGATAGTGCAAACCCAAATCAACCTTCTGATCTTCCGGAACTGAGTAAAGCAGGAAGAGTTCGGTACATTTGCTCACCCACACATGAGGATCCAAGCCAGAGAAATAGGGCAACTCGAGACGATGATAGGGATCCACAATTGACGGCCGACGCGGTTGATGTCGGAAGTGCTGATGATCAGGGCGATGGACGTAATTGGGACGCAGTGGTGAGTGAATCGGCGGTGCCTCCTGATAATCCGCCATCGATCCAATTTGCTCGGAGACGACGAAGAAAGGCCGTCGTGGTGGTGGACGGTTGAAGGCGCGATACTGATTGGCGCCGGTACTCTGCTGTGGTGGGGGTGAAGTGGCCGAAGACATGGGAAAAACAGAATCGAAAGTGGGAGAAGGAATCTGGTCCAGAGTTCTCGTCGCCGTGCTCGGTGGAGAACGAACCGTAGAATCGTCTCGCCGTTGCTCCAACGAATCAGTAAGAGCATCGATGGAGGCCTTCGTCGAAGCCGCAAGAGCAGCAATGGCGCTCTTCAGATCCCGGTGTTATGAGTCCATCTGCTGTTTGATAGCCGCCATTTGAGTTTCCAAAACAATGATTCTCGATGTATTAGACGCCATTGTTGCCAGATGACATGCTCTGATTACCACTTGTAAGGATCTTTATTGGGATAATCTGGCGAAGTAATGGAATGATGGAGGAAGAACAGGGAAGAGGTAAAGAATGGAATGTGTAGAGTTGTTCTACAGAGCTAACGCTAATAGGAAAGAAAAGAAAGTAGCTATTATTTATTCATTTGCCAAAAGATGCCATTATCCTAACAGTAGTAGCTATTTATACTTTGACTATCTTCACACGTCATCAGCTGGCTCGGGTTGTTACACCCTGTCATCCCTCAATACTCTGTGGACAATTGTCCTATAACTTCTCGACACTTCATGCTAATCGAACAACCAAACTACGCCGGACATAAAAGAAACCCAAATCGTATTAGGCCTTATCATATCTCATTCGATGGACCCGGGCCCAAGCCCCCACCAGCTACAATGACTAGCCCAAATAGTATCTTGCCCTCTAAACTTAGGATTGGGAACGACTCTCCATCCACCTTTTGGAGGGGTTCCTTCACCATATATCGTTTCTTCCATCTGCCCACTTCTTTTCTACCTCTCATCATGTCATGAACCAGTTGCTCCCAATAACTCGAGTTGTTGGGAGAAGGTTGGGAGTCGTGGAGATTCGAACACACGACCATTTGGCCAAACCAGATCTGATACCATTTCTTAAACCAGTTGGTCCCAATAACTCGAGTTGTTGGGAGAAGGTTCTGCTGGATCTTAAACCACTCTCTAACACGCCCCCTCAAACGAAAGCCAACCCCATGGGCTTGAAGTTTGCACAGGCCCACCATACCTTGTGCTTTAATCAACTGTTAATATTGGGGGTCGTGGAGATTCGAACACACGACTATTTGGCCAAACCAGCTCTGATACCATGTCATGAACCAGTAACGACCATTTGGCCAAACCAGATCTGATACCATGTCATAAACCAGTTGGTCCCAATAACTCGAGTTGTTGGAAGAGGTTCAATCGTGGATCATATACCACAACACTAACACATAACACCAATTTAATTGTCAACGTAATTAATCATCCTAATTCTTGAGATTTTATAACTCCTCCCTCGTTGCCTAAATGAACACAAGAGAGCGGGCCAAAACAGAATATTCCTTCCAACCCTCGACCCTTTGAAGGTAACACACCACCACCTACACTTGGAGCGTTTCCAATTTTGCATAATTAATTATAATAAGTTTCTTTTAAGACAAAAATGAAAGAGAAACGAACGAGGAAACATACAAACTCAGGAAGGGCAGACTGTTGCTGTGTGGGGAAGGTAAGAGGCGAAGCCACTTTCGCGTTTCCTACAAAAAGGAACGTTTTTTTCTGAGTAGCGAGAGATTGACGCCCAAACAAATACACCAGCACGCGAGGGAGAAGCATTAGATAGACAAAGAAAGAAAGAAACAAGGGAAAGGGGCAATGAAAACAATTCACATGGAAGGAGAGCTGCTACCTTCTCCTCCTCCGCCATTTCACCCTTCCTCTTAACAACACACACAAATTATCAATCTTTATTGCTGGGTTTGCCGTTTCTTGCTTCATCTCTCATCTGGGGTTTCTTCCTTTCTCTCTCTCTCTCTCTCTCTCTCTGCATCTCTTTCGATCCCACTTTTTAAACCCGCCCCTGCTTCGCGATCTGGGAGGAGGGTATTGAGAAAAAAGGGGAAAAGGAATACGGAAATCGGAAATTCTTTCTCCTGAGCTGAATTCCGACGTGGGTTCGGATCTGAGAGATGGAGGACAAGACTGCGTTGAGTCAGGGGAGCGTCTTTAGATCTCTGCTCGCCATTGTTCAGTGGTGGGGTTTCAATGTTACCGTGATTATCATGAACAAATGGATCTTTCAGGTCGATCTCTCTAATTCTTCGCCCTCCTCCTGAGTCCTGACGCTTCTTCTTCTTCTTGGGCGACGGCTTAATTTTGTTTCTAATTCTTGTTGTCAATTTCCAGATATGTGGGTTGATCGTTGAGTTACTCTTCAATATTTCAAACATTTCCCTACTTCTCGTAATGGGGAAGTTTTATTGTTTGATTTTGTAGTAATGCTGGAGCAGTTTCGCCTAATTTCCTGTTCTAGGATCTTGATTGCCATTTGCATGTGCTCTTAAAAGCTATATGAATTGTTAATTTTGTGAGTGAATCGCATTTCCTGAATTCGTGACAAATGTTGCTCTCTACCTACTCATGTATGATGGCACCAAACGGACTAGTAGTTGGGATATTATAAACAGACAAAAATTCCAGCAGTGCTGGTTGTAACTGTTTCAGTTTATGGTATATCAAATTACATACTCATGAGTTTGGTATGTCGGAAAGGGCCTGCGTTTGGTATAATGCATACCGGTCAGTAATCAGATCTGCACTTGAGGAATATAGGTGTACTGGTGTTTTGGTACATATTTCCTGGTTACAGATGCCAGATGTTTGAATTTTTCTTTATGCTCAAAGAACTAGGTGTCTATGTTTCTTAGAGTACCTGATCTGCTTTACTTTATGATTCTTAATGTTCGGTTATGGCTTACTTAATAGTTCATCAGCTCATAGTGTGAAACACACATGGTTCTTTGAGGAATTATCGTTTTATGATATCCTTTCAGGAACATTACCTTTTAGATTTCCTCTTATCTTGGAATGGGGGTTTTGGCTGAGATTCTTCGTTATTAACTAACCAAGTTGAATCTGGGAAATGGATTTTGTTTGACAGAAATTGGATTTCAAGTTCCCGCTGTCTGTATCTTGTGTCCACTTCATATGCTCATCGATTGGAGCATATATTGCAATCAAGGTGCTGAAAGTCAAACCTCTTATAGTGGTTGAGCCTGAAGATCGTTGGAAAAGAATATTTCCCATGTCATTTGTGTTCTGCATAAACATTGTGTTGGGAAATGTGAGCTTGCGGTACATTCCAGTTTCATTTATGCAGACAATTAAGTCGTTCACTCCTGCAACTACAGGTTTGGAACTAAAGCACTGTGTTTATCAATCATTGGCATCTTTCTTTCAGCCTCTATATTGTTGTTCTTTGTATGGTTTCACGTCAGTGTTCTTACATTTGTTTGGCTGCACCAGTTGTATTGCAGTGGTTGGTTTGGAGGAAGTACTTTGACTGGCGTATTTGGGCTTCATTGGTGCCTATTGTTGGAGGAATACTCCTGACATCTGTGACTGAGCTTAGCTTCAATGCTTTTGGATTTTCTGCTGCTCTGCTTGGCTGCTTAGCAACTTCCACAAAGACTATCCTTGCAGAGTCCTTACTGCATGGGTACAAATTTGACAGGTACTTTCCCACATGCTTCTGACACTATCTGATTTTTTGAACCGCCTGGAACATTGGAGTGAATTGTTTGGATTTGAAACGGCATGGACTGTTCTTGAAGTACCTACAGTTGTTACTATCTGTATTATGTCCAGGCCGCTCTAAATTTTTTGTTTTGTTGAAACCTTACAGGGGCTGTTTGCATGTGTAAATGTTGAAATGGTGGAATTTGAACGAGTGGATTGTGATCCATGATAAAGTTTTAAAATGTTGTTGTTTGGATTAGTGATTTGATAGAAGTTTTTTTTTTTCTTTACATTCCATAAGTTAGTTTAAATTTACCCAAATGGATGGAAATTAAGAACCCCTTACTTCCAGGAAGAGATTTGGGACCTTTTGAGGTTTTGCCAGTTCACTCCATTTCCCATCTTTTTTTGGTGATCTGAACAGAGGAATTACCAACTTCCTGTAGCATAGAAAACTTGAAGCCAATTCCCTCGTCTGATTCTCACATCCAAATGACCCATAGTTGATTGGGTAGCAGAAAGCTGTGTATACTTCAATTGATTCTACTCAACCCCAATGTAGACCTGGTGTAACTCAATTAATGGGTGCACTTGGCTTGGTTAGTCTTGTGAAACCCTGCTACTGTTTCGTTGGGCTGTTGAGTTGTGCTTTTTTCTTGTTTCCTTGTGTTTTATCACTTTCTTCTTTGTAAACTCATTATTAGTTGACTAAATGTTGGTAAGTCTGTGAACCACCATCTTGATTTTGTACCTTTTAAGTTCTAACAACATATTTATTGGCTTTTTAAAAGATAGTTATGAAATGAAGTAATCATCTTACGTGGAGAAGTCAATAACACCAAAAGAAAAAAAGAAAAAAAAACTTATTTCATACCATCATTTGGTTGATAACTTCAACAAAAAAGTATCTGGGGGGGCCAGTTTCTTTATCAATGATCTTGAACTGTGCTAGAGACATGAGGTTTAAGTTTTGCTCATTCGTCTTTTCCTGACATTTTTTTCTTTGTTACCTTCTTACCTTAAGTATATGTCAGACCGTGGATGTATTTAGTGAAGTGCACGCACACTGTATAATAACCTACTATATTCACTAATATGTCTGCCCTATAAGGTCAACGATTACTATCTGATTTATGTTCTTATTTTTGCTCATATTGCTCTTTGGTTTTATGTTTTCTCAGCATAAACACGGTGTACTACATGGCTCCTTTTGCAACCATGATACTCGGTGTGCCAGCTTTGCTACTCGAAGGCAATGGGATTCTGGAATGGTTTCAGACGCACGAGACTATCTACTCTTCCCTGTTTATCATACTCCTGTCCGGTGTACTTGCCTTCTGTCTCAACTTTTCAATCTTTTATGTGATCCATTCAACAACAGCTGTCACCTTCAATGTTGCTGGGAACCTCAAGGTAAGAAGATGGAAGAACTCAGTATCCTCCACCAGTTGTGATCTTATGCAGTTGCTGCAAAATCATAATCATTTAGGGCGTTCATGGTTTATCTTAGCAAAAGCTGGACTTAGAAGCTGAAACAAATGCCGCTCTTCAATCCCACTTCTTAGAAACAACTAATCATGCTGGAAACACCAACGAGTTATTAAAATCTAAGTTACCTCACTAGTAAAATTTCATTTGTCCTTATAAAATAGGAAGTTATACTCATAATAGTTATTTCAGAAAATCAGTCTCAAGCCCCAGAACAACATTCTTGATCTCACTACTTCCTGCCGGATCGATCTCTCATTTGTTGTTGGCTGCTAATGTCTGGATTTATGTCTTATACAGGTTGCAGTTGCCGTGTTGATTTCATGGCTGATATTCAGGAACCCAATCTCAGCAATGAATGCTGTGGGATGTGCTATCACGCTCGGTGGATGTACTTTCTATGGATATGTAAGGCATTTGCTGTCACAACAGCCAGCCTCTACAGGAACTCCCCGGACGCCCAGGACTCCAAGAAGCCGGATGGAGTTGCTGCCGCTCGTAAACGATAAATTAGATGATAAGGTCTGAATTAGTGAATCGACTCTCCTGGAGAGAGGGGAGCTTTACATTACGATGATGGTGATGAATGCTCTTTTGCAGTTGACGCGCCGTAGGGAGGAGTAATTATACTTTATGTACAAGAAACTGATGAAATTCTGAGGAATTATTTAAATGTGTTGTTGTGGACTTGTTTGATTACCCATACAAGCTTAATATAAGTAAACTTTTTTTTGCTCGTGAATTGGAAACATGTATTTCTCCAGGGAACTATAATTTCTCGGATTGATTTATTAATGAAGTGCCGTATCTCAAGTACAGAGCCTCACTAATCTATCTAGTGAACTAGTCCAAGTTGCTTTTGAGAGATTTCTGGACTTCTGCATCCAAAAGGAAAAGTTGCACAGTACTTGGTGCTTTCTGGAATCTATTCTCTTCCTCCTGCTTTTTTTCTTCCACGTTTTGATGATTGAAAGATCAGCATGTGTATGTTTGTGACTGCAGTGCAGTAAGCAAGGGAAGCAAGCAAGCAGCATAGCTTTGGGTAAAAAGGTCTAAAGTAACATCATTCATAATGTTGCAGGCTTCTGAATCCAGGTCCAGAGCCCATGCGTGTAATCAAGTTCTGACAACATTAGAAGAAGATTCGAGTTTTGAGAGATGGGTTCTTACTTCCTTCCTACTGCATGTTTTGTCAATTCAGTTTCCAGGATCTAGCTAGCTAGCTAGTAGTGCCAGGACCTCATCTCGTCCCTCAGATATTCCCCCAAACAATCCATCTTTGTTCTTTCAAAAAGAACAGAACGAAAATCCGGGTTGGCATAGCTCCACTATATTATTTGTATTCATCTCCATGTTCTTGAAGAGTTGAAGTGACGCATAACTACCACAATTAGTGATAAACAAGGTATTTACCCATGTGAGACAAAGACAATCGATGAAAAGATTCCATCAATTATAGTAATAAGAATATTACACACCCATGCTGTCTTTTCTAAGACATCTTGAATCTGATTAAAGGACAGAGATGGAAGGAGAGATCTAGTTAGTAGTGACTTGTAGATACAGAGTGGGGTTTCATGCAGGGGGAATAATAAGATCTGGAAGGGGACATTGAATATGTATAATAGTTTGTTGTGGGAGTTCAGGAGAGTTGGTGGTGGTGATTGTGATTAAGATTTGCAAGGTTGGATTAGATGTGGTTGATCGAAACAAAATTATTATACTAATGGTTCTTAGGCCAAGAGCCAGAAGTTCTTTTGCCACTTGGTGCTGATGAGATACCCACTCCTGCCATAGCTCTGCTTCCTCACTCCTACAGTCATGCACTCCAAACTGTTGATGCACTTCTCTACAAATTCTTCACTCTTGCTGCTTCCACACAGACTGCCAAAAAAACAAAAGGAAACCCAGAATCACACACCAGCATTAGATTATTGGGTTGGAATTGGATCTTCAAGAAGATCTCAAAGGATGCATCTTTATTTTTTCTTCCAAAATTAAAAAAGAAAAAAAGTATCACCCACCAGCTGATGAGAGAAGAGGGTTTCTTCTGACCAAGCACAAGCACAGCCACATCTAGCTTCTTCACCTGGCTCATCACTGTGGCAAACTTCGGCCCTTGTACCACCAATGCTTCCACTTCCACCTTGAACACAACAACAACAAACCAAAAAAGAACCCAAAATTTTCAAGCTATTTGGAACAGGGGAACCGTATTGAACAGTTTTTTTTTTTTTTTTGTCAACACTGTGAAACACAATAATACCTCAGGTTTGCAGGCTTTGCAGAGGGCACCGAGGGAATTGGCGAGGAAAGGGGATGAATTTGAAGTCTGGGCGCCATGAGAAGGAGGAGGGACGATGTGAAGCAGAGTGAGCAAATCAGCTTTGTTCACAACATGAGTCAGCGCCCATATCATTGCGTGCTTCGAATGCGAGCTCTGATCCACCACCACCATCACTCTTTTCCTCATCACCAGCCCGTTGCTTCCGCCGTCGTCGGAGTAGTGGCTCTGCAGCCGGCCGGTCAATTCGTCTTCCATTTGGGTGGTAGCAGAAGCAGGGGTAGTGTATGAACAAGAGTAGTAGTCGCTGCTGTTGTTGTAGTTGTTGCTGCTGTTGTTGTAGTTGTAGTCGTAGTTGGAGTTGTAGTCATTGTAGTTTCCCCAAGCTTCCGTCCCATTATTACCAACGCTCAGCTGGCGGAGAAAGAATTCTGAACTTGCTTGTTGCATCTTTCTGTGTGTAATTTTTTTTCTCTTCTTTTCTGGGTTGCTTCAGCAAAGATGGGATGTTGATTATAAAGAAGTGAAAGGATTTAATAAGTGAGGAGGGGGTACGACTCTGCTCTGCTCTGCACAGCAAATGCTATTTACTCCGGAGAGAGAGAGAGAGAGAGAGAGGGAAGGCTACGGTGATGAATGATGATGAGGGAAAGAGGGAGTTAGGTTGGGAATTGGAGAGAAAGGATAGGTAGCTGCGAAAAACAGAGCAAAAAATGCAATCGTGGGTTTGCTTTGGTGATGGAAGAGTGACGATGATGATATATGGATCAGATAGGAGGATCATGAGAGGGTTTTTAATAATCAACAATGGGAGTAGCAAGTGGCAATGAAAGGAAGGAAGTCACGGGGATGGATGTGGCTATTCATTAACAGCAGAGAGAGAGAGAGAGAGGATTGGAACAGGGGAAGCCGAAGCTAGTAAGGAATCCAGAGTTGGTCAGATTTTTTCATGATGAATGAGAGAGAGAGAGAGTTGTTGCTGCTGCTGCAAAATATTTGTTACTCCATAGTTCGTATCTTGTGCATCAGATTTGCTTTTTGTTCTTACCCTTCTCGCCCTCCATTATAAAAATACGTTGTTTGTGAGTATTCTTTCAATCAAAAGTTCATATCACCCATTTCTTTTTGGTCTGGTTTGGTTGTTTTTACCTCTGTCGTTTGCTATCTCTGCCCGTATTAGGGTTCTTTTCCTTTGGGTGAATGGTCTTTCCAAACGAATTTTTGTTATCCTACTCCGAATATTTGCATCGAGATCGATTATTCGCGATATCGAATTCAGAAAACCACTTCAATGAATGAATGAATGAATGAATGGGTGGTACATTATATCCAGCAGTTTAAATTCAAATGTTACACGTAATTTACGCCCTACTGGCTGACTTGCTCTTTGGGAAGTTGGGATGAATGCCTATTTAGTTTAATGAGAAAGAGTCAAAACGATGGATTAATTAATCCGGTCTAGCTTCCACATTTGACTTGTGATTCCCTGTTTAATTAAATCTGGGGCTGGGGAAAAAGTTTTAAAAAAAAACGAAAACAGGTTAAACCAACTAATATTCATTAATTTAAGCTAATCCTCGGCAATTACACGTTGTCATTGGTTTGCATGAAATTCCCAACTGCAAGTAGGGGGAAGCGCCCAAAATTACAGTAACAGGAAAGATGGAAAAGCGACCGAAGTTGGCCGGCATCCTTCCAGTAAGGCGACAAAAACACACACAAACACAACGGCCAACGCCATGTTTGACGAGCAGATAGCCAAGCCAGCCAGCGACGGACAGAGAAAGAGAGAAGAAGAAGAGGACAAGGGAGATCAGAGGTTTGCTTTGGAAAGTGGCGCCAAGTCAAGTCCAATTGCCATTCTTAACTTTAGCGTTATTTACTCTCTCAGTTACTCCGCCACATGCAATGTCAATGCAAAACCCCATTTAATGCTTGTGTTCAGCCTTAAAAGCGTACTTTTTTAAGCGTAGTTCCATAAATTCAAATAAAACCAGACTTGTTTTTAAATGAAAAGTGGAAAAAGGCAAAATTTTAGAAGAAATAACGCAATTTTAACTTTTTAGGAATGAGTTTCATTCATGCAAGAATTCGGAAACTAAGGGGTCGTTTGGAAGTTGTCATAGTTTTGTTGAGATTGTCATTACGTAGGTATTTTTTTTTTAATCCAAGATAAGCCCCAGGGCATGGCCGAACAACAAATATATAAAACTGATAATAATAAAGAATGGTAGCCCGTATGCAACCGGACTCCCAATAAAAGAGCCTTTTTTGCCACGAGGTGGGCAGCTCTATGAAAGCTCCAAGTAGCAAAGACGCGAAACTGACACAGGGAGTCGAGAAGAGAGAAAGAACTTCCCTTAAAATATCTCCGACTTTAGAATGGGAAGACTTCCTCGATATAGCATCCTGATGACCGGTTGAGAATATCCTTGAGAGGTAACAACCAACATTATGAGTAAGACCCTTTCTCATAGTAATAGCATAATAAATTTTACCAAAAGCAAATGAGACAGTTCCATCACTTGAAAATCTGTCAAAGTCAGTTTGCACATCCGTGAAGATTCTTTGTGGCCCAATCAAACCGAATGAATACACTTTTGCTAGGGCAGGTTATATCTAACCCCAAAAAAGCATCCACTTTGATGCTAGAGATCTCTATCTCAAGAGATTAAGGAGTGCCCTTTAGGCATAGGCGACATAACCGAATGTAAAATATTAATTGTAAAATACATAAAATGAAGTATAATAGATCTCCATTTGTAGATGGATCTGAATTACCCAATATACAACATTCTTAAGAGTGAATTACCAAATATAATAAAATAAAATTTCTATTTAGCAAAAATTAAGAAGAAGAAGAAAAGAGACTACTAAATATGGACGTTTAAATGCTACACAATAAAGATGATAATAATAAGGGAGAAAGAAAATGAACCCACTTAATAAGGAAACGTTGATTGCTGCACAATAATGATAAAGCAAATAAAAAGGCTAGTAACTAGCAAAGTCAACAAAAAATTCGAATTAGCAATAATTAAAAGAGTAAATAAATTAGTAAAAAAGATTCCAAATCTTACCTTAACGTAAACGAACAAATGAGACATCACCGGCGGAAAGGAATTAAATTAAAAAGTAAATTTTCATATATGGCGCCGTACGTCTCGGAGCTAATTCCGGAGACAAGGCGAACAGCCATCCGGCAAACTTGGAAGGCGGCGGCCGGAGGAGAGTCCGGGATCTCCGTAACAGGGTTCCGATCGCCACCACAACTGAATAATGGCTTCGTCGATAAAACAAAAGCGTAACAGGGATTATGAACAAGATGATATCCAAATCTCTTACCTTGACCCACATCCCATCGGAGATATGAACTCGCAATCCTCAATCCTCACAACAAAAACTTCCAGAACGACCATCAAAATGACAGAGGGATTATAGAATTATGATAATGTAGTTATGGTGCCAGTTGATTACTAATTAAAACTGATGATATAAGCTTATGCGAGCTATGACGGAGAAAGACAGGAAGAGAAGGGGTGATGTGTACCGGATATGACGCCGGTGAAGTAGACGAGAATAGAGATCTTGAGATATCTGCACCGTCCGAATCCTGTTGCCATTTCCGAATTGCTAGGGGAGCCGGGAGCCCAGCAGCTCATCGTGGTGCAGATCTCCTATTGCAGACCCTAAATCGAAGGGTATTATATGCGGCTTGATTCTTCGGCGGCGGTGGTTGTGATGAGAAGAAGTTGTTGAAGTGGCTGTTGGGTTCTCATTACGTATGTATTGTTTACAATGCATCGTTTTGTTTTTTTTTTTTTTTGTTTTTTTTAGCAGAAACAATACATGGATTGTTTCTGTGATGTGACAGAAACTATCACTCATTTTGAGTGATTGTTATATCTCAACTTTTAGTTGTGATTGTTGAGATAGTTGAGTTGAGATTGTTTTGTCTCAGCTTTTAGCTGATGCGACATACACAATCACACATACCAAACGTTGTAGTCGTTTGGATGAGGAATTCTAATGGATCAATCTGACACAATTGTCTCGTTTTGATTCAATTGTGATAGATTGATCCGTTTGGCAGCAGAAAATTTGGATGAAACAATTTGGACTGGGGAATTCTGAATTGACTCATTTTGAGCCAATTACTATTGTCTGGGGTGGGGGCAGGTAATCTGAATTGACTCGTTTTAAATGACTCGTTTTGTAAAATGAAACAATTGGTCAAATTGTCTCGTTTTACAATTGATCCATCCAAACGAATGCATCAAATTCGACAATATATGTATAATATTATACATGTATTCTCAACAATACATCTATTTAACAATCGCAACTTCCAAACTACCCCTAAATGTATTTGGTGTGAAGTAGTACAAAGATGATGACATGCTGATGAAGGCCAAAACTGACATTATATTGATTAGAAATGAGTTGAGATGTTAAAAAAAAAAGCTTTCTATACAAAATAGATGATGTTCATTGTTCAATTTATCGGATTATTCATGAACAAAATGTGAAAAGGGGTAAAATGGTAAATGCGGAAAGAAACTGGTCATCCTTGTAGCTGTGGCCTGCCACTAATAATAGGGACTCTGCTTTTTTTGCTTCTCATTTTCATTCATTCACAGGTCAGGGCCCGTCAGACGGGAAACTCAAATTCATTTATTATTATCGGCAGGTTCTCTAAAGAATTATTGGGTTAATTGCATGGTTGGTCACTAAAATTACAAAATACGTTCATGTTTGATCACTGGAAATATTTAAATCCAATCATGGTCACTCAAATTAGTTAAATAGTTCCAGTTTGGTTACTCTCCGTCCAACCCCGTTAAATTTGTCTGATGTGACAGTCAACCCTCAAAGTTGACCGTTAACTCGGTGACGTGACAATTAAAAAATAATAAATAAAATAAATTTTAATCTTCCACAATTTCCAACTCATTTTCACAATATAGTAAAATAAAAAAAGTTATTATAATCACAAATTGAAAGAGTAGCTTCCGTCGCGCCGCCGCCCATCACGATCCTCTCCGGATCGAACCTCACCTTCTTCCCCCTCGCTCGCTCCATAAACCGCGGCGCCGTTAAAAGAGGGGGCGGCAGTGCAATCGCCGGAGGAGGCTGCTGCTGTTTTTGGTGTTGAACTTGAGGATGATGATGAAGAAGAACGCTCGTTGACTCGTCAATCATCGACTTGCTGGAGGATGGAGAGACGGAAGGGGTTCTAGGCGTGTTCCCACCGGAAGTCGAATGAGAACCTCCGCCGCCGCCGCCTCTGTCTTTCTCTCTCGGTTTTCTTTTTTTCCTTTCTGCAACCGGCACCCATACGACACCGTCTCGTCTACCCTTTCTTTGCCCCATTCAAAACGGACAATCGCTTCGTCTTCAACGAAGAAAACTTCCAGTGAAGTCTGGACATAGACCAGATTAATTAAATTAACATTTTATTTTCCGGCCGCCACCTTCTCTCCTCTCCGCCGGCGGAGCTTAGGTGGAAGTGGGTGGAGGATTACTGCTGGAGGAAAGGTTGCTTCCGCCACCGAGTTATAATTTATTGTGATTATAATATATTTTATTTTGTTTTATTTTATTATGAAAATGAGTTAGAAATGGTAGAAGATTAAAATTTATTTTAATTATTATTTTTTAATTGCCACGTCACCGAGTTAACGGTCAACTTTGAGAGTTGACTGCCACATCAGACAAATTTAACGGAATTGGACGGAGAGTGACCAAACTTGAACCATTTAACTAATTTGAGTGACCAAAATTGGATTTAAATATTTCCAGTGACCAAACATGAACGTTTTTTGTAATCTTAATGACCAACCATGCAATTAACCCAAGAATTATTTATCATTAATTTTCTTTAAGATAATCATTACAATTTCCAAACTATAAAAATATCACTTCGAATATAAAATATTCAATATAGCAATCCTATCACGAATTATGTGAGTTTTCGTTACCTTTGTGTCCTGAAGTCTTGTGGTGATCGTTAAAGATAATGGTTTGACCAAATGGTGGTCGGACGTTATTAACTTTCATCGATTTGGTAACTGTGGCATCCACGTAGATATCACCTTGTTGACATATTGAATACTTTATTTTTTTTATTTTTATAAATGGATACGACGCATCTCAACTTTCATTTACAAACAAGATGATGCTCTGAAAGGCCTTGACATTTGTGGTGTTTAGGATTGTTACCTCTTATTGAATACTTTATGATAGAAGTGAGAGTGTTGATATTTGTGGTGTTTCACTGATATTACCTCTTATTCTAAACATTTTAGGTTTTTAAGTTTCTTTTGGACTACTTATCATAAGCGAGGGAGTTGTATTACGATGTCATTGGGGTACAGACCCCTCCGTTTCACACAAAAAAAAAAGTGGGGGAAATTATTGATTAGCATCATATGTCATAATTCAAAATTAATTGAATTAATTGGATATGAAGGGGAATTAAGAAGAAATATATGTGAAATAGGGATATTCAAGAATATATTTGGAATAAGAAAAAATATGTCACATATGATTTTTTTTATCTTTCTCTCTGTTTATATTTTTTCCTATATTTATTTTTCAGTTTTTAAATTTTTAAAGGACCATATCTCCATTTTAATTTAGATTTGAAATTCTTTATCTAGAAAAGCAAAATATATTATTATCTATAGGATGAAATCTACTTTCATATTTCTTAGAAAAATCTCATTCATAAGTCTGTACAAATTTCATAAATTTTTATATTCACAGGTTTTTCAGTAGAATACTATACACATTTTTTTTTGTTGAATATCCTATACACACAACTTTGTATGTACATTGTGTATACATATTTTTCGAGTGCAATCTATACATAATATTTTCCTCTACAACGACCAATGTCTTGTTGTTTCGTTAAAAAACTGCAGTTCCAACATATTTTAGAAGTGATTTTAATTTCCCTAAACCTCCCCCACTTTGTTGGTTGTAAAAGGGAGATCACATCGGCCTCACCGTCCTTGTCCCCCTCTGACCTCCGCCATCCTCGTCGTTCTTGCCTGCCCGTAAAGTTGAGATCGTCTTCGTTTAAGCCTCTGATCATGCTTGCCATTCCCAACAAAAAGGAGGAAGTGAAATCAAATATATGTGTTTATATCTCCAAAATGACCACGACCCCCATAAACAAACTCTCGAACTTCGAACAATATCCTCTCTCTCCTGAACCGCTTCATGTTTCTCTAATGTCCTCCCAATACGAACCCTAAAATTGAGAGAGGTAAAGAGCACCACTGATCCTTCAATTGAAATCTAGTCATTAACGTTGGATTGGGAAGATCAAATTACTTCTCTCACCTAGTTTGCACTCACCAGTCACCACTCTTCTCCTTTCTCTCTTCGTTTTCTTTTCGCGATCACCAGAGGAACAACAAGTCAAAGCCAAATAACTAATCATACCACTCTACATACAAAGACCCCGCCACCAACCAAATTGGAACTCACCTTCACATTATAACCCCTCCCGCCATTAGAATGTTCATCATCTACCAAATCTCCTGGCTCGACTATTATACCAAGGCTAGTTCCTCCTCACTCAACGCCTCATTAGACCATCCACAATGTGAGTGTGGGGGAAAAGTGGGAAAGTGGGAAAAGAGGAGGAGATTTTGGTCACAATGTGGTGTGTGGAAAAAGTGAGTAATTGAGTTAACATTTTTTTGTTAAAAATTAAAATCAATTTATAGTTGATTTTGCCACCGCCCCCACCTCTCCCTCCACCTTTTTGTCGCATACAGGTGGGTTTTCCCACCCAATTTTCAATCTTTTTCACTTTTCTCACGCATATTATAAGTTATTTTCCCACTTTTCCCCCCGAATCCATATACATTGTGGACCGCATACTTTGTCATAACTTTTCCTTCTCCTTCTTCTTATAACAACAACTTCTTGAATTTGTAATTTGAAGCTCGTCTCCCTTGTCTTTGAAAATTGGGAGGGTGCAATATATGACAAATAAATTATGAAAATTGGGGGATTGGGGATTTGGCGTCCTCGTGAATTGGGACATATTGTAACCTTTCGGTTGCTGCTGTTGCTGCTGTATTTTACTGAAATACGGAAAAGAGTGTAAAGCATAAGAGAGTGTCAGGAGTCAGAAGAAGGGAAGGGAAGGGTCGTAGTCGTACATGTCACAAATTATTGCTCCCGTGTTGCCCGCCGATTCCCCCATCCCAATTCTTTTCCGAACTTCGCTGCATATTTACGCTTTTGTCCTTCTACGCGAGAGTTGGATTTGGGAGAAAGGTCATCTCTACAATCTAGAGCACCTGTATCTAGGGCTGTTAATGAGCCGAATCGAGTTGAGCTTTGTCAATAGTTCGGACTCTACTTGTTAATATATTTTCCGGCTCGAGCTTGGTTCGTGTTCGTCACGAGCTTTAATATGCAAGCGCGAGCTCGGCTCGTTTATGAAAATGAAAGCTCGAACTTGACTCGAGCTCGGTTCGTCAAGTAAGTTTAACGAGCCCAAAATCGAGGTCAACTCATAAAATGTTCATGATAGCTCAAGATTGACCTAGAACCGAACACAAATTTGCATTCAAACCTGTATCAAAGTCTATCAAAGTAAAACACAATATTTATCTTGATTTCAATACATAAAATTCATGAATTCTAATCTTTTCTTATGCCAAACCATTAAATGAGCTTGTTCCCGAGCTTTCGAGCTGAACATGGTATGGCTCGAGTTCGGCTCGTTTAGTTAACGAGCTTGTTCGCGAGCCGGCTCGATTAAGACGAATAGAGTGTCGAACGAGTTTTTCTCGAGTCGGACATCGAGCCGTTCATGAGGGGCTTGGTTCATTAACACCCTTACCTGTATCATATACATGTTCCAGCCTAATATATAATTATATATACCCTGGCAAGTTTGTTTGGATGACAAAGACACTGGCTTTTACCAATCGACACTGGCTTTTACCGATCATTGGATGACAAAGACACTGACTTTTCCGACGACGACACCCGCAACCCTGAAGGCAGCCCCAGCGGCCAGCACCGTGTAGTGCTCTTCATCGTCGCCTGCCATGCCTAAATTGCCTAGCCTAGCTACTACCACTTCGATCGATTGAGAGAAGTACTACTAGCTACCGACGGTAATTCATAATTAATGAGTTTCTAAAAGGAAAAAAAAAAAGGTTTTGCCGAATCCATTAGGGAAAGGGAAATAATTATTAAGCTTCGAAATAATAATAATAATAATAATAAAAGATTTGTGTGATTAAGAATAATGATGATCTCATACTACTTACTCCCACCGTACGTGTGCTAATCTAACATTTATTAATTCAATGATGTGATGAACTCGATAGACGAAGTAGCACAGAATAATGGGTTAGGGTTGTCACATCCTCTGTTTCTTTTCTTATCTTATTATTATTTTTTTATATCATCAATCAAGATTCCTTTCAAGGAGGCCGAGTAATTGGTAACGAAAAATCGCAGGGAGCGGATTAGGGCCGGTGAGTAACCTTAGGCTTGACTTTCAGCCATGTGCTCTCCACGTTACAGAGCTTCATTGTAGTATTGTGTTAAGTTACGAGTATTATTATGTAATTGATCACCGTTATATTCCTTATAAGAGTCGTATAAGTTAGGTAACTTCCGTATTAATGTTAAGGTTATTCTAAAAGTCAGTCTCATATTGCCCTCCGTCATTGCTTTCTATTATTATTTGGAGTCTTCTTCATCTGTGGCTTTTTGGGAAGGAATAGAAAATCCTCTAGCTTCCCTTCCGTTATTTTCAAGGGGATTTGGTCGATTTGTTGCTGCCTCCACCGCGTCCACACACGAATTTCTACGAGTCTCCGCTTTATCTCGTCAAGTCTGCACACTAATCACCCGAGATTGCCACTAATCACCATGGTGTTTATGAAGTCCAAATTTCAGGTTTTCTTTCACACTTGATACTGGTAAGGATGATGATTAGCTATCTAATATGTAACGCTCAACCCCGCCATCCTCCTGGGTGAAACAAAAAAAAATTTGTTTCCTTTTTTGCCACCAATAATGTCTGATTCCAGAAGTTTTGTAGGGTTCAGTTTCTTTACATTCCAAAATTAGATTAGAAACCCTCAGACAAGCTTATATCTGTATCCTCAAAAGATTTCCCCCCACTCCAAGCCAAGTACTCGTATATAATAATCCAGTTGGAACTGGTAGTTGATTCTGGAAAAAGAAAGCAAGCCTCTGAATCTGATACCATTGTTCCATTACTGTAGCTGTCATCATTTTTTGCCAAAAGTCAAGCTTTTCCTGTCGATATTGTCCATCCTAACCAGTATTGCTCCACGACTCTCTTCATCTTCACTCCAGCTAATTGAATCTCTATCCAATAATTTCTTAATCTACACAATTCAACCAAACATTTTATTCTTCTTGCTATCGCGCATGCATGTAATAATGAACACAAAAACCTTACGACTTACGTATTTTCGACGACTCCCTTTGGTTTTGTCCTCCTCGTCATCAGTCTCCACGATGATCTTAAGGTAATTGATTGCTGATGCACAAAGGAAAATCGAAAACATGATTGTTAGGAAGAATATTCCTTACCATGCAGTACATTTCAGAAGCAAGAAAAGTAATGTTGCTCAACTACTACTCACATGGGATGCCTGCAAGAGAAGATAGATGACACTTCAAAACGCGTATAGCTTCCTTGGTATCATGTTCATGGAGATCAAGCACCATCTGGTCTTGTGTCTGTGCGTATCTGTCATAAGTACCGGAAGATAAACATAAAATAATAAGGGTAAATCTCCAAATGGAGATACTGAATGCTGAAAGACAACAAATATTTAAGCTCATCAATCAACTGACTTGGTGTCAAAGAGCTTGTTGCTAGATTCATCATCGGCTAGTTGAGCCTTGCTACGGAAAAAATGTCCCTGCAAATTTTTATAAGTTATGAGATCAAATTTGAAAAGAAAAAGAGCTCTAGTAACTGCTCCAAAATCACCGGAAAACAAACAAAATGCCAACTTTACTTTATTTGAAGAGGCTGAAATTACCTGTTCCATCAGTCTGTCTGCTCTCTCATGGTCTTCGTTGATGAATGCTTGAATAGCCTGATAAGCAATCCAAGTGTTGTCATCTTGACCAATATTAAGTGAAAGAAACAACCCTCTCAATTGTTTAGGAGTATGAATAAGCACAAAAATGGCTGAACCATAAAAGATATTTTTCCTATTAACTCAAAAGTTATATTTATTGACTCAATAGTTCACGGTGCAAATGAGTGACAAACGTACAGATCTATAATATTCCTTCATTGTAATTCGGTACTCCTTCACAGCCCTACGAAGGCGCTGGTACTCGTCCTCCTCTTCTTCAGCTTCATCTCTAGGTGCAACTAAAAAAAATAGAGTACTTACAAATGCAGCAGAAGAAAACAAACATTCAACCTTGATATGACAATGTTCTTGAAAACCTATCTTCTAACATGTTCTTCAAAACATGACATTGGCATTGTAATTGAAGTTTCTGATGCATTAGTCAAGAGAACATACCATTGTCAACACCTGTCAACGCTTTAATTGGTTTGCTAATCATAACCTCAGGCAGGGGTGCCACTACAGGTTCGCGTGAAGCAACAGCTACTCTCCTAGGCCTCACTATTCTCCTAGGAGGCTCCTCGTCTCTATCAGGGGCAGTAAATAGTGCAGAAAAAACTTCCTTCTGGAGATCATTTTTATCTTGCATGGCTGATCGCCTGGCATTTGGATTTGAAACTCTCTTTTAACATGGAGGAAGCAAGACACAAATACACTTGAAGATCGATTCCCCCTCAGATGAACAAGTAAAGACATTTTGGTAATTCAAATGAAAATCCAGTTATTACACTAAGCATTTAAGTGGGAGATACAAAACTATGCAATAGGCCTTTGAAGATTCACAAGCATAAATTGAAGAAAAATATTCAATTGCTTCACTCTCTAGCAGATTAAAATTCTGTACCTTTGTGAACGGTTCCGTGTTTTGTTTACACTTTCACTAGTACCTTCAGCAGTTGAAATTGCATTTGGAAGCTGCGGGACAAAAAGTAAATGCCTAGCAAATTAATCATTTTCCCCCTAATTTGAGGCATGATGGAAAAAGCACATAGCAATAACATGAAGATTTTACTGTGGCTGAAGAAACCACCAGTTAGCATGATGTTACACTTGTATAACAAAGGAAACCAAGATAAGCAGTTAAAAATATCTATAATACGAAAAAATTGAGCACAGTTCTTTACCAAAAATTGAACGGAGTAGAAAATGTTATGTCTCTATGGAAAGCAGTAAAACACAAAATGTAGAAGATATTGTTCACTGTGCAGGGTTCATAAACAATTCCAGGAGCATGCATTGTCTTGGAAGGGACTAGACCCCATATTCTAGAGGTTATATACAGGCACACCTCACTAAAGCTCCTCCTAACAATGATCATTAATCCTTTTGCAAATTAAGAACAAGGACAGGACCATGTTTCTGCTGGGAAGCAACATTCACATTGATAGACATTCTACTTCCAAATGAAGACATCACATGCAACAGTAGTATCGGTACAGATAGGTGAAGTGATTCATGGTCTTTTTCATCACATAGCAAATTTAGCAATCAAACTAACCTTTTCCACTGATTTACCGAAACATTTGTCTTCTTTGTCTGAAGTCATCTCCGATAAATCAAGCAATTTCTCCACGCACTGAATACAAAGCAAGTGAACCACGTTAAAATCATAAACAGCTTGAGCAGAATAAGAATGGGCCAAAACATTATTAAAGTATCTTTACATTATTAGCTAAGTGGACTCCTCTTTCTAAAACGTGGAATAGATGGTCAAGTATTACTCATTTTTACTGAGGTAGTGCTCCTTAAAAACGTGTCAACTAGGATACACATAAAATTCCAAGAAGTTAAAATAAGAGTATCATTTAGTTGAAAAGGAATAGCCATTACCTTTTGCATGTTATATCCACACTTATCTGCATATTCAAGATAAAACTCTCATCAGTGATCCTATTCATAATGATCTTGTTTCAGAATCAAAGCCAATAATATCATACAAGGAATCCTGTTATGGCTTCCACCCAATATGAAAGTACCTGGAATAACTTTTGAGAACTAGAACAAACTCCATCTGTACTTGTAAAATATGTTTTAAGATGTAAACCAATTTAAAAGAAGGTAGCTGAAATAGGATCATGTAAAGCTCGATGCCAATGTGCCCCCAGAAGAAACGAAAGTTGAGTCCCACATATTCGCAAATTTTACAGAACAAAGAACTGTTTTTGAATTGCCAGAAATGGTCTCTTATCGAACATATGGAAAAGAATAAGTAACTGTATATAGATATATAAAAAATCAGAAAGAATGGTTACCAAGAACGTCGTGAATCATTTCTCTTTCCAAGCGAAAGCCATTTCCTAGCATCTTGAAAAGGAAATCCTCCATTCCCTCCAGCATCTTGTCATTCACAGATAAACCCTGCCTGTCTTTGGTTTCTCCATCATCAGATACAAGCCAGTCATTTGCATCCAGTTTCAATGGTTTTGTGGACATAACAGAGGCAGTGCTCCCCGGTTTGGACTTGATATAGTCTTTACCAAGAAAACACGACACAGTGCCTCCGGAAACTGGACGTGCCTTTTGCTTTGGAGCTCCGATCTTCTCATCTGGATAACATGATACAGCCGAGGCACTGGGATTGGATGAAACAGAAGCATTTTCCTCGATTTCCTCTTTCAAAGATGCAGAAGACGAAGATGGCAGTGAACTTCCATGCCAATCATACAGAATCTGACCAGCTAAGTCAGGGTTGCGGCCTGCCTTGCAGTAAACAGAAGCAATTTGTTCAAGGGAAAAGAGAGAACCAAATGCCTCAAGCAACGCTGCTAGTGCCTTCTCCTCCTCATCATACGTTGGGACATTACAAGGAGCTACCTCCATCCCTATAGCCTGCACAATAGGAAATGAACAAAGGTGAAAAGAAATTGATCAGCCAAAGAAGGTAAAGATGCAGAGGAAGACATTGTGCATGCGTAAAATGAAGTCAGCAGAATGCATGATCGTTCATCGCACTCTTACGCCTTTCTTTCTCCAGTTGCAGGGATGGAACTTGGAAGCATAAAATCGTGACTATCGAACACTAGAACGGGAGATGGACTTTCTAATAAAATCGATACCAGAAAATAAACACAAGTCAAAACGAAACGGAAAACACAGTAGACGCGATGCAATTAAAAAAAAAAAAGCCCAGGCAACGGCACATACAACCATGCACGGAAGTTGTTCGACGAAAGTACTCGGCCACTTAGAGAGAAGGTTGGTTAATCAATGTTCTTTGGGGGGCACAATTTCCGCGATGAATTGCCAGCCAAACAACCCTTCCTCATCCGCAGAATTTCAAACCCCGAAAATGTGAAACCAATTCTTCAAACAGGCCATAATCGGGATCGGCATTCCACGCACATTAAAACATGAACGCTCAACAACACTCCCAAGAAAGTCAGAAGGCAATGCAGTTCGAAACAAATTCGAAGAAGGACGAAGAGGAACCAAAACCATCGCAGTTTGCAATTCAAGCTACGACACTTGATCGAATTGGGGATACAGGCTTCAGTTTCGGCAAGGAATCATCGAAGAACAGCAGGAAGTGAGAGAGAGAAGAGAAGGAGGAAGAAGAAGAACTCACCGGAGGAGTTGAGTGAGAGAAGATCAGGAGAAATGGGAGGCCGTTGGCGGTGGGTTGGGACTCGCCGTTGCTGTGAGCATAGCGCCGGTTGCGAGAGCGAGAGAGAGAGAGACTGTCACGCAAATAAAAGCGAGAGAGAGAAGCCGGATTATTTCACTTTCTTGCTTGCTACTCTCTTCATTTCTTTTTTATTATTAAATTTTATAATTTTACCTGTAAATTGAATGGGAGAGAAAGAATGATCGGATCGTCTTCTTCGCTTGTCTCGTTCGTTAGCAGGGAAGGGGAGGAGGAAGCCTTTTGGCGGTAATCTAGAGACGTTACTACTCTCTTTCTCTCTACAATCACAATGTCCTTGTCTCTCGTCTCGTGCCGTCTCTGCTCCTTTGATTCTCTTCCTCTATTGAGCCGAGTTCCACTGTTACGCGTTTTCTGCCTTGTTTTGGAATAACGTCGAGCTGGCTTTCTACTCTACTGGGTCTGGTTGATTTTCTTTTCATCCCTTTCCAGATTTTTAGATTTTATATATTTTTTTTACGATATATATTTTATATTTCAAAAGATATACTCCATCCGCCTTCTTTTGCAAGTTCCTTCTCTTGGAAGTTAGGGCCGTTTGGAAGTTCTCTGTTTTTTTTATTTTTACTTTATATTCCCTATTTCCCTTTCAATTAAATAGAGGGGATGTAATATGATTATTAGGTTTATGCAAATTGATGATGTGTAAAAGTCACCATTAGAGTTTCTTTTTCTTTCTCCAAAAAGAGTATTCATATTACAAGACAAACCATCGCCGCGACGGTAAAGAGATTTTGGTCGCAATCTAAGAAACAAATCGTGGTGGAAAAGAGAGAAGGTTGGAATTCTGTTGTGGGTCGACAAAGAGAGAGGAGATCTGAAAACTGGGGAGGAAGGTAGTTGGCAAACACGGACGACGCGAAAATCTGGGAAACGAAATGCTGCAAATTTGGTGAGAAGAACCTGTTGGTGGTGAAGAGTTGGGATCAACGATACGAAGGGACGCAAACGGAGGTTGAAAGGGAGGCGGCAATTGTTTCCCGCGGAAGAGACGAAGTGGGCTTAATTTGAGAGGCTGACGTGGATCATCCTTCGTTGAGGAAGGCTTACGTTGACGGGGTGTAAATCTGAAAGCGCTTTAATATTTTTAAAGATTGAAGAATCAAACATATATACGAAGCTCATGAGGTCAAAAATAACCAATAACTAAAATTGAACATAACTAAAGAATGGAACATTGAAAGGGTCTTTCGTGTGATATGATCCCAAATTGCCAACCATTCACGTCGCAATTACTTGACAAAGAAGCTATCGAAGTTGGGAAGAAGAAAAGGCAGAATTTGGCTAAGTCAAAAGCTATGTTCAGGGCACCTACTTTGGAGGCATGGTTCTCTCAATTGGCTTGGTGGAAATTCCAGTTTAAGGGTTTGTTTTGAAGATAAAGTTGCCATATTTCCAATGGTATGCTTTATAGATCCAGAAGATGTCATTAAGGTTGTTTTCCAAAGCATCAAAGTTGCTACATCAAAACTGGAAAACTGCCAGGAAATTGTCAAGTATAAATATATGTTCGTGAAGCCTACTTTGGAGCTCAATTCGGGGAGCATGGAAGGGATTCAAGTTCAAAGGCTTCTACAACATGAAAGTAGGTATGTTTATCTATCAAGGGAAGGAATCGGATGAAAGATCGGAGTTCTGGAAGGCCTCGAACAAAAGGCATGAAGTTAGTACGAAAGCTGCTTTGGGACTGTTTGCTGGCAGCTTACTTGCGATTGAAGAAAGAAAGTTTAAACCCGAGTTTTTGTGTCCTTTTTAGTGTAAACTTTTACCTTAATTGTTGCCTAGCTCTATTAGGATTGTATTAGGTTTATTTGCCTTTAAATACCTTCTAGTTTTCGTTGTAATAATAAGACTTTGATGAATCGAAAAACAAACATTTGGTTTTGTGCAAGTTGCGACTTGTTTGAGTTTGGTGGATTCCAAACTTGTGAGCTTTGTATCGATTGAACATCCTCTTCAATTGTGGTCGAGCAGCTACCCTTTTATACCATTCGAGCTTTCCCCATGTGTGGAATTGTCCGTTGGTTCCGTTTTATCCCAATTTCGTATTAAGAACGCGGTGTTCTTGATTCGAGTTCAATCAATCTTTGGATTAATTGTTTGCTGCGTTACTTTGATAAAAATACACCCCTCAGGGGCGTATTATCATGCCACCAAATGAGCAACCATGTTATACTGATGACCAAATAAACCTAACATCAAGCGGCCCAAAATCTCACCGCACAACCGCAATCTTCCTTAGAACTGTAACCCCTCGAACATGTGTAAGCTATCCGGAGTCTATCCACCACAACCATCTCGAGCATCGCCCACAAACACCATAGACGATAGACTTCTAGATAGGCACCATCGACTCACATTACGCAGCAAACAACAGTGGATGGTAATTGATAGACTTATTGGATAATGACACCTAATCGTCATTACTCGCATGGGTATTCGATTGGACCCAAATTGACTCATATGCACTTTAATAAATTTGGAATTGAGTTCGTTCCAATAAACCATTTCACTATTTGTCTTCAATCGATATTTTTGTTAAAAAAGACAAAAATTACATAGGAGTTCGATAAGGAGGAGATGTACTCGAAACTACTTCCCTATTCTTCTCCGTCACTACTTGTTACTGTTATCATTATGTTTCCTTAGTTTACGTTAGTGGGTACTGCTTTGCTTAGGAATAGCTTTCTGTTATACTCCTCAATGTATATATATACATATCAATAATACAAGTAGAATCGGATTTCCCGAGACACTTTCATGGTATCAGAGCCATAATAAACTCAAACGAGTTACATACCTTTTCTTTTTCTTCCTTTTCTGTCTTCTGCTTCTTCCTCCAATGGCTACTTCCTCCACTACATCTGATTCTTCTTCTCCGTCCATCCAATCTCCCTCTCCACAGCGCTTGCTGATTCCTTCAAATCCCCAGCTCACTGTCAAATTAAATCCAACCAATTATTTGCTATGGCGTGCTCAGATTAACCCTTTACTTCGATGTAACCGTCTCATCGGACACATCGATGGCACTCTTCCTCCTCCTCCCTTGACTGTCGAGAGTCAACCCAATCCAGCCTATGCCACCTGGTACGAGAATGATCAGGTCGTCCTTGCCTGGATTAATCTCTCGCTGACGGAAGCTGTGATGCCCACCATTGTCAACAAGACTACTGCTCGTGATGCCTGGGATGCTCTCACTGTTGTCTACGCCTCGGGCTCTCCCGTCATCATCGGCCAGCTCCGCAAGAATCTCATTCGTCTCTCTCGCGACAATGAGACGATCCATGACTATATCCACCGCGCCAAAGCTATCTATGATAAGATGCTCGCTCTCGGCGCTACTGTCACCGAACAAGAGCCGGTGATTGCTCTTCTCGATGGCCTCGACGAGGACTATCGTCCCTTCACCCGCAACCTCGAAGCGTGCCTGGAGCCGATTTCCTTTGAGAATGTGAGCAGTCTCCTTCTCAGTGAGGAGATTCAGCTACAACGCTTCCAATCGGCTTCTGTGGACAGTGCACCACCGCAGACCGTTTATTCTGCTCGCGGGGGGCGCAACGGCGGCCGCTACAGTCGTGACAGAGGGCCTCGTTTTGCTGGTCGTGGGTTTTCCCAACCGAGCCGTTTCTCTAACCCTTATTTTGCAGGTCGGCCCATTTCTGGTGAATCAAGGCCCGCTTCTTCAGGCCTGCTGGGGGTTGGGCCTTCAAGCCCATCCATGTTGGTATGTCACAATTGTGGGGGGAAGGGTCATAAACGCCCACACTGTCTTAACCCGTTTATTTCAGCCCAACCCACTTACACTCCTGGACCTGCCTCCCATCTCGCCCAATCCTCTCACCCCGCCCAGTCCTCGTCACAGTGGCTTCTTGACTCCGGTGCCAATCATCATCTCACCTCCGATTTGGGTAAACTGATTCATCATTCTGAATACAATGGTCCTGATCAAGTCACATTTGGCGATGATAAATGTCTGCCTATCACTCATTCTAGTTCATCTACTGCTCAAATTTCTACTCGTTCCTATGTTCTCGATATATGCTTCATGTTCACCATGCTCCTCAAAATCTTCTCTCTGTATGCTCCTTGACTCGTTCTAACCCCATCTCCATTGAATTTTTTAATACCTATTTTGTGATCAAGGATCGCCGCACGAAGGATGAGCTCTATCGTGGTTTTGCGCGTGATGGCCTATACTCTTTGCCTCTCCATATCCAAAGTCGCACTCTTCCTCGTGTCTTCACTGCTTCTCTTGATCTCTGACATCAGCGATTGGGTCATGCGAATATCAGGGCCGTCAAACATCTTTTGTCTACTCATTCAATAAATTACCATGATAGTTCTCCTTCCTTGTGTCATGGTTGTTTTATTAGTAAGATTCACAAATTGCCATTTTCGTCTTCCCAATATGGTGCTTCTGCACCTTTAAATTCGTTTGTAGTGATCTTTGGGGCCTTGCTCCTATTCTTTCATATGATCGTCAAGCCTATTATGTTCTATTCTATGATCACTATAGCAAATTCAGCTGGGTGTATTTTGTGCGTTATAAATCTCAACTCCTTAATGTTTTCATTCAATTTCGCCAACTGGTTGAGAAATTTTTCGGTCTCCCCATTAAAACTTTTCAATCTGATTGGGGAGGTGAATATAAGAAATTGTCAACTTATCTTGCGGGTAATGGTATTGTTCATCATTCTTCGTGTCCCTATACCCCAGAACAAAATGGTTGTGCCGAGCGGAAACATTGCCACATTGTTAATAATGGTCTCGCTATGTTACACCAGGCTAATGTTCCGCTCAAGTACTGGTCTCTCGCGTTTGATACTGCTTGTTATCTCATCAATCACACTCCTACTCCTCTTCTTCAAAATCACTCTCCCTTCCATACCTTGTTTCACAAATCTCCGGATCTTCAAAATCTTCGGATTTTTGGGTGTTTGTGTTATCATTGGCTTCGTCCTCAAACTTCACATAAACTTCAACCACGTTCAACACCATGTGTTTTCTTGGGTTATAGTGGTTTACATAAAGGTTATCGGTGTCTTGATCGCTCTACTGGCCGTGTTTATGTCAGTCGTCACGTTATTTTTTATGAATCAATTTTTCTTATAAAGACTCACCTATCGACCCAACTGGATTAAGCCCCACAGATCTCTTCCTCTCTGAGCCCGTTACTCTACCCAGCCCGTTACCGGTCCATTTCCTCGGCCCAAAATCCACTTTCAACCCGTCTCCTTTATCATCTCCATCCCAGCCCACTCTCATCACTCCCCAGCCCAAATCCCCTCCTCGGCCCACTCCCATCACTCCCCAGCCCAACTCCCCGCCTCGGCCCACTCCCATCAACCCACAGCCTATTCTCCCTTCCCTCTCTATCCGTCACAGTGATCCCACCCCTTCCAATCCGATTCCTCCACCTAGTCCTCCACCTTTGCTTCAATACCACCGCCCCGCACCTCCACCCATCCCCCGTCGCCACCCCTGATATAGTATCATCGCCATCCTAGACCTACTGCCCCGCCTTCTATTCCTCCTCCCATGTCCTCCCATCCAATCCCCACTCCATCACCACCTGTTTCCAAGATCCCCCATCGTCCCCGTTTTAACATTTCCCCTCGCATTGTCCCACCACCAGCGCCCAGCCCTTCCCGGCGGATTCTCACTCGCACTCAGACCGGCAAATTGCCGCCGCGCCAGTACCTTGCTGCTGCTCCATCTGGCATACCATCAACTGCTGTTCAAGCCCTCAAATTGCCCCACTGGCGAGCTGCTTTGGTCACCGAATTTGACGCACTTGTTCGCAATCACACCTGGGACTTGGTTCCAACCCCGCCTGATTGTAATGTTCTTTCTAACCGCTGGGTGTTTGCAGAGAAGACTAATCCAGACGGTTCTCTTGGACGGGAGAAAGCACGGCTTGTTGCTCGTGGCTTTGAGCAAATCCCCGGTCATGATTTTGGTGACACTTTTAGCCCAGTATTGAAGCCAGCAACCCTTCGTCTTCTCCTGGGCATTTCCGTCTCCAATGCTTGGTCGTTACACCAACTCGATATCTCCAATGCATTCTTACACGACACCCTTAAAGAGGAGGTATACATGCGCCAGCCAGTTGGATTCATTGATCCCGAGCATCCGGATTACGTCTGTCGTCTACGAAAATCTATCTATGGATTGCGCCAAGCGCCCCGTGCTTGGTTTCACTGTCTGTCACAGGCACTTCGAGACTTTGGCTTTGTTGCTTCTCAGACGGATCCCTCACTTTTTATTTACACGAGTGGTTCTTCTCTCCTTTACATGTTGGTCTATGTGGATGACCTGGTGATTACAGGTAACGATTCGTCCGTTATACAGCAGCTTCTGGTTCATTTCCACTCCAAGTTTGCTCTCCGAGACCTTGGTCGTCTATCATATTTTCTCGGACTCGAGGTTCATTACACTCCCACTGGTTTGATCCTAAATCAGCGCAAGTATATCCTCGAGCTGCTGGAACGCTCATGAATGGCTCAAGCCAAGTCTATATATCCAGCCTTGTACTCCTGACCAGTTGGTACAAAGTGGGTCTGATTTGTCACCAGCATTTGATAATCCCAGCCTCTACAGGAGTATTGTTGGCGGTCTGCAGTATTTGAGTTTCACAAGACCGGATATCTCCTTTGCGGTGAATCACGTCTCCCAGTTCCAGCACTCCCCTACAGAGGCACATTGGGCAGCCGTGAAAAGAATCATGCGTTATCTTCAAGGTACCATCACTCAAGGATTGCTCTTCCAACGGTCTGCTCATTCCCAGTTACATGGTTATTCAGATGCTTCCTTTGCCTCTTGTCCCAAAGATCGAAAATCTATTTCTGGGTTTGTTGTTTTTCATGGTTTGAATTTGGTGTCTTGGTCGACTAGAAAACAGAAGGCGGTGGCCAGGTCTTCCACGGAATATGAATATCGAGCCCTCGCTACTCTTGCATCAGAAGTCATTTGGCTACAGGCGCTACTCGCGGAACTCGATTAATCACCTTCCTCTTCTCCTGTTCTATGGTGTGACAATTTGGGAGCCACCTACCTTACTCACAACCCGGTCTTTCACACGCGCTCCAACCACCTCGAGATTGAGTTTCACTTTGTTCACGATCGGTCAACAAGCAACAACTACATGTCCGGTACCTTCCAGCAACCGATCAACTTGCCGACGTTCTTACGAACCCTCTTACCCGCCAGTCATTCCGTGGCTTTTGTTCCAAGTTGCACCTCTCCGAGGTTCCACTTGCGAGGGCGTGATAAGGAGGAGATATACTCGAAACTACTTCCCTATTCTTCTCCTTCACTACTTGTTACTGTTATCATTCTGTTTCCTTAGTTTACGTTAGTACCACTGCTTTGCTTAGGAATAGCTTTCTGTTATACTCCTCAATGTATATATATACATATCAATAATACAAGTAGAATCAGATTTCCCGAGACACTTTCAGAGTTAAGTATCCATTTTCTTTTGGGTAAAACTAAGGAGTTGGATATTAATATCCTAAAAGTGATTAGGCCAAAATTGTGCCTAAAACCAACTCCACAAGAAAAGATGCCACCATACAAAGCTGCAGCATGTATCACCACCATGACCGACGCAGCATGCTTTTTTTTGGGGGGGCTAATGAACAGAACTTTAGAGCTATACTATTGGAACTCCCTCCCTCACAGTGGATAAAATGAAGAGTGTAAACAAACTGTAGAGCTGACCTTTGCTGCTGACTTGCAATGGATTAAGCAAAAGCTGGCAATCACTTGACATAGGCAACTGTACAGCCGAAGTTTGTTGCACTCTCTGGCTCAAATTTACTGACTCGTGGATGCTTTCCTAATATCTCGTGCGTTCGCTGCTTCACAACTCCAGTTCCTGTCCCGTGTACCACAAAGATAACTGACTGCGGCTCCACAGCAGATAAGGCTGTGCTCAAGTGGAGAGCAGCTTCTTCTACTCTCATCCCTCTGAGATCCACGGTGTTTCTTGATGTTTGCACGCGCGCACCATAAACTTCCTTCGGTTTCTCGATTGCTGACTCTGAGTCCACGGGACGAACCTAAATGATAGATCAATTTCACAGAGAGCCACTGTCAGTTATGAACCAACCAGATTACAGTATGGCACCCCATGTTTTTGTCATTAACAGCCCCCCACTAACCCACAACCCATTTGCCATTCTAGCTTGCTAACTGAAACATAGTAGCTCTGTGACTGTGAATGCAAACCAGTCTTACCTGCCTCTTTATCCGTCTCGTTGAGCTAGATGAACTGCTCTTCTTAGTAACTCTGGTAGCTCTGATGTCAGTCTTGTTCACACGAACTTTGATTTTACCATATTGCACTAAAACTGCATCATCATCGCCAGGGGCTTCGACTACAGTAGCTAGCTTGTCGCCCAGTGACTTCACATGTACTTTTTCTCCAACCTTTGGGGTATAAGATACAATGTCCGTTTCCCTTCCAGAGAGACTAGGAGCAGGACAGTTGGCTTCCACGATTGATGCAATTCTGGTTTCTGCCTTTTTAACCAGTGCATTGAGCTGCTCAGTGCTAGTTGTTCTAAGTTGGTTATCGAAATCCTGTAATACAGATTGGAAGGCAGACTTCACAGCCTTTACATCCTGTTGGACCTGCTGAGTTTCCTGTGCCATGAGATCTACCACCCGCTTATCAAGTTCTTGTGCCTCCTCTTGAAGCTTAAGTGGGGAAACCAGGGAGAGGAACATAGAAGAGAGTTAATTAGGAGATGACAGGATAGATAAATAAAGTACATAAGTATGGGTCATTTATCCCTAAACATTAATCAAACGGGTCTGCTTTCCACACAAAACAAACCCACATTTGAGGACGTATCAAGATGGACCAACTGAAGCCCCAAAATCATTTTAATTTTGATTAAAGTGTGTACCAGAGAAGGCAAGCTCAGTCTGTTCACCCTTTGAATAATTTAGAACATGAAGAGAGTGTCTTTCAATTTCACAAATGAAGGCATCAGGCTCGAGTTGCAGAAAACTCGTAAAGCAACAAAAGCTTCAGACTTTCAAACCTCACCTCATTGTATATCTCCATTATTTCTGCATGCAAGGATGCAGCTTCCCCTGCCTGAGCCTCCAATCTGCCTCTTTCCTCCACTAATGCCTGATAAAGCAAGCCTCTTCGCTCCTGCTGCATTTCTGGCCTTAACTTGTCCAGCCAAATTTGTGCACGTTCAATTATACCGCTGTCGAAACCAATAGATCTAGCAATGCTTAATGCATTTGAATCACCAGTGCTTCCCCATAAAATTTGGTAGGTTGGTTGCAAGGTTTTAAGACAAAACTCCATTGCTGCATTCTCAAATCTGGAGTCATTTTCTTTAAGGCGACTGAGATCAGCGTAATGAGTTGTCACAATAGCCAAGTTGACCCTACTCCCAAGATATCGCAAGATGCTTGCTGAAAGAGCCACTCCTTCAGAAGGATCAGTTCCACTGCAGATCTCATCAATGAGCACAAGGGATCTTTCTGACGTTACTTCCAAGATCTTGCAGATTCGAGATATGTGCCCGCTAAAAGTAGAAAGACTTTGTTCTAAAGACTTGACAAACAAGACAAAGAGTTAAAAGTAAAGAACAACGTCCAGCAGAACCAAGGGGGCGAAAACCCGATTGAAAAATGCAATAAATACCTGATGGTCCCCTATATCTGCCAGAACAAGATCGAACCATGGTAACTTAGGGGCATTCAAAGCAGGCAAATACAGGCCAGCCTTAGACATCAAAGATGCTACACCCAGAGTTTTCATTGAAGCAGTTTTCCCGCCAGTGTTAGGCCCTGAGATAACCACCACCCTGGTTCCACATCTCACTTTGATGTTTATTGGCACAGGGTAATCAGGTTGGCTTTCTGAAAAACGTTCCTTGTCCACTGCATTTCCCTCACCCGATTTAGACGAATTCTCCCGTTTCGACTCAAGAATGTTGGAAACATCTCTCTTAGCTGTTCCAACTAGCAATGGATGACGTATACCTTCAATATCTACCAACAAGGAATCAGATGCTTCACCTGAATAAGCAGCCGTGCACCACTCCGATGTAAGAATCGGGCACACACCATTCATCCACTGTGAATAACCAGCTCTAGCAAAGGCAAGATCAATTGCCAAAATACAATCCAACAAATACCTGATCTCCCTCTCAGATTCTGCAATCTCAGAAGTAAGCAAGCTCAAAACAGCTACTTCCTCCTCCTTCTCGGAATTCGAAAGCATGACTTCCAAGTTATTCAACTCAACGGCGTCACCAGGCTCCATGAAGTATGTTGCACCAGAGCTACTAGCATCTAAGACCACACCACCTTTGATTAAGTGCCTGTGAGAAGCTCTAACTCCGACACAGAACCTGGACCGGCGTTTGGTTACCAAAGGTTTATCAATGCCGCCACCTTGATACACTCTGGTAGACGCAGCTTTCAGCAAGGCATCCAAGTTCTCCATATTCTGCTTCCTCTCCGACCTAATGATCTCCAAGTCTTCGCTCGCTCTGTCAAGGATTACCGAGAGATTGCAGTCTATACAAAACCCAATTTTCTGCTCCAATTCAAATTGGAAATCGCAATCCTCAATTATTTCAAGCAGAGCGGCACTCCTATCGCAACAACACACAAAACACAAAACGAGATTACGAGAATCAGAACTCCCTCCACCCTAACGCCATTGCATAAAATGATTTCAATAGAATCCACAACATATCCATTACCTTTCCGAGCCATCCCCGCCGTGAGCCAACCTCTCCGCCACGGCTCTCGCTGCTATCAGCGTCCGCCTCACTGCACAGAGCTCCCTAACGGTGAGCAGAGTCCCGGAAACAGCGGAATCGACGATTTCGGTGATGTCCTGGAACTGGGAGAGGTCCAAGGGTCCAGAATCCATGGCCGATATGGCGGCAGTGGTTTGGTCCAGAAGCTTCTGGCTCTCCTCCGGTGTGTTTCCGATGGGGATGGTTGCCCGTTGAGCCACCCCGCGGCCCAAGGAAGTGGAAGTGAAGCGAGAGAGCTGAGCGCAGAGTGAGTCCCATTCCAGAGCTTGCAGCGTTTCCGACTGCAGAGAATTCGGGGAGCCGAGTTGTGAGCTGGATGAGATTGGGAAGCAACGGAGAAGAGGCTTTGGTGTTGTGCGATGGATGGAGAAGAAAGGTGGAGAGTTGTTGATGGAGACGAAGCGATTGAGGTGGAGGGCTTGCATTTCAGTTCCAGTTCCAGGGGAGAAATACGGATTGAGCGGAAGAAGCCGCAAACATATCTACTAAACTTCAGAAAAAATTAGATAAATTAAACAGTCTTTTGCTTTTTTAACCGTAAGAGTTGCTGTGTTGTAGACTTGAAGTGGTTATCATGTCAGTTTTACACATTGAAGGTCTCGGGTTTAATTCTCAGCAGTAACATTATTTCAGATGCTATTCACTTTTTTCTTTGGTAAAATTTGGATTTTGTAAAATTATAGATATATAAGCATTTTGGGTAAGGATTTTGGGTTCATTATGGACTTGAAAAATACCATTATTTGTTACATAGATTTATGATAGAATTGGTTAATTAGATTTGTTTGTATGAAGTAAAATTTACTCATATTGCCCTCATAGGTATGAAAAGATAATTTTGTGCTCCGAAATCCGAACGTCATGAATTTTTTTTTTTCCGCATAACTTTCGAATGACTACAATTTTTATCATAGACATAATTTCGGAATGTACGTTGATTTGTGAAAAGTGAAGGTAAAGTTATTCCCAAAATCTCGTATATTAAAAATAATTACTGTTTTGAAAATTCATACATAGTAAAAGTTTTAGTCCTTAAAAAGTTATATGAAATGAAAAAAAATTGTGACGTTCAGATTTTGGAGCACAAAGTTATTGTCGTCCAAATTTTGGCGAAATCGAAAAAAGCTCGTTAGAGGTAGCAAACGACGTTTTTTCGGGACGAATGCGGCAATTTGCGGCTTGCAAGATCTCGAAAAGTTATGCGATATAAAAAAAATTCGCCACGATCAGATACCCGAACACAAAGATACGTTCGTTTTAAGTTTCCACCTAAGTTAGAATTTATTAAAAGGGAAAATTATGGACCAAACCGCAGGGTGGGGCAGCGATTTTGAGCCAAACCGCCCCGTAACCATGCAGTTTACATTGAAAACCATGCCTCCACCAGTCGATTTTCGAGAAATAGTGGTCTTTATGGAAAATTTCGGAAATGAGTAGTATTTTTAAAGGGTAAATTGCAATGATGGTCACTGAAAGTATTAAAAAATTCATGTTTGGTCACTAAAAGTATTTTATTTCGTTAATGGTCACTAGAAGTGGTTAAACGTTCATGTTCAGTTATTCCTCCTCTACATCCTCTCGTCTTGACCTGCAAACCCTTGACGCCGTTGACTTGGCTGAGAACAGTGATGCAAGTGGCGTCGGAGTGTGGGGTGAATCCCAGCACCAGCTCCGGTTGCAAGCATGGAGAATATTATATGATCTCCACCAACACAACCCATCCTTCATCTTTATCGCAATCTCTGTTTCCTTCATCTCCTGTGCCTCTTCTTTCGCCCCGAGGGAGAAAGCAGAGTTGTTGGATTGACTCAATTTTTAGGTCAGGCGAGTCAAAAAAGAAGGTTGAGTTATGGTTTGGGCTTCGGTTAGGATTTTTGAACAGGCGGGTAGGGGGTTTCATTTTATGATGATGTGGCAGGTTAAATTTGGCTGATTAGGCACTTCTGTTAGCCACGTCAGCAAAATATTGACGGTGTTAACGAAGTCTGACGGAGACTAACGGAGAGTGACGAAACGTGAAATGTTTATCCACTTTCAGTGACCATGAATGAAATAAAATACTTTTAGTGACCAAATATTAACTTTTTGGCACTCTCAATGACTAACCTTGCAATTTACCTTTTTTCTCTTTTTATTGGTATTTCTGTACGAAATCCTTAATTGTCTAGCGAAATATTTCAAAATGGGCTTTGGGCCTTGTTGGGGAAAGTCAATGGCCCACGAAATGGCGCGCTATCAGTTTTCCGTTAATCGTCCTTTCTTTCCCAGATACCGCGCTAGCGCCTACCACAACAACAGCTGGCCGTTAATGCCGAAGTAATGTAAAAGAAAGGTCGCAAGTCGGAACGGAGTCCGACAAGAAAAAAAAAAAAAAAAAAAATCGATCACCGTTTCTATCTTCGTCGCTTCAAAAATCAATGGAATCCCCGATTCTCAATTCAATTATTCAGTCGGCAAACTCTCACTTTCCTCCCCCAATTCTCCTCTTCCACTTCCCATCGATTTCCCGAGAAAGAAACAACGCCGACCTCCGCAATCCACATCCCAAGTCCCGCGCCACTCTCCTCCGATTCCCAACCTTCGCTCCGATTCGAGCAGCATCTTCGAACTCTGCACAGCTCAATTTCCGCGGTTGGGACGACGATTTCCTTAAACCCACCGGCGACGACTGGGAGGCGGCGAACACGGGCGAGTCATCATTTCGGCTCCGCGATTTCGTAGTATCTATCGGAATCAACGATAAGAGGTATGCCTTCACTTTCCTGCTCGGAGCCGTCTTCGCTTTTGCGATCTCCAGGGTCAGAGTTTCGTATATCGCCTTGGTTCCAGCTTCCGCTGTGGTTTTCGCAGTTGGGTTTTCTTTCGGGTTTGTACGCAGCGGTACTGGTCTCAGTTTGTTTAGTGCCAATACAGTTAAGAGAAAGGCGAACGAAGCCTCTTCTAGGTTATCTAGCGATAGGGTAAATGCCGCCGTGGCCGAGTTTCTGAACGAGTTTGGGGTTAAAGTCAGTGAACTGAAGGACAGTCTGCTTAGAGCAATTGACAGTAGAGAGATTAAGATGGACGATTTAGAACATTATGTTCATGTCATAGAAGCAATGGAGACATCTGCTTTGAATACTAGACGTTCTATTGAGGCAACTGCCGATAGCATCGAGAACCCTAAACCGGTAAGCAGGAAAAGAAGACAGATTGGTGAGGTTGGCTCTGAGTTGGTACAATCTCTTGTTTCCAGAATGTTTCAACCCAAAAGAAAGGTGGTTAGTCGTCCAAAAACTAATAAGGTGAAAGAGAATGACAATGTTGAACCAGTAGCTACTGTCAGTTTGTCAAGCGATCCGATTCTGGAGATTGAAGAAGGTGGTGACAAGGATGTTATTGATTCCAAGGGTAGTCCTGGTTCTGTTTCTTCTCAAGGTTTTCCCAGTAAGTTAGCTTTGGACTGGGATGGGGACAGAAGGATTAGAATAGTTTCAGATCATATGCAAGAACGTGTGGATGCAGAAGCTTCTTCTGCAGGAGACCCGAGTTTCCTGGACTCTGATGGAGCTTACAGTTCTTACAGCACGAAGACAAATCATGGTCAAACATATAGTTCTAGTAGTTACATGGAAGATAGCAGAAGATCAAATGAAGATTTGCACTTGATGGATCGCCAGGATGTTCCGTGGAGTGAAGCAGGCTCTTCTTCTCCTTCTTCTTCTTACTCTTCTTCAGCAGTTTCAGATGATGTGGCGTTCAACAGGTATCTTACGGAGGCTAACAGCCTTCTGAAAGAGGCTAAGGAGTGCATAAGAGGGAGACAGGAAGAAGAGCATGCAGAGGTGTTGTTATACAAATCTGCTAAGTTACTGACCAAGTCTGTAGCTTTGAAGCCAATGAGTTTATTAGCCGTTGGCCAACTGGGAAATACATATCTCCTTCATGGTGAGCTAAAGCTGAAAATCAGTCGCGAGTTAAGAGCTACACTCTCGACATGGGGGCCATTGTCTTTCGAGAATCAGGGTTCGGTTAGTGTGGGCCCTAATGAATTGAAAAGGAAAGATAAGCTCGTGGAAATCCTCACTAATGTGTGCGAAGAGTGTGAAGAACTTCTTGTGGAGGCAGGCAGAAAATACAGAACGGCATTATCTATTGATGGGAATGATATGAGAGCTCTGTATAACTGGGGGCTTGCTCTAACATTCCGTGCACAGTTAATTGCAGACATTGGACCTGTAAGCATTCTTCTTAAAACTTAACTAGTCATTTTCTTGAGTAAACTTTCAGAAACATCTGCTGTTAGAGATTGGAATTCTGTCCCTTGCCAGATTGCATTTTGAACTCAGTATTATCATTTTCGAATGTCAGGAAGCTGCCTTTGATGCTGACAAGCTGTTTCTGGCTGCAACTGATAAATTTGATGCTATGATGTCCAAAAGCAATGTCCATGCACCAGATGGTACGTGAAACCATGCCCTTTCTATTTTCTCTGAGTAAAATTGTCCATTTTCCTAATGGGGCTTTGGATGTGCAGCCTTGTTTAGATGGGGTTTGGTGCTGCAGCAAAGATCTCGGCTAAGGCCAGCAAACAGTAAAGAGAAGGTGAAGCTGTTGCAACAGGCGAAAAGGCTGTATGAAGATGCACTGCGTATGGACTCCGACAATGTCCAAGTACGAGAGGCACTGTCCACTTGCATGTCTGACCTGAACCGCAGGTTGTTTAGATCGTTTTGATGGCCGCCATTTTGGCTTTCAGCTCTCAACAGAACGCCTATACTGCATATTTTTTTGTGGTTGGTATCTTTCCGGTCAGTTCTCTATTCGTCTCTCTGCCTCTCTAGATGTTCAATTTCACGGCCCCCTGATGCAGTCTGCATGTAGAAAGAAGAGTATGTGTGGAGTGTTGAAACGAATAAAAGGTTGGGATACCACAATTAGGGTCTTAGCTTGATACCTTATATGACCGATAAGGTGTCATTCTTTCTTGTCTCGTCGAAATTCCAATGGTTCTAAAAATCCCTACTAAGGTATCTTGCCCTAGTTGTGGATGGGAAGCATTTTTCAGCTGTGAGACCAACAGCTAGGGTCTTAGCTTGATAAGGTGATATGGCCAATAAGAAGGTTCAAGTTCCCTGTTTCGTCAAAATTCCATCTGTAGATTTCCCTCATTCATGTGACTTATGCTATTGCTGTGGTTGTGCCACCGTTGCCCATTTAATCGAAGGCAGCTGCACTTTACGGACTCTATGTATCGTTTGGTTTTGATGATAGTTAAATTGATGCATTGTTATCAATGCATGCATAATAATATACATATATGTACGAGAATTGGTGTATTGTAGTTTACATCGTTTGGTTTTTATGATAGTTATTGTAGTATTTAAATAAGTTATATTCCTTTTGGATGAAATGTTACTTCTATCTTTTGTTTAAAAGCAAACGCATAATAAAGGTAGAGACATAATTGGAAGAAGAAAAAAACTCAACAATCTCAACAAGAAGTCTCTCTTTGCTATTTAGCTTGTCGAGCTGGAGCAGGTTATATATATTTTTTCTTATGAGTGTTATATCCTGTTAGTCTTAACTCTAATTTATAATCTTTTCTATTTGAAACTCATATTAACTATATTCGACAAAATAACATCTAGTTTCATATATTTTGAAAGAAAGAAAAAACCCATGAATTAATCTCTTTCTGTTGTAGTATATCATGCTGATACGTATGAACATACTGACCACCATTCACTCTCATATTGTGAGTTGAGAGCAAGCTTTGCTTGTTGACTGTAACAAGATTATGCAACAACTCAAGCACAATTTGGAGCTATCCAAATTCAGATGAACACCATGTTGACGGCGAGGCACTAAGATCTCGAATTCCAGGTTGGTGAATGGTGACTACGATCTTCCTCAAACTCCAACCTTAACGTCAGCATTCTGCCTTCAAGCACGCCTCTCAGAAGCTTGAGGTAGATTTTCAACTAAGTTTCTCAAACTGGGTGGCTGTAAAAAATTGACTAATTGAGAACCATAAGGAGTTGCAGATAATGCAGTTAAAATCGCGTTTTAAAACTTAAAAACTTATGGTTTTACGTTTCTAGATCACCAAAACGCTTTCGTTTCCACATAAAAACCTTTGTTTACAAAATTGGACTAAATTGCGTTTTAAAGTTTAAAAACTTACGCTTTTACGCTTCTAGTTCACTAAAACGCTTTATGCTATGACGCTTTTAATTCACTAAATGAGTATTCTTTTCATGGCATTAATTATAAAAAGTATATTTTAATGGTAAATTACCAACAATATGATCATTTGAAGATTAAAAGATACATACTGGGGTACTTGGATCCATTCTCGGTTTCAATAGAGTAATCTATTTCACCAGCTAGGCTCTTCCCAAATTTATTAGCGTAAAGGGGGATGTGGCTTATTGTTATGATTTATGTTTATGAACTTATTATTAAGAGGTTATAAGTTGTTCTACTATAGGCATGAATTGCAGGTACTTATTAACTTTTTTAAAATTCTGTGCACTCATATTTTACATAGTAAATGTCGTGCTCAATGGATTTTCAGTTATTTTAAAGCATGCGTCAAAAACTTACGTTTTAACGCTTTAATTCTACATTTTACAATTTTATCCCCTTTTCGTTTCTAGGTAGAATCATACTTTTAACGGCATAATCGAACAATGAGTGGTGCCCTACTCACGATACGGTAGATACCAAGATATCCCCTAGCGGGATGGAGGTGGGGGAGAATGAATGCATCCCATTCCCATTTCCCATTGATCTATTAGCCTATTACTATCAAATCCAACCAGGAAGAATCATCCCCCAAAGCCCAAATTGGAGTATGCTTTCACTAATCCCCAACCTGCTTTCACTAATCACTAGTGTTATTACCTGTTTAATCCTAACCACACATCTTGTTGAAAATATCACTGTTAAATGTATCGACATCTTTGTTTTCTACTTCGTGAACTTTGTGGGTAAAGTTTCAGATTCGAAATCGACCAAGATCACCCACCATGCAGCTACAGAGACGACAAAGAGAGACCCAATTCCATTCTACAACAGAAGAGTTGGGAAGAAAGAAAAACGTAAGAAATTAACACTTCACCTTAAACATAGAGAAGTGGGGAAGGAGGAGGAGAAGAAATCGCTAAGCCACTGGTTACAAATGTTCCCGGAAAACTTCCATCATAGCGGCGTAGGTAACGACGCCGACCAACATCCCGTCCTCTTCCACAACCCAAATGTACGCCGACCGGTGAGACAGCATCTGGATCATCACCGCCACCAACGAGCTCCACGGATGGCACATTATGTCCTCCGTGCTCCTCACCACTCTCGGCGAATGCCTCCTTCTCCCTCCTCCTCCGCACTCCTCGTCGGAGGAAGAGGACAAGATCTCCGTGGAGGAGTCGGAATCGTGGTCATCTCCGGCCGCCGCAACCACCAACTCCACCGCCGCCTCCAAATTCTTCGCCGCCAGCCTCTCCTTCACCATCTTCACCAGCTCCTCCGGCATGTCACCGAAGCAGTCTATGTACGTCATCAGATCCCCCGCCGACAGGGTCGCAACCGCGGCGGCCGCGGACTCGTCGCAGCAATTCAACGCGGCGGGAGAGATTTCCCCCACCAGCTTCCCTTCCGAGTCAAGAATCGCCACGGATGTCTGCTTGATTAGAGATTGGGAGATCAAGGGAAGGGCGGAGGACGCCGGGTCGTCGTAATGGACGGCCAGGATCGATTCCTTGTCGACGATGCCGAGCGATTCGACGGTTCGATTCGGGAGGGGGGAGAAGATGCCGATGCAGTTGAGGAGGTAGCGGATTATGTCCTCCTGCGTCAGCCAGCAGAACTCGCGGCCGTCGTGGAGGGTGGAATTGGGGCAGCTCCTCTGAATCAGCTTCTTCCTCGACGAGAAATGGCTGTGGATCGGAATCACCAGATTCTGCGCTCCTTCCGCGATCAGATCTACGGCCTCCAACAAACTGAAATATTCGAGAACAAATGAGGGAAAAGGGGAACAGATCAGTTAGGGTTTCAATTTTTTTTTCCAGGAAATCTATGGCAGAAAAGGAAATCCTCGTAAATCTACCTGGCGTGCGGCTCCAAGCGGCGGACAACGCCGGCGGGGACGCCGTGGAGGAGAAGTGAGAGAGGTTTCTGAAGCGCGACGGCCGGATTTTTTAAATTCTCTTCTCTAGCGAGGAAGCAGATGACGTCGACCATACAGACCTTCCCGACGCACAGGCATTCGCCGTCTACATCGAGAGATTTGCCCTGAGAGCGGTGGTTGCAGCTCCACACGCTGAGATGAGAGGAGGAGTCACCGAAGCGGCGGAGAGCGGACAGAGCGTCGGCGACGGTGGCGGAGACGGCGAGTGACCTCAGAGCAGGCTTGCCCAGGCATAGGTCGGATACCTCACGGGCCAAGAAACTATCTGCCATACACAGTGGGAGACGAATCGAAGGAAAAATACACAGAGGGACGGGAAAGTTCTCCGGCGAAAGTTAGAAGAAAGGATGGGAGAGGAGATCTCGTGGAATCCTGAGGTGGGTGAGAGAGAAGAAGAAGAAGAAGAAGATATTTAACAGGAGAGTGCAGAAATTTATTTCGTCAGCGTTTACGCGTTTAATTTAATTTTTACTTTCGTTTTATTACTATAATAAAATATTACTTTCAAATAGTTTGTTGGTTTTATTTTGACTGTGACGGAGGGAGAGATCCTCTTATCCTATGGGCCTGGTTTTAATTGGGCTTATTTATTATGGATAGATGGCAAGGTGACCGGGAAGTTCGGTATAAAAAGAAAAATTAAATGGACCGTATTTTCATGTACGTGGTTGAGCTTAGACCCGGTGATCGTGCCAGCGCGGCGCAGTTCATCTCATAAAAGGTTTACCGGACACAACCGGTCAGGGACAGGTTGTACGGCTACCTGTACTGGGCGGGCTACTGGGCGCCGCCCACTAAGAAAACGTTTTGGTCCATATTTATTTTGATCTTTTATATATATGCTTGTTGCATTTATTTTTAGTCTCTATATGTTTTGATATAAAATCCAAATTTCATTCTATAACGCTATCGTATCGTTTGGTATTAAAGAATTTCATATGGGGTCTAGAAATTCATTTCGACATAATTTTTTTGTGTGTGTTTGAAATGTAAATGAATTCATTTTAAATTTTGAATTAAGCGAATATTGAAGCTAGTTTTTGCAATTCCAAATAATTAAGATGGAATTTGAAATGAATTACACCATTATTTTACTAATTGTGATAAATGACATAGTTATATTCAATTATTATGTAAATTACTCCTATACATACATAATTTGGCATCAATACTCTAGATTTGTGGGCCTAACCTTCCTCGCTTAGAATTATCAGAAAAGGAAAAATCTTCTTCGCTCAGTTGCTACTTAAGCTAATATATAATCATCATTTCTCTCATATATCCTATTTTATGTGATTTTCAGCGGACTCAGCTCGTTTCATTATTTCTGCTAAGCTGTAACTCTGTCAATTGATGACTTCGACCCATGATCTTGCTTCTTACAACACCATGAGACAAAGGACTGCCATCCCTAGCTCCCAACCAGACAGCGATAAACATATTGATCTTCTATCAGCTCCCCCCTCCCCCCATATCATGGCTCAATTTCATATTTTGTTCCATGGGAGTAGAACAAGGAACACAATCGAGAAATTGAGCTAACTCCAACATACCAACAATGTACTTGCGTTGAGACACAAATAACCCATGGAAGGAACACCTGACTTCAAGTCCTAGGAAGTAGGAACTTCATCTAGTTCTTTCAAGTTAAACACTTAGCGTAACTCCTAAGTGACTGCATGTAACAATCATATCATAAACACAAATCAAGAAGATGACAATTGCATCTATCGTCGTCCGTGTGAACAAAGAGGAATCGTTCTGACTTTGGAAGAAGCCAACTTGAATAATTACCATGAAATTTCTCAAATCATTTTAATAAAAACAAGGAAACAAAATAACGCCAATTTAAAAATTAAAATGAGAGATCCCCAGCCACTAAACATTTCCATCTTCCAAACGAAAAAAAAGTGAACCCATCTTAATCTAAACCCAACAAGCAAAGTGGAGACCCAGCCCGACCCATACCAGGCCCACAACCCTCCGTACTTTGCCCTTGAAATAAAAATCTTTCTCTTCTCCTCAACGCTTCTCTTTCTTCCTCCTTCCTCATCCTTCTCTCTTTCTCTCGCCAAAAAGGAACCCAGACCTCCACAACTCGAGAGAGACTCTCCTGTTCTTTGATTACCTCTTCGACTTGGTTTATGAGGTAAAAAATCCCATCTTTTGCCTCCTTTTCCCAATTCCATTCGCTCCTACTTGATCCAAAGACGAGAACTTTTTGCGCCATCTGCAATGTCCCTGCAAAATCCTTTCTTGCCTTTCGTTCCGGATCTGTTTCCTTTTTGCCAAGATCTCTTTTTGGAACAATACCCTTCTCGTTTGATTCACCGGAACTACTATTGATGAATTTCTAGCTTTTGATTTGGTTCATTAGTAATTTCCTGATTATTAGGGTTTCTGATTTGGTGACTGGTCTCTGTGTTTGTCTGCTAGTTTGCACCTTGATATTGTTTGTTTTTTCCTATTATATTGGTGTCCCTTCCATTGATTAGTTTGATTATTTTTCCTCCGAAATATGAGTTGCACTGGTAGTTTCGCTGAATTTGGATTATGGATCAGTGTCTTTTTATATGGTTAGGGGTACGGGCTTCTGTTTCTGATTCTCTTGTTTGATTGGGGTGTGTAATCTCGGTAGGAATTTCCCTGGATATTATGATGCTCTTAGTTCTTTGTTATCTTTCCCCCCTTTTGCTGGTTATAGAATTGACTACAACTTATCCTTTTGCTCTTCGTTTGCTCTTGCAGCTCGAAGGAGAGACCCACTCTTGGGTAAGTTCTATCTTCTTTTGAATCTCTTATGGATTACCTAGCTGAATTTCGATTCGTAACCTTGCCGAAAAGTTTATGTCTATGGCTCTTTTTTTTTATTGTACTTATGTGCGAATAATCTTTGATATTGTTTTTCTCTTGCAGTGGCACGCGGATTAAGACCCGCAAACGGAATATTGCAGCGTCGCTGGACCCTGCAGCATTTTCGGATGCAGTGGTCCAGATTTATCTGGAAAATGCTGGTGATTTGGTATGTACCTCATGCTTTCTGTACATTGATTTATGTTGTTTGAAATGCCTTTGGCAAAATTGATTCTTATCATGATTAACCTTGTTCTAGGAACTTGTCGCTAAGAGCATTGAATCTTCAGAACTGAACTTCTCTAGATACGGTGACACCTTTTTCGAGGCAAGTACTTTCATCTGTCATAGAAATTGTCAATAAACAGCAGATTCCCTGATCTGGTTGATCAATATAGTCACTGGATTCTTGTAGGTTGTTTTCACAGGAGGCCGTACTCAACCTGGCACAACAAAACCTGATGAGGGGGAGCGACACCCTTACTCATTTCTAGATTGCGAGCCTAAGCGGGAGACTATTCTTCCTTCTGTGATTTATATACAGAAGATTTTGCGCCGGAGGCCATTTCTCATAAAGAACCTTGAAAATGTTATGCGAAGGTTCCTTCAGTCGCTGGAACTCTGTGAAGAAGATGAAAGGAAGAAGCTTGCAATTTTCTCCGCACTTGCATTCTCCCAGAAACTATCTGGACTTCCACCAGAGACTGTCTTGCAACCACTGCTCAAGGATAATCTTGTGGCCAAAGGGATAGTCCTTGCATTTATTACTGACTTCTTTAAGGAATATCTGCTAGACAACAGTCTTGATGACCTGATATCCATTTTGAAGAGGGCTAAAATGGAAGACAGTCTTCTGGAATTTTTCCCTTCTTCAAAGCGAACTGCTGAAGCTTTTTCTGAGCATTTCACGTAAGTTATATCCTTTTATTTCGATTCTCTTTACGGACCCTGTCCTCTCCTGACCTTGGGGGGAACTAATGTTTCGAATAATTATCATTTTGTTGATGTGTGACATCTCATTGGTGCTTTTTGTTGTTGACTTAGTCCTTGGTTGGAAGTTCTTAATATTGATGAATCCTTTTTTTACAGTAAGGAAGGGCTGGTTCAGCTAGTTGAGTATAACGAGAAGAAAATTTTTGAGGAAAAGCTGAAAGAGATGAAGTCTGCTTTGACAACTTTGATAGCTGAGGAGGCTGATCAATCAGAGGTCCTGGAGGTTGTGAAACAACGTGTTGCTGATGCTAAACTACCTGAAATTGAAGTTGTTCGGATTCTGTGGGATGTACTGATGGATGCTGTTCAATGGTCTGGGAAGAATCAGCAGCAGAATGCTAATGCTGCACTGCGCCAGGTATGTCTCTCAAGCTTTTTTGGTTTGCAAGTGCCATCAAATTTTGATTTGTCAGGGGTATATTTGGTTGGCATGTATGTTTCCACAGTTTTCCTGTCTTTCCTTCTGTCTTTGAACATTGCACAGGTTTGTAGTGTCCTTGTTGGTTTCTTTTCTTCTATTGCAATGCTTTATCACCTTCATGACGTAAAAGGAGCTTGTGGATAGAACTCATCTGTTTGTTTAAAGCATTTGTGCATTTGAATGGAGCTTATGAGCTTGTGATGACTGTTTCGCTTTACCACCCAATGGATATCGATAACAGTACGAGTAGTTCAGCTACGAAGTTGCTGACAGGCTCTTGAACTATTTGACTTTATCCCATGTAACGGAGATGATTCTTTCTGTTTCAGGTGAGAACCTGGGCAAACCTGTTAAATACCTACTGTACTAGTGGGAAACTCGAGCTGGAACTCCTCTACAAGGTGCAGATGCAGTGCTATGAGGATGCTAAGCTCATGAAATTGTTCCCCGACATAGTTAGGGCTCTCTATGACCAGGATGTGCTTGCTGAAGACACCATTCTTCATTGGTTCCGTAAAGGAACTAACCCAAAGGGCAGGTAAAAAAACAATGCTGAAGTTTATCGAGTCTCTTCAGATATTATCTTGACCGGCCGTTTCATCCACGTTTCCTTTGCCTGGCTCGATGTTTTATTATGAACTAATTTTGTGGATGATGTTAATTTTGCAGGCAAACCTTTGTGAAGTCACTAGAGCCATTTGTGAATTGGCTTGAAGAGGCCGAGGAAGAGGAATAAATTGCTCTGACAGCAACAAAAGCAGCAGCAGCTGTGTCCAGCAGCTGTTTGTATAAGAACTGCGAGATAATGCAGCTGCTCATTTGTAATTTTGCCTTTGGTTTCTGTTAAAGAGTTGAGTGAAGTTTCGAACGTTGGATATTGGGTGTACCGTTTTCAAACATAACTGTAAACGGTGATGATCAAAGCTTTAAAATAACCTGACTTCAAAGTTTTGCATTTTTTTACACTGTCCAGGCCACCATGATCGTTGACTATTGTTCTGATGGCAGTTGAAGAAAAATACTTTCTCCAACCTGTTTTTATCAAGTGAAACCATCAAAATCCCTTTTTAAACACATACGAATCAGATGGCATTATCCAAGTAGGTTTGTTGAAATTCTAAGCAAACAACCTGCTACAGATTAAACTCGCAAGTTTGTTTTGGAGAAGAGCATAATCAACTTTTTAGTTTCTCTCCAAATTGCACCAATTGTATTGGTTACTCAAGAAAGTGAATAAATACCTAATTCTAATACAATTTTTTGGGAAAAAAATACAAATGTTCTTAAAAAAAATTCTCAAAATACATAAGTTATATTTTTTTTCCTCCAAAACTACACATGTTTGGCATTCACCGTTTTTGACAAACGCAGTGAAGACTATCACCGCGTTTGACAAACACGGTGAATATTTCATCATTTTAAATTAAAACGGTGAAATATTCACCGTTATTCTCTAAAACGGTAAACCAATCACCGCTTTAAATTAAAACGGTGAATATATCACCGTTTTTAGGGCAAAACGGTGAATACCTTCACCGTTCTAGGTTAAAACGGTGAGTATTAGGCACGTTTTCAACCCCTGTTAGGTGAAAATTAGGTAAGAGCTACCTAATGTTCACCGTTTGAGACAAACGCGGTGATGGTGTTCATCGTGTTTGACAAAAACGGTGAGTAGTAGGCAGATTTTCCTATAAATACCAGGCCACCAGCAATTATAAAAACATAACCACTCCCCCCTCTTCAAATTTCAGCAACCAAAACCGAGCATAATACACAGGCGGGGAATTTTCGGTATGATTTAATTTTCGTATTATAGCTTAATGATGGGTTTTTAGTAGTTATAGTATGATTTAATTTTCGTATTATAGCCTAATGATGTTTTTAGTAGTTATATTGTTATGTTAAGAATTAGTTATCGTAGCAATTGTAGTACTTAATTTTTGAATTTATGTTGTTGTTAGTTAGTTGAATTTATGTTACGTTACTTATGAGATGGAGTAATATTAGTCGTACAATATGGTTTTGGTTAATTTTACTGTCTTTAAGCTAATAGTTTAACTTATTGTAAATTGTAGATATGGGTAAATTCAAGAAGTTTCGGCTTATTATTCGGTGGAATGGAAGGGTGACAAACTCTGACATAGGGATTGATTATGAGAACGGTGAATCCACTATGCTAAAAATTGAGTCGCGATTCAATTTTCAAGAACTCCGTGATATTTGTGCAGACAGGGTTTGTACGAGCGGACATACTAGACTTGGCAAAATTAGTTACCGGTATCCAGACATGAGTGCTGGCGGGGTTGTGTACCAAGAAGTTGTCATAAACGATGATGACGCGGTTACGATGATGTTACAGTTCCTAAGTGATAACGGGATGCGGCTTGCAGATGTATATGTTGAGACCGAGGCGGTCGGTGAAACTCATTCTCACGAGTATTCTTATGATGATGGTTTTGCAGGAGGGTATGGATGGGGATGTAGTTCGAGCAACTACGAATGAGGTGGTTATACAGGAGGTTATGGAGAGGGTGGTAGTTCAATCAACTACGGTGGAGGTAGTAGTGCAGGATGGGTGCCGTCGGAAGAATACTCGCAACATGATCAACCTGCCGATGGCGTTCAATGGCCTGCTTGGGGGTCTGAGTGGGCTGAAATCGAGAATATCATTCGAGCATGGCGTACTTCACATGAGCGAGAAGACGATGTTGGTGATGGTGGTCATGTTGATCCTTATGGGCCGAGCTATCCATTTGACTCAAGCGACGAGGATACTGAGGAAGATTTGAGATCAGTAAAATTCTACATGATCGTGATTGATTTTCCCAACTTTTTCGTGTTGAGCTTAGATACTAATTCTTGATAAATTGATCCAGAATAATAAATTCATGATCGTGTTGAACTTTAAGTTGCACCTACACTTTCGAACACATCCCTTTGTTGTACAACACAAACTTCTACCTATATGCTATATAAGGTACAAATTTGTACCTACACTTTCCAAAAAAAAAAAAAAAAACCCAACCCAAACTTGTACCTGCACGCTTTGTGGTACAACCTAAAGTTATACCTACAGTTAAAAAAAAAAATTCTTTATGGTACAACGTAAAATTGTATCTACACGCTATGTACAATTTTGAGTTGCACCTACACTTTGTGCAAAACAAATTCTTCAACGGTACAACTCAAACTTGTACCCTGTAGGATATGTACAACTGTAATTTGTACCTACACTTTTATCGATTGATTCATTATTTACAAGATTGTCATTAATAAATGTGGGTCAAAACCTGCCATGGGTCAAAACCTCGATACCACCGATGGACAGTAACAAATCATTCTATGATACAACCCAAACTTGTACCAATACATTATGGTACAAGTTTAAGTACCTAGACACTATGGTGCAACTTTATGTTTGTACCAACACTTTCGAACAAATCTCTCTATGGTACAACTTCCTATACGTTATGGTACAACTTTAGGTTGTACCTACACTTTCGAACACATCTCTCTGTGGTACAACACAAACTTCTACCTACACTTTCCAAAAAAAAAACCAACCCAAACTTGTACCTGCACGCGTTGCGAAACAAATTCTTCAATGGTACAACTCAAACTTAAAATTGTATCTACACGCTATGTACAATTTTGGGTTGCACCTACACTTTGTGCGAAACAAATTCTTCAACGGTACAACTCAAACTTGTACCCTGTAGGATATGTACAACTGTAATTTGTACCTACACTTTTATCGATTGATTCATTATTTACAAGATTGTCATTAATAAAAGTGGGACCAAGTCACTTAGTAGATTTACCTCTCCAACCGATAACCTTTTTTATTTTTATTTTTTATAGCATGAGTGCTATAAAAAAAAGCACAGACCGTCGGTATTAGTCAATCATTTTCCAAAGAGGAAAAGGTTTCCAGAATCCAGTAGGGAAAAGGAAAGAAGTCAAGCTGTAGTACTATAAAAGCAGAGGAGCTCAATCGATCGAAGTGCTAGTCGGCAATTTAGGCATGGCAGGCGACGGTGAAGAGCACTACACGGTGCTGGGGCTGCCTTCAGGGGAGTTAGGGTTGCGGGTGTCGTCGTCGGAGATCCGCCGCGCTTACAAACGCAAGGCATTCGAGCTGCACCCGGACAAGAGGCCCGGCGACGAGAATGCAAAGCAAAAGTTCCAGAAACTGCAATCCTCCTACGAGGTTCTCAAGGACGACACATCTCGCAAGTTGTATGATGATCGCCTTCGGCTCAAGATCCTTCTGAAATCCAAGCAGCGCCGGGAACGAGCTTCAGATCATGATCATCATCGTTCCGAGCGAAAGAAGCAGAAGCAGAAGCAGCAGCAGCAGCAGCAGGACGACCTAGCTGAAGAGATTCGGGAGCAAGCAAAGCGGCGGAGTTGGGAGCAAGAACAGCAACGCTTAGCTACAGAGTTCTCGGAGAAGATCGCGAGGAACGTGCGCTTGCTGGCCGAGCACCAAAAGAAGCGAGCGTTCGAAAACTACCAATTCCGGCGCAGAATGGAACTTGAGGACCCGTTCTTCATGCCTTACCAATGGTTTTAAACAACGTTGTTGAGTCACATTTTGGTGGCGGCACCGTGACTACCAATTGACGCAATCAAAACGCGTGTATGCAAATTATCGATCCAGTAATTAAGATAAGTAAAGTTATCGTAAAAGCAAGTGTCTTTGTCATCCAAACAAAGAGTACTGGGAGAAAACAAACTTGCTGAGGGATTATGTGCAGTGCTGCATGGCCAAATCTGTAGAACAAAACTCTTTCAGCAGGCTAAAGTTAGCATTCCACAGAATGAATGAACAATTCCAAAAGCATACGTGTTCTCATCCATGTTTTTACGACTTGAATTGAATTATTTGCCTTCGATTAGAAGCTATGGAGTCTTGATGTAAAGTGTAGTGTCCTTAAGTACAATGAAATTGACTCTCTTATCCCCGTGAACTAACTAACACACATTATGTTAGTGACCCACGTAAATTTATGTCTTCTTCACTTTCTTGCATTGTCGATTGTATCCAGATGCGCTCTTAATAATTCATCATTCCAGCTTGCTTTTATCGATTATTAGCTTCTTTTCAAACTAATCCTCGGTAAAACAATAAATCTAAATGGAAGTTAGAAAGAAACCTAAAATGTGACATTTTTTGAAACTATAAGACACGTATGAGCGTATAGTATTTATTTAGAATTGCTATAACTAGTTCCAATTCCATAGAATTCAAAATTTAGAAATGAAAATGAATTCTTTTAAATACCAAACAGAAAAAAAATTCATTTCAAAATGAATTCCTAAAAAACTTATGGAATTCATTTATACCAATCAGTATTAAAAGTAAATATTCAACATCATCAAAAAATAAAAGCTTGAATTGCTAAACTACTAAATAGTTCATCCATACTCTCTTTTTTTATCGGAACCCGCTAGAGTTTTATTTATCAGCGTTTGTCGTTACATCATCCAACATCAGTTGATCAACAAGAAAAACCGGCGGTCTGTCCATCCAAACAATACTCTCATCCCATCTAGTTTTCGAATGAGCCATGATGTGGGCTGCCTTGTTTGCTTCACTGTAGATGTGCTTCCATCCAGTTTCGTCCATCTCCGAGAGTTTCCTGCGAATATTTCTGCATAACGCGCCCTCCTCCGTTCACACCTGTTCCGCCTTCTGCATCAGCACTTGGCTGTCGGACTCTAGGATTGGTCGTTCGAGCTGCAACTGCCAGGCTAACTGCACTCCTAGATCAGCAGTAGCAGCCTCTGCCTGTAACCATAGCAGTCAAAATCGCACTTTAAAGCATATCTTTCTACCTATTTATACGAAGCTGTTGGTTAGTTGATTGCTTTTGGTCACCCTTTCCAGCTTTCCTGGATGGACTAATCCACTAAATTCTCATCAGGGATGACAAAAAAAATATCCATATTTGACTATCTATCTAAACTCATCTTAATACCGCTCAGATTAGATTTGGGCAATTTTGTTTTGAAGAAGACCATAATCAACTTTTTAGTTTAACTCCAAATTACACATATGTATTGGTTACTCAAGAAAGTGAATACCTAATTCTAATACAATTTTTGTTAGGGTTAATTGCATGGTTGGTCAGTGAGATTACAAAAAACGTTCAAGTTTGGTTACTCAAAATATTTAAATTCATTGGTGGTACTTCAGTTTACTGAAACGGTTTATGTTTGGTCACTCTCTGTCCAACTCCGTCAACTTTTGCTGATGTGGCAGTCAACTCTCAAAGTTGACCGTTAACTTAGTGACGTGACAACTAAAAAATTATTAAAAATAAAATTAATTTTTATATTTTCCACCTCATTTTTACATATTAAAAAATAAAATACAAAACCTAATTTATTTTCTACAAATTTCTCAAGTCGTTATGACTTTCTCGAAAAACGACAACCGCCGAAAGCAGAGCTCTGTCGCCGGACTGCAACGAGGAAACCTTCAAGGAAGTCCTCTCCTCCGAAACCCCTAATCCCTAGCCTGCCCACCCCCACCGCATTACTCCCTCGTTCCTCCTTCATAGCTTTCTCTCTCTCTACCTATCCATCCATCCACACCTCTGATCTCTCTCTCTTTCTCCCAACTCGTCGGCACAACATTAACAATGGCGGCATTATGTTTCACGGTATTTCCACTCCCCCTCGGCGCGGCCAAACCAACAAGGACGCCGCACTACTCGGCTCCTGCGCGGCCGCCAAACCCAGAAGCTTGTCATCCACCGCCGGCGCCGTATCCATTGGTGGTACTTCAGTTTACTGAAACGGTTCACGTTTTTTGTAATCTTAGTGACCAACCATGCAATTAACCCATTTTTGTTATAAAACAAATAGAAAGGTGAAACATAAACACTAATTGTGTAATTGGATTGGAGGTAGTTAATGAGATGATCGATATTGTCTTTTGTATGTACAATCCTATGAACACAAATAGATTCATTTGATTCCGACCAAATGAATTGATCCCAATTAAACACAATTCAAAACCATTAAAAAGTACATATGAGTCCATATGGATTTAACCCAGTAATATAAATATTGATCATGCTAATTGAGTCATATTATCCTGAGAGTAGAACTATTTCTAATTGAACATCGCTTTTGAAATATTAGATGATATATCAAATGATGAGTTATATTATTGGTTTGGGTGCATTTTTTAGCAAATGTTATAGTGATCTTTGAAGTGCCCTAAATCAGCACTGAGCTCACTTCGATTACAATTTTCTCTTTTATGGTTTCCATGAGCATTTTGTTTCCCTCTTCAGACGAATTTGCTAACTGAAGTAAAAAAACCCAAAACAATTTTTAGAAAAAGAAAAGACATTTGCAGCCATAGCTCTCTACTCTGCAGCTTCTTCCTTCCTTCCTACCACCAATCCATCATTCATCCCTAACCAACAACAACCTCCACGAAACACAAGCAATCCTTCTTCTCCCCGTGACCGTCTCAATTAGAGGTGACAAATGGATTGATCCATGGATTGATGGATCCATAGATCAAATTGATTGTAGATTCATGGATCAACAATAGATTGTGGATTCATGGATCAAATGGATTGATCTATGGATCAACAACCCCTGCATAGTCCCACCTCTTACAACCCTTGCCGCCATCCGTTCTCACCAGGAAGAACACGCTCTTATGCCCCCATCTCATCAATTTTTAGTCCTTATTTTATTTTACAATAACTCTTAAGTCCTTTTGGTAGATTACATTACCGTAGTTATATTTTAAAATTATAAGACATATGCAATGACGGAGCGGATATGGGTATGGGGCGGGGGCACTCAAATCCATCCCCACCCCATCCCCACAAGATTCTTTGCGAGTATTACTCTTATCCGCCCCATACCCAGTCAATGTGGGGATTCCCCACGTTGACCGGGTTGGGTAGGGTCGGATACCCACGGTTACGGCTATAAATGTCATCCCTACTTCTTCCTCATTGGGGTTATTGCTGCAGGTGAGGTAATCGTCGTGAGCGGCGGAGTTGGGTGTGAGCTTCTCTGTAAGTGCTTTGACGAACTCCTTCATCACGACGCACCCAAATGCTGCTCCGTTGCCAATGGGGACTCTCCCTGGCTGGACAACGACGGAATTCTCCCTCTTGGCGACAAGAAAGTTGTTGTAAAGAGGGACTCCAGCAGGTAAGTTCGGGTTTTGTTGTGGCTCCCTTCCTTTGGGTGCCTCTTGTGTTGGCCTCGTCCCTTGTCTCTCCGCCTCAGACAAAACCTCATACCTATTTGTTGTTTCCCGCATCTGGGTTACTAGGTGGTTCGATTGTCCACTTATCGCTCCAGATCTTCGATTTTTTTTCTTTGCGACCATCCATTCCCCATATAAGGGGGATTTCGGCACTGGTTCCACATGCATATCATTTGTTTGGTCTGCTTCCTCAACAACTGGCTCCGACTCAGGGGGTTTGGTGCATCCGCATTGCTCAGTCGTATACCCATATTTCCCGCATTCAAAACACACATTGTAGAGGCTCTCGCATCGCATGTGATGAAATACTCTTTCCTTTCAACTTTGTACTTCGATAAAAGCGGCTTCGTTAGATCCACTTTAACACAAAAGCAAGTATATTTCACTCTGGCTCCCTCAAGAGTTTCCCGATCCACAATGGTCGGCTTACCAATCAGTCCGACGATTCTCATCACTGCTATCTGATTAAAAAATTCTGAAGGGAAGCGGGGAAGCTGCACCCACACCATTGTAGTCTTTGTCTCAACCTGCCATGGGTCAAAACCTCGATACCACCGATGGACAGTAACAAATCATTCAATGATACAACCCAAACTCGTACCAATACATTATGGTACAAGTTTAAGTACCTACACACTATGGTACAACTTTATGTTTGTACCGACACTTTCGAACAAATCTCTCTATGGTACAACTGAAAGTTGTACCTATACGTTATGGTACAACTTTAGGTTGTACCTACAATTTCAAACACATCCCTCTGTTGTACAACACAAACTTCTACCTATATGCTATATAAGGTACAAAGTTGTACCCTACACTTTCCAAAAAAAAAAGAAGGAAAATAGTTAATCAAATGGTATATAAAGAGGTTGCCACCGTGATACTAAAAAACAAGTAATCACCATAACCCATGTCGTACTGTTTGACTTTGTGTTCCCTCCTGTCTCGTGGTTTCTCATTCCTCCAGCATGGTTTTGTTGTGGCTCCCTTATTTTGGGTGCCTCTTGTGTTGGCCTCGTCCCTTGTCTCTCTGCCTCAGCCAAAACCTCATACCTATTTGTTGTTTCCCGCATCTGTGTTACTGGGTGGTTCGATTGTCCCCTTATCGCTCCAAATCTTCAATCTTTTTCTTTGCGACAATCCATTCCCCATATAAGGGGGATTTCGGCACTGGTTCCACATGCATATCATTTGTTTGGTCTGCTTCGTCAACAATTGGCTCCGACTCAGGGGGTTTGGTGCATCTGCATTGCTCAGTCGTATACCCATATTTCCTGCATTCAAAACACACATTGTAAAGGCTCTCGCATCGCATGTGATGAAATTCTCTTTCCATTCAACTTTGTACTTCGATAAAAGCGGCTTCGTTAGATCCACTTCAACACAAACGTGAGCATATTTCATTCTGGCTCCCTCAAGAGTTGCTCGATCCACCCTGGCCGGATTACCAATAAGTCCGACGATTCTCATCACTGCTATCTGATTAAAAAATTCTGAAGGGAGGCGGGGAAGCTGCACCCAAACCATTGTAGTCTTTGTCTCAACCTGCCATGGGTCAAAACCTCGATACCACCGATGGACAGTAACAAATCATTCTATGATACAACCCAAACTTGTACCAATACATTATGGTACAAGTTTAAGTACCTAGACACTATGGTGCAACTTTATGTTTGTACCAACACTTTCGAACAAATCTCTCTATGGTACAACTTCCTATACGTTATGGTACAACTTTAGGTTGTACCTACACTTTCGAACACATCTCTATGTGGTACAACACAAACTTCTACCTACACTTTCCAAAAAAAAAACCAACCCAAACTTGTACCTGCACGCGTTGCGAAACAAATTCTTCAATGGTACAACTCAAACTTAAAATTGTATCTACACGCTATGTACAATTTTGGGTTGCACCTACACTTTGTGCGAAACAAATTCTTCAACGGTACAACTCAAACTTGTACCCTGTAGGATATGTACAACTGTAATTTGTACCTACACTTTTATCGATTGATTCATTATTTACAAGATTGTCATTAATAAAAGTGGGACCAAGTCACTTAGTAGATTTACCTCTCCAACCGATAACCTTTTTTATTTTTATTTTTTATAGCATGAGTGCTATAAAAAAAAGCACAGACCGTCGGTATTAGTCAATCATTTTCCAAAGAGGAAAAGGTTTCCAGAATCCAGTAGGGAAAAGGAAAGAAGTCAAGCTGTAGTACTATAAAAGCAGAGGAGCTCAATCGATCGAAGTGCTAGTCGGCAATTTAGGCATGGCAGGCGACGGTGAAGAGCACTACACGGTGCTGGGGCTGCCTTCAGGGGAGTTAGGGTTGCGGGTGTCGTCGTCGGAGATCCGCCGCGCTTACAAACGCAAGGCATTCGAGCTGCACCCGGACAAGAGGCCCGGCGACGAGAATGCAAAGCAAAAGTTCCAGAAACTGCAATCCTCCTACGAGGTTCTCAAGGACGACACATCTCGCAAGTTGTATGATGATCGCCTTCGGCTCAAGATCCTTCTGAAATCCAAGCAGCGCCGGGAACGAGCTTCAGATCATGATCATCATCGTTCCGAGCGAAAGAAGCAGAAGCAGAAGCAGCAGCAGCAGCAGCAGGACGACCTAGCTGAAGAGATTCGGGAGCAAGCAAAGCGGCGGAGTTGGGAGCAAGAACAGCAACGCTTAGCTACAGAGTTCTCGGAGAAGATCGCGAGGAACGTGCGCTTGCTGGCCGAGCACCAAAAGAAGCGAGCGTTCGAAAACTACCAATTCCGGCGCAGAATGGAACTTGAGGACCCGTTCTTCATGCCTTACCAATGGTTTTAAACAACGTTGTTGAGTCACATTTTGGTGGCGGCACCGTGACTACCAATTGACGCAATCAAAACGCGTGTATGCAAATTATCGATCCAGTAATTAAGATAAGTAAAGTTATCGTAAAAGCAAGTGTCTTTGTCATCCAAACAAAGAGTACTGGGAGAAAACAAACTTGCTGAGGGATTATGTGCAGTGCTGCATGGCCAAATCTGTAGAACAAAACTCTTTCAGCAGGCTAAAGTTAGCATTCCACAGAATGAATGAACAATTCCAAAAGCATACGTGTTCTCATCCATGTTTTTACGACTTGAATTGAATTATTTGCCTTCGATTAGAAGCTATGGAGTCTTGATGTAAAGTGTAGTGTCCTTAAGTACAATGAAATTGACTCTCTTATCCCCGTGAACTAACTAACACACATTATGTTAGTGACCCACGTAAATTTATGTCTTCTTCACTTTCTTGCATTGTCGATTGTATCCAGATGCGCTCTTAATAATTCATCATTCCAGCTTGCTTTTATCGATTATTAGCTTCTTTTCAAACTAATCCTCGGTAAAACAATAAATCTAAATGGAAGTTAGAAAGAAACCTAAAATGTGACATTTTTTGAAACTATAAGACACGTATGAGCGTATAGTATTTATTTAGAATTGCTATAACTAGTTCCAATTCCGTAGAATTCAAAATTTAGAATTGAAAATGAATTATTTTAAATACCAAACAGAAAAAAAATTCATTTCAAAATGAATTCCTAAAAAACTTATGGAATTCATTTATACCAATCAGTATTAAAAGTAAATATTCAACATCATCAAAAAATAAAAGCTTGAATTGCTAAACTACTAAATAGTTCATCCATACTCTCTTTTTTTATCGGAACCCGCTAGAGTTTTATTTATCAGCGTTTGTCGTTACATCATCCAACATCAGTTGATCAACAAGAAAAACCGGCGGTCTGTCCATCCAAACAATACTCTCATCCCATCTAGTTTTCGAATGAGCCATGATGTGGGCTGCCTTGTTTGCTTCACTGTAGATGTGCTTCCATCCAGTTTCGTCCATCTCCGAGAGTTTCCTGCGAATATTTCTGCATAACGCGCCCTCCTCCGTTCACACCTGTTCCGCCTTCTGCATCAGCACTTGGCTGTCGGACTCTAGGATTGGTCGTTCGAGCTGCAACTGCCAGGCTAACTGCACTCCTAGATCAGCAGTAGCAGCCTCTGCCTGTAACCATAGCAGTCAAAATCGCACTTTAAAGCATATCTTTCTACCTATTTATACGAAGCTGTTGGTTAGTTGATTGCTTTTGGTCACCCTTTCCAGCTTTCCTGGATGGACTAATCCACTAAATTCTCATCAGGGATGACAAAAAAAATATCCATATTTGACTATCTATCTAAACTCATCTTAATACCGCTCAGATTAGATTTGGGCAATTTTGTTTTGAAGAAGACCATAATCAACTTTTTAGTTTAACTCCAAATTACACATATGTATTGGTTACTCAAGAAAGTGAATACCTAATTCTAATACAATTTTTGTTAGGGTTAATTGCATGGTTGGTCAGTGAGATTACAAAAAACGTTCAAGTTTGGTTACTCAAAATATTTAAATTCATTGGTGGTACTTCAGTTTACTGAAACGGTTTATGTTTGGTCACTCTCTGTCCAACTCCGTCAACTTTTGCTGATGTGGCAGTCAACTCTCAAAGTTGACCGTTAACTTAGTGACGTGACAACTAAAAAATTATTAAAAATAAAATTAATTTTTATATTTTCCACCTCATTTTTACATATTAAAAAATAAAATACAAAACCTAATTTATTTTCTACAAATTTCTCAAGTCGTTATGACTTTCTCGAAAAACGACAACCGCCGAAAGCAGAGCTCTGTCGCCGGACTACAACGAGGAAACCTTCAAGGAAGTCCTCTCCTCCGAAACCCCTAATCCCTAGCCTGCCCACCCCCACCGCATTACTCCCTCGTTCCTCCTTCATAGCTTTCTCTCTCTCTACCTATCCATCCATCCACACCTCTGATCTCTCTCTCTTTCTCCCAACTCGTCGGCACAACATTAACAATGGCGGCATTATGTTTCACGGTATTTCCACTCCCCCTCGGCGCGGCCAAACCAACAAGGACGCCGCACTACTCGGCTCCTGCGCGGCCGCCAAACCCAGAAGCTTGTCATCCACCGCCGGCGCCGTATCCATTGGTGGTACTTCAGTTTACTGAAACGGTTCACGTTTTTTGTAATCTTAGTGACCAACCATGCAATTAACCCATTTTTGTTATAAAACAAATAGAAAGGTGAAACATAAACACTAATTGTGTAATTGGATTGGAGGTAGTTAATGAGATGATCGATATTGTCTTTTGTATGTACAATCCTATGAACACAAATAGATTCATTTGATTCCGACCAAATGAATTGATCCCAATTAAACACAATTCAAAACCATTAAAAAGTACATATGAGTCCATATGGATTTAACCCAGTAATATAAATATTGATCATGCTAATTGAGTCATATTATCCTGAGAGTAGAACTATTTCTAATTGAACATCGCTTTTGAAATATTAGATGATATATCAAATGATGAGTTATATTATTGGTTTGGGTGCATTTTTTAGCAAATGTTATAGTGATCTTTGAAGTGCCCTAAATCAGCACTGAGCTCACTTCGATTACAATTTTCTCTTTTATGGTTTCCATGAGCATTTTGTTTCCCTCTTCAGACGAATTTGCTAACTGAAGTAAAAAAACCCAAAACAATTTTTAGAAAAAGAAAAGACATTTGCAGCCATAGCTCTCTACTCTGCAGCTTCTTCCTTCCTTCCTACCACCAATCCATCATTCATCCCTAACCAACAACAACCTCCACGAAACACAAGCAATCCTTCTTCTCCCCGTGACCGTCTCAATTAGAGGTGACAAATGGATTGATCCATGGATTGATGGATCCATAGATCAAATTGATTGTAGATTCATGGATCAACAATAGATTGTGGATTCATGGATCAAATGGATTGATCTATGGATCAACAACCCCTGCATAGTCCCACCTCTTACAACCCTTGCCGCCATCCGTTCTCACCAGGAAGAACACGCTCTTATGCCCCCATCTCATCAATTTTTAGTCCTTATTTTATTTTACAATAACTCTTAAGTCCTTTTGGTAGATTACATTACCGTAGTTATATTTTAAAATTATAAGACATATGCAATGACGGAGCGGATATGGGTATGGGGCGGGGGCACTCAAATCCATCCCCACCCCATCCCCACAAGATTCTTTGCGAGTATTACTCTTATCCGCCCCATACCCAGTCAATGTGGGGATTCCCCACGTTGACCGGGTTGGGTAGGGTCGGATACCCACGGTTACGGCTATAAATGTCATCCCTACTTCTTCCTCATTGGGGTTATTGCTGCAGGTGAGGTAATCGTCGTGAGCGGCGGAGTTGGGTGTGAGCTTCTCTGTAAGTGCTTTGACGAACTCCTTCATCACGACGCACCCAAATGCTGCTCCGTTGCCAATGGGGACTCTCCCTGGCTGGACAACGACGGAATTCTCCCTCTTGGCGACAAGAAAGTTGTTGTAAAGAGGGACTCCAGCAGGTAAGTTCGGGTTTTGTTGTGGCTCCCTTCCTTTGGGTGCCTCTTGTGTTGGCCTCGTCCCTTGTCTCTCCGCCTCAGACAAAACCTCATACCTATTTGTTGTTTCCCGCATCTGGGTTACTAGGTGGTTCGATTGTCCACTTATCGCTCCAGATCTTCGATTTTTTTTCTTTGCGACCATCCATTCCCCATATAAGGGGGATTTCGGCACTGGTTCCACATGCATATCATTTGTTTGGTCTGCTTCCTCAACAACTGGCTCCGACTCAGGGGGTTTGGTGCATCCGCATTGCTCAGTCGTATACCCATATTTCCCGCATTCAAAACACACATTGTAGAGGCTCTCGCATCGCATGTGATGAAATACTCTTTCCTTTCAACTTTGTACTTCGATAAAAGCGGCTTCGTTAGATCCACTTTAACACAAAAGCAAGTATATTTCACTCTGGCTCCCTCAAGAGTTTCCCGATCCACAATGGTCGGCTTACCAATCAGTCCGACGATTCTCATCACTGCTATCTGATTAAAAAATTCTGAAGGGAAGCGGGGAAGCTGCACCCACACCATTGTAGTCTTTGTCTCAACCTGCCATGGGTCAAAACCTCGATACCACCGATGGACAGTAACAAATCATTCAATGATACAACCCAAACTCGTACCAATACATTATGGTACAAGTTTAAGTACCTACACACTATGGTACAACTTTATGTTTGTACCGACACTTTCGAACAAATCTCTCTATGGTACAACTGAAAGTTGTACCTATACGTTATGGTACAACTTTAGGTTGTACCTACAATTTCAAACACATCCCTCTGTTGTACAACACAAACTTCTACCTATATGCTATATAAGGTACAAAGTTGTACCCTACACTTTCCAAAAAAAAAAGAAGGAAAATAGTTAATCAAATGGTATATAAAGAGGTTGCCACCGTGATACTAAAAAACAAGTAATCACCATAACCCATGTCGTACTGTTTGACTTTGTGTTCCCTCCTGTCTCGTGGTTTCTCATTCCTCCAGCATGGTTTTGTTGTGGCTCCCTTATTTTGGGTGCCTCTTGTGTTGGCCTCGTCCCTTGTCTCTCTGCCTCAGCCAAAACCTCATACCTATTTGTTGTTTCCCGCATCTGTGTTACTGGGTGGTTCGATTGTCCCCTTATCGCTCCAAATCTTCAATCTTTTTCTTTGCGACAATCCATTCCCCATATAAGGGGGATTTCGGCACTGGTTCCACATGCATATCATTTGTTTGGTCTGCTTCGTCAACAATTGGCTCCGACTCAGGGGGTTTGGTGCATCTGCATTGCTCAGTCGTATACCCATATTTCCTGCATTCAAAACACACATTGTAAAGGCTCTCGCATCGCATGTGATGAAATTCTCTTTCCATTCAACTTTGTACTTCGATAAAAGCGGCTTCGTTAGATCCACTTCAACACAAACGTGAGCATATTTCATTCTGGCTCCCTCAAGAGTTGCTCGATCCACCCTGGCCGGATTACCAATCAGTCCGACGATTCTCATCACTGCTATCTGATTAAAAAATTCTGAAGGGAGGCGGGGAAGCTGCACCCAAACCATTGTAGTCTTTGTCTCAACCTGCCATGGGTCAAAACCTCGATACCACCGATGGACAGTAACAAATCATTCTATGATACAACCCAAACTTGTACCAATACATTATGGTACAAGTTTAAGTACCTAGACACTATGGTGCAACTTTATGTTTGTACCAACACTTTCGAACAAATCTCTCTATGGTACAACTTCCTATACGTTATGGTACAACTTTAGGTTGTACCTACACTTTCGAACACATCTCTCTGTGGTACAACACAAACTTCTACCTACACTTTCCAAAAAAAAACCAACCCAAACTTGTACCTGCACGCTTTGCGAAACAAATTCTTCAATGGTACAACTCAAACTTAAAATTGTATCTACACGCTATGTACAATTTTGGGTTGCACCTACACTTTGTGCGAAACAAATTCTTCAACGGTACAACTCAAACTTGTACCCTGTAGGATATGTACAACTGTAATTTGTACCTACACTTTTATCGATTGATTAATTATTTACAAGATTGTCATTAATAAATGTGGGATCAAGTCACTTAATGGGTTTACCTCCCCAACCACCGATAACCTTTTTATTTTTATTTTTTATAGTATAAAAAAAGAGCACAGACCGTCGGTATTAGTCAATCATTTTCCAAAGAGGAAAAGGTTTCCAGAATCCAGTAGGGAAAAGGAAAGAAGTCAAGCGTAGTACTATAAAAGCAGAGGAGCTCAATCGATCGTAAGTGCTAGTCGGCAATTTAGGCATGGCAGGCGACGATGAAGAGCACTACACGGTGCTGGGGCTTCCTTCAGGGGAGTTAGGGTTGCGGGTGTCGTCGTCGGAGATCCGCCGCGCTTACAAACGCAAGGCATTCGAGCTGCACCCGGACAAGAGACCCGACGACGAGAACGCAAAGCAAAAGTTCCAGAAGCTGCAATCCTCCTACGAGGTTCTCAAGGACGACACATCTCGCAAGTTGTATGATGATCGCCTTCGGCTCAAGATCCTTCTGAAATCCAAGCAGCGCCGGGAACGAGCTTCAGATCATGATCATCATCGTTCCGAGCGAAAGAAGCAGAAGCAGAAGCAGCAGCAGCAGCAGCAGGACGACCTAGCTGAAGAGATTCGGGAGCAAGCAAAGCGGCGGAGTTGGGAGCAAGAACAGCAACGCTTAGCTACAGAGTTCTCGGAGAAGATCGCGAGGAACGTGCGCTTGCTGGCCGAGCACCAAAAGAAGCGAGCGTTCGAAAACTACCAATTCCGGCGCAGAATGGAACTTGAGGACCCGTTCTTCATGCCTTACCAATGGTTTTAAACAACGTTGTTGAGTCACATTTTGGTGGCGGCACCGTGACTACCAATTGACGCAATCAAAACGCGTGTATGCAAATTATCGATCCAGTAATTAAGATAAGTAAAGTTATCGTAAAAGCAAGTGTCTTTGTCATCCAAACAAAGAGTACTGGGAGAAAACAAACTTGCTGAGGGATTATGTGCAGTGCTGCATGGCCAAATCTGTAGAACAAAACTCTTTCAGCAGGCTAAAGTTAGCATTCCACAGAATGAATGAACAATTCCAAAAGCATACGTGTTCTCATCCATGTTTTTACGACTTGAATTGAATTATTTGCCTTCGATTAGAAGCTATGGAGTCTTGATGTAAAGTGTAGTGTCCTTAAGTACAATGAAATTGACTCTCTTATCCCCGTGAACTAACTAACACACATTATGTTAGTGACCCACGTAAATTTATGTCTTCTTCACTTTCTTGCATTGTCGATTGTATCCAGATGCGCTCTTAATAATTCATCATTCCAGCTTGCTTTTATCGATTATTAGCTTCTTTTCTAACTAATCCTCGGTAAAACAATAAATCTAAATGGAAGTTAGAAAGAAACCTAAAATGTGACATTTTTTTAAACTATAAGACACGTATGAGCGCGTATAGTATTTATTTCAGTCTAACAGACCGTTTGGTACCAAATGAATCCATAATTTATTTCATTTTAAAATGAATTATTGGGTGGAATTCATTGTCAAATGAATACCTGTTTTTGGTACATGCTACTAGCGTTACAATCAAATTCTTGTCGACGTTCCTCATACTGCCTGAATTGGCGCCAAATAATATATGCGGTAGTAATTTTGTTAATAAATGAGAATAATTATGTCGTTTTATTACAATAAGTAAATACTTGTGGAATTCATTTGAAAATTCCATCTCAATTCTTAGAAATTGCTATAACTAGTTCCAATTCCATAGAATTCAAAATTTAGAAATGAAAATGAATTCTTTTAAATACCAAACAGAAAAAATTTCATTTCAAAATTAATTCCTCAAAAACTTATGGAATTCATTTATACCAAACTATATGTAAATGTAAATCTTCGACATCATCAAAAATAGGGTGCATAACCATGGGTTATGCCCCCATCAATAACTAAATATGGACCCTTCATTTAGAAAATTCAGATATAAAGATGGGAAATTAAATGTCATTTTTATTTTTCATAGCTTTCTTAATTGGCTCATATCTTTTTCGTTTTAACTCGGGTTTTTTTTTGCACAGATGGAACGAGTTCGTTGTGCTCTACAAAATGAGATCAATTTTCAATATTTTTTGAGAAAAAAATTTCTTACCTCTCGATACCAACTGCATACCATATGCTATCTTCTTCGTTTTTAATTCGTTTTTGAAAACGTTTGCACAGAAGGAACGAGTTCATCATGATTTATTGGATCTACAAATTTCTTGGTGAACAAATTACAGGACCAAAAAATACAACACAATACCACCCTGGGACGGGGTGGTATCTTGTGGTACACATTGTTAAAAGTAGTAAATGACAGTTAATATACTTCTACTATCATGTATTCAAGCATCCTACAGACTTGGTTTGTTCATACCACCATGGTACGCTTTTCAAACCATATGTATGCTCTTATTTCAATACCAGTCAATACCATATGGTATAGACTCGTAAAAAATGGCTCAGTTTTTTTTGTTCGAAAAATATATCAAAGGGTATATCATTTTGAAGAGCATAACTAATCTGATCTAAATGTGAAAAAAATTAAATTTCGACTTAAAACGAGTGAGAAATCGTCCTTCAAAGATTAAGGAGGGGAAAATTAAAGGCTTTCCAGGAGAGAGAGGGATGCTGATGTGGACGGGTTACTCATGGTTACTCACCATAAGGTTACTGACTTGATCCGTTCCCCGGCCTAAGTTCGGCGATCGGCACCGTGAGTCGGCGATGAGTGGAGGCTATGGTGGTAAGCCGTCCGACGATGGGTGCGGCTGCAGCGCCAGCGGGGGATCCTTCCTCACCAAGCTCGCTAGGCTGGAGTTTCCTATGTTTGCAGGAGGAGACCCAGGATCGTGGTTTCCTTGTGTGGAGCAATTTTTCGAATACCAGGAAGTTTCGGAGGATCAGAAGGTGTCGTTAGTTGCGTTTCATCTAGAGGGAGAGGCGAACTAGTGGTGTCAATGGCTGAAGCGGGCCTATAAAGACATCGGAGAGGCGATTCCATGGGGGTTGTTCTCGCATGAGCTGTGGGCGAGGTTCGGTCCGACTAAAGGAGAGAGCTGCGAGTCAGAAGTAACTAACTCGACGTGTTGAACCGAACAACTCGCAACCCGAGTATAGGGTATATGTTATCGAGTAGAGTTATGATTGAAGTCACAACAATTCTACTAAACTTGATAAATAATCTTTGATGATTCGTTGTTTAGGGTATAGAGTATATGGTTAGGGTATATGGTACACTACAAGAAAACTCGACTTTAGAAGCAGAGCTTATTTGCTTCTAAATGATATTTGGCAAAATACATCTCCATAGCCATAACTATCTACTTTGTGACAACAATAGCCAAATTTTGAAAAATATCCAAACATAGCCACACTTTTGAAACTAGTTTGACAAATTATGCCATTTTTCGTTAAAAAATTTAACACCATTAGGAATTTCGTCAGTAACATAGATGTTGTGTTGATGTGGATGCCACCTCAGATTGCATATCAGCTCCAGCTAGACAAACAATACTATCTAGGTGCCACGTAATATTTTAATGGAAAATCTTATAATTTTTCTCCCTAGCCACCGCCCAACGCTGGAGCCTAGAACCAAACATGTTCATCTAGGGTTTAGAGAATTCGATAGATCTCCTTCACCACAACTGCCGCTGACAAATATAATCCATCACATCATTTTCTTCCTCTCCCACTGTTGTCGGCTTTTCTGACCAACCTCATCTTCTTCATTGAGAACATAGATAGAAAGAAAGGGGGAAAAGCAGAACCTTTTATTTTTCCTCTAACAAATCGCCCTTGACCACCGATCTTCCTTCTCCCTCTCTAGCCTTCGCCTTTTCTCCACTCAATTTACCCTTTTCCTCACACACAAATACCTTTCTTTGGTTGAATTGCAGATCGAGACTTGAGGGAAAATGATATTGAGGTTTGCTGGCAAGAGCAGCGGGCGAGAGAATCAAACCCTTGTTGCCGCTCTGCTCTATTCCTCCTCCTCCTTCGAGTTCGCCGCCGATGATGGCGGGGAGGACGAAACGAGAAAGGGAAAACAGGGGATGGGGAGGGTTTTACGAGGAAGATAAAGGAATTGGTTTGGCATGTTGGGTCCTGCTTGAACTTGCAATCTCAATACAAGGACCTACACCTTTATATTTTGATAACTAGCTGCCTTGCATATTGCTACTAATCTTTTCTTTCATGAATACACTAACATGTAGATATGGATTGTTACTTTGTTCATGAGAAGGTGGTGTTTTTTTAATTGTGGCACATAAGATCTCTTTCAATGAACAACTCGCATACTTATTTACAAATGGCTTGGAGTGCAGCAAGTCACCTACCCACTTTCAAGTTTGACCTTCATTATATTCATTCCTCCACTTAAGGAGAAGTATTGAGACCCCTTCGCGTTTCGTGGGAGGGGCTAGGGTGTTAACACTTTTTTATTAGTATGGTGCTAACACTAGCTCCAGTTAATCATAACATTTCGTTTGGATGACTTTTCCATTTAAATGAGTTGACCACAATTAACGAGGGGGAGGGGGAGGGGGAATGAGGAGCACACTTGGTATTATGAAAAATTGGGAACAGAGAGGAAGGAAATAAGGGGGACCACGTCAAGAGATGGCAACAAGTCGGGTCGGGGGCGGATAGTGCATATTCGTTACCCTACCCAAAGTAGTTCTGATTTTACCCGTATAAGACTCAGGTAGAAATTTAAAACCATGCCATACCCGTTCGGGTTTCGGGTATCCATGGGTAATAATTTATCTTTATAACTCCAACCAACATGTTCACATTCACACGTATACTCGCATTACAGAAGATAAAAAGTACGACAATAAATCACTAGAATGAAAAAATTTAATTAAAAACAACACAATTTCATGAAAACATCATATTTGTATGCTAAATATAAAGTATGTTGTGAAAAGTAATAATCATCTCTAGACAAAATACATATGCATGCGTATAATCGGGCGAGTTCGGGTTGGATAGTGAGAAAACCATACCCACCCATTAGCCACAATATTCAGGTTCGGGTTTTACCCGTACCCACCAAAAATCCATCGGGTTCGGGTTTTACCCTACCCGATTAAGAGGGATTCGTGCGGGTTTCCACGATTTTAGATATTTTTGCCATCCTACCACGAACCATGCCACAACCTACTCCAAGTATGCCACAACCTCAAAGCATGCCAGAACCACAAAGCATGTCACAACCTCAAAGCTTGTCACAACTTCCTCAAGCATGCCACAACCTCAAAGCATACCACAATCACAAAACATGCCACAATTTTATAAAGCATGCCACAAGTAGTGGACATGTTTGTAAATTAGAAAAATTTTAAGTACCAAAATGTAATTGGAAAATTTTTAGGTACTAAAATGTAATTTTTCATCGATCTTTTTAGTACTCGAATGTAAAAAAATTAGGTACTAAATATGAATACCAATTAAGTTCAGGTACCAAAACTGTAATGTGTAAATAGAACCTAGAAAAGTTACGTAAATGAAAGGGGAGGAGAAGGGGAAGAGGAAGAGAGAAGGGGGAAAATACTATAATACCCTTTAATGAATGTGTTAGTATGGTGCTAACATCTATCCAATTCCCGTTTCGTGTGGTGCATGCTGTCTTTATTTGTTTTCTCTTGTTTTAGGTAAGTCATGTAATTTTGTCCTGAATTATGTTTGTGCCAACTAGCTCAGGACACGAACAATTATATTTGTTGTGTGGGTCGACTCGTCATTCGTTCGTCTGATCTCGTCGGGAGGGAAGAAACCTGTGAAAAAGACCGGGGATGCCCCCGGATTGAGCTCCAACGATCAAGTCAGTGTATGTTTGTGGAGAGAGTTGAGAGAATAAGGTAGAGAGATAAAGTGTAGAGAGATGGTCAAAAGTAGAAAGTGAGGAGAGAGCCAAAAAAAGTCCCCTTCCTTGGTGGGTTTCATACCTTTATATACTCGTAGCGGGTTTAGAGCGCCATACGTTGTCGATTGGACGCGGTATTACTTAGTCTCTGCGAGGAGTCCCTTAGCAATACCCCAACAAATTATGTGATTTTTCAATGCTCTGCGTTTACTCCTAACTCGAAGTGGCTTGTGAAAGGGTTTAGAAGGTATAAGTAGAATGAGTTGCGGCTGGTAGCAGTGTGTGAATGAATACATTAATAAGATATAACTGAGAACCCCTGTGAGTTTTTTTTTAAGAGTAGTCTCGTTCGTGTACTTACCACCCAATGTTCATGAAAGAGGGAAAAAATGGGGAGTGAAAGAAAATTTTAGAAAGAGTGAAAATTTGAGGTAATGAAATAGTGAAAAGAAAATGGTGATCAATTTTGAAGATAAAAAAAAAATACAATAAGAGTGAATGGTGTTTTCACCTCAAATTGAATATGCATTTGCTATAATGGATTTCCTCCCCAAATTATCACCTCCTCGACGGTGAAAAATATTATGAATAAGGAAAAAGTGTTGAATCCTTCCAGTTTTCCCTATCACTCTAAATCACTTCTTCGGTTGCTTCCAACAAGCTCTGGATCTCACGCCTCAAGTTGGCAATTAAACGAGTGGATGGAAAACTTTAACCAATACACTCGGGAAAATAGAAGTTCCTTGTTGTATGCGGAAACTTCCTTATTCTTGTCATACCCTAGTTGAATGTAGAAAAGGGTATATATTATAAAGGATGTTTCATTGCTATTTTTAATTTTAGTTTCAAATAATATCATTTTATATTGCTAATTAATAATCTGAACACTACTGATTTTTCAACAATAATAATATTTTGATTATATAAATCAAATACATGAATCGTTTACATGGTTCTTCAAACTGAATACATCTAATAAAACCGAATAGATTGATTTTGTTTACATTTTGAATGCTAATTTAAACAAAAAAAAAAAAAAACACAGCACTAAAAATGTATTCTTAACAATGGAGGACTATTGAACTCTTCCTCTCCCTCATCATCACTTTTCAATTGTTTGTTATTTCCACTGACCATCACCAATATCGCGAGCAAAGGTGGGAAATAATCAACATCATAAAACAAAATTAATTTATTCGATCAAATTATTGACAATCACAAGAGTAAATAATGAATTTTCAACCAACATTATAAACCCAAAATGCTATATTGTAAAAGGAGGTTTTAATCCGTCCCTATCGAGGCAGCCGCACGAGGACTCGTGGATCTGAATGGTGAATCCGGTGGTGGTCACAATGGAGAGCCCACGATTGGCGCATTAAGGGTCAGATGGTACACGAATAGATATGGATTTGCAAGAAGAGGGACAAGAGGTTGGTTTTGTTTGCCAGTTGATTCGATGACGAGGAAATGGTGGAGGGAGGAGAAGACACGGCAGTGGTTGTCGATCTATTCTCAAATTGTTGGACTATATTGTAAACTAACTCTTTAAGGCTTTTTCAGATAGCGATTGGGCTGGCTGTCCGGATTCACAGAGTTCAACAACAGGTTTCTGTGTGTTTTTAGGTAACTCATTGATTTCTTTGCGTTCCAAGAAGCAGAAAACCATCTTTCGATCCTCAACTGAGGCCGAATACAAAGAAATGGCATTTCTGACCTGTGAGGTTCAATGCTTACATTTTGTTTTTGCATCTTTAGGTGTTCCTATCACGCCACCTAGTATTATGTATTCTAATAGTCGATCAGCTATTCGGATAGCTGAAAACCCAGTAGCACATGAACGTACTAAGCATATAGAGTTAGATTGTAATTTAACGCTTGATAAGATAGCTTCTGGTTTGATCAAAGTATTGCACATCTTTACTTCTAACCAACTATTCGGATAGCTGAAAACCCAGTAGCACATGAACGTACTAAGCATATAGAGTTAGATTGTAATTTAACGCTTGATAAGATAGCTTCTGGTTTGATCAAAGTATTGCACATCTTTACTTCTAACCAACTATTCGGATAGCTGAAAACCCAGTAGCACATGAACGTACTAAGCATATAGAGTTAGATTGTAATTTAACGCTTGATAAGATAGCTTCTGGTTTGATCAAAGTATTGCACATCTTTACTTCTAACCAAGTTGCTGATCTGTTTACAAAGTCTTTGCCTACTGCAGTTTTTTTCTGTTTTGTAGGCCAAGCTGGGCAGTCTTGACATCCATTGTCACGAGACACATAATTGAAGAATTCTTGTCTCGTAACCTCCTTGCGATAAAACTAACAAACTACGATAAAACGATATAAATTGCTATAAAACAAAAGCAATAAACTAGTTTTGGGTTCCAATCTTCTTCATACTATTAAACGAATAAGACATTAGATATTTATAGGTACAAAATCCTCTCCTTCTTCCTTATGGTTTCGGTACACTCATCCCTATTCCTACCCATAGTATGTAACCTTCTCCTACAAGGACACCACAACCAAATCCAAAACAAATAACAAAAGGCAATGGGTTAATACCTTATTTTGGCCTGAACTATAATCATATAATCAACTTTGGCATGTGGTTTCAAAAATTAACATCCTGGCCTCAACTATACAGCATATTGACTCAATTGGCCTGACACATGGTTTGACCGTCAATTTGGACAGTCAAAACCGTTGACCGTCAATTTGGACGGTCAAAACCATTAACCGTTAGTCAACACACATGTCATTGCCTCGTCAGCATAACAATCATTAAAAATATTTAAATTCAAATTATTTTACTAATTTATATTATTTATAATTATCAAATTAACCAAAAAATTAAAATTATAAAAATATAAAATAGATTTAATATTTTTTTTGGGTAATTTGAAAATGATAAATTTTACCAATTAACCAAAAATTATAAAATTATTTAATTTTATTTTTTAGTTAATCTGAAAATGATAAATAATAAAAATTAGAAAAATAATTTTAATTTGAATTTTTGAATAATTTTTAGGATGACGAGGCAATGACATGGCGCGCTGACTAATGGTCAACGGTGTTGACCGTCCAAATTAACGGTCAAACCATGTGTCAGGCCAATTGAGTTTATATGCTGCATAGTTGAGGCCAAGATGTTAATTTCTGAAACCACGGGCCAAAGTTGATTATATGGTCATATTTCGGGCCAAAATAAGGTATTAGCCCAAAGGCAATAACAATCCTACTAAGACTAGGAAACAATGACAATAATATCCCAATTAATAACTAAACACTTAATAAATAATAAACTTCTAAAATAGATGAGCCCAGAAACTGCCCGAATTATTACGATAGCTCGTCTCGTAACATTCATGCTCCAGCTTGAGGGGGGTGTTGGACTATATTGTAAACTAGCATTAGTTCAAGGACCATTTGTAATATTTGTTTATCTTTGTATATTGTTTTGTTTTTTTGTTAGATGGAACTATTTTATATATATATATTTTGTAACTCTGAACCATGTAAACTTACTGTTTTGATGATATAACACAAGTAGACACTTTCTCTCATCACAAATGAAAATTATAACTACACCCACCTTCAAGATGTAGATCTATTCATGCCATCGTGCTGGTCGAACGTCATTGTTACCATGTACGCCTTGCCATCGCTTAAAGTAGTCCTTTGCTCCAACCTCGCCGTCGTTTCCAATGGCAAGTAGTGGCAAATGGATTGGATTGGTGGATTCATGGATCAAATGGATTGGATCAAGTGAATTGTTGGATTATCCTTAAATCCAAATGACATCATCAACCAAGGACCAATATGTCAAATGTAAAAATTTTAGGTACTAAAATGTCATAATGAAAAATTTTAGGTACCAAAACGTAATTTTCCAATGATATTTTTGTATAAAAAATTAAATTTTAGGTACCAAAATGTAAATATAAAAATTATAGGTACTAAACTAAAATTTCCAATGATCAATGGATCTAATCTATGAATCGACCAATCCAATTGGATTTGGATCAAATAAATTGGAGTTAAATTTATTGGATTAGTTGGATATTTTTAATAAATTGGTGGATTGGATGGACGGTTCTGTAGAGATGGAAGAAAAAGAAAGAGAAAAATATATGGAGGAGAAGATGGATAGTCGATCGGCTCTCGGTTGAGATTCTAAAACTAATTAGGGTTGTGGTTAAAGTTTTTCATATTTGTTATACCATCCTCTACCATTATGGAACTAGCTTTCAAAAATTATATTCCCAATTATTTTTAAAAATAATTCAATTTCACTGACAAAAAGGTATTTATCTAAAAAAACTATTAAAATGGTCTTTATATAACAAAAATGTTTAGAGACAATTAAAAATGCTTCAGTAAATGCTTTGTTAAAATGACTAGTATACTTTATAGGAGCAAATGTTATAATCATCTCTAAAACTTTTAGTTTAATTTTATCACGTAAAAATGAAAGAAAATATTAAGATAAAGAGACAATTAACAGAATATACCGAAGTGGATAATATATATGCGTCCATAGATTAGATATAGATACTAATGCAAATTGTCTCTAATTATTTGCTTGTAAAGCCTAGTTTTCTTGTAGTGGTATAAGGCACAGATGGTTTAGAGTGTCCATGGTTAGGGTATATAAGGTATTGATGGTTTTGACGGTTCAAGTTTTTTATTAACATATGTTCACTTGAAGTTATTTGAAGTCTTTGACCACATGAGATCCCTTTTTAATCTATGTTTAAGGTACGTGGTTAGGGTATATGGTTTAGAGTATAAGGTATATGTATATGTATATGATATAGCAAAGATCTATTTTTTATCTATATTTTGAAAATCAAAGTCCGAAAATCACTTTAAATTAACTATGGTTAGGGTATAGGGTATGTGGTTAGTGTAGGGTACATGGTCAGTGTATAATGTTTGATGGTTTACGGTATACGATCAACAACATATACTAACTTAATATTGTCGATTGAGGCAAGGATTAAGTGCATAGGTATATGTTATTGAGTAAGTTATGAATGAAGTCACAACAATTTTAAAAAATTTGATAGTTAATCTTTAGCAGTTCAATATTTAAGGTAATTCAAACAATTTTACAAATAACTCGTTTAACAACATTTTACTGAAGTTTTTGGGCAGTGAGTTATTTCAAAATAACTCCTTTTACCGCTATGATTTTGCCAAATACCACACGTCAAATACAAAATTTGCATGGTTCTATCAAATGAGATACTTTAATCCAATTACTACTGAAATAATACTAAAATACCAAATAAACAATTAATGGTGTTTATTGGTTACAAATGTTGATATCACCATTACTATATTTAGCTAGTGTACTTTACCAATTGCGATTGATTACATGACAAGTTTGCAAGTGATACAAATTGATTCAATATTTTGACTATCTTTTTAAAAATTTCAAGTACATATACGAGGTAGAAAGAACTTGGTTAAAAATTGTGAAAAAATGTCTAAATTGGTAACAATTAATGGGTAAGTAACTCGATGCACTGACCCAAAAAACCCGCAACCAGATCCGCCCGCAACTTGCCCGACCCAAAGCCCGATGAACTCGCAAACCAATTGAACCCAGCCCTAACCCGCCTGATTTTCACCTGTTTAGATCTTCTTTATATTGTGCTGTATTATTATTAAATGGTCCTGTTCTTTTATGCTTTTCATGATGACCATGCGTAGGTCTGTTGGAACAGGACTGGTTTCAAAGGCCAATTTATATAATAATTCCTTTCATTGCAAGAAGAATAGGAAGAGTACGACAATTAATTAACTAAATCTTCAAGTAAGTAAGTGAAGGTAAAAAAGTATTTACCTTTCTTGAATGTGGCAAGATTGTCAAAGGGGAAGGGAATTTGTAGGTTGCCGAGGTTATGTGCCAGGATGGGGGCGTTGGTGTGATTCAAAGGTTAGTTAGTGGTTCGACCCGGCTACATGTAGTGTCATTAAGGAAATCTCTCTATCCCTTAGGGATGTTGAGGATCGGCTTGTCTGGCATGGTACGCCGGATGGTGTTTTCACTGTGAAATTAGCCTATCACCTGGTAGTTAATAAGAGTAAAAAGGATGGGCGATGGCGGGCCTCGGTCAGTTGGATGGATAGGGGAAGCTGGATCAAATTGTGGGATGCTAATATCCCCTAAATTGAAGGTGTTCTTCTGGCAAATTTTCAATCGGATCCTCCCCACGACGGAAGCGCTTCGGGAAAAAGATGTCCAAGTCCACCCTAGGTGCCCAGTTTGCTGGGCGGAATCCGAGACGATGGAGCACTTGTTTCTTGAGTATCCGGTGGCTAGGGCGTTGTGGGATTTTGCGGGCTTAGAATACCTTGGGCAAGGACTTCCTCGTCATACTTTTCCGCTTTTCCTGAAGCGGCTATTGCTAATCATTCATCAGTCCCCATTGTTTATGGTTGTGGCTGCGGTACTTTGGAGAATCTGGCGTTCTCGAAACTGGGTTGTCTTTGAGGGCAAGCAGTTTGGGTTCCCAGCTTTAATGAGGCAATATCATTAGCAGATTCAGGAATGGTTGAACCTTCCAGTGGAAGAGACGAGGAGGTTTTCCTGTCCCCCCTGCGTCGCCGGTAGTGGTGCTCCCCCCGAGTGGGCTGGTCTGTAGGTGGGATGGGGCGACTAAGCAGGGCTCTCATTCAGCAAGAGGTTTTGTTGTGATGGACAGTAGATGGGGGTCCTTTTGGCTAAGGGTGTTCGGTTTGATGGGATTGATGATCCTCTGGTTGCCGAAATGCTCATGATTCGGGAGGCTATTTCTTGGTGCATTTCGTCTAACTTTTTGGAGGTGAAATTGGAAGGTGATTCCAAGGTGTTTATTGATAAATCAATCAAGGGATCACAAGGGATAGTCGGATTGGCACCTTGCTGGTTGAAGTGGTGGAGTGTTTAGCGCTTAATAGGGGGCTTGCTGTACGATTTGTAGGTCGGTATAATAATAGGGTAACCCATTTGGTGGCTAAGAAGGCCCTTCATTTGTACCTAACTATGAGTCGTTCTTTTGATTATCTGGCCTGGCTGCGCTCCAGGGTGTTTTTTTTATCAAAATATGATTATCTTTTGTAAAAAAAAAAGAATGAAAGTGCACTTAGCCTGGGTTGGTGGAAATATAAAATAATTGCATGAAGGTGTCTCATGATATCTGTGAGAAGATGCGAAAAAATCTCAAGGATTTTGATGATAAGAATAAGCAAAAGGCAGCAGTAAAAAAAGCATTTAGTGAGAATTATGAAGAGGGACAACATATTGGTGAAAAAGAAACTATTAATGTTGAAACTCTTGTCCCATGTTCCTCTTCAAAAAGACTTCTTTTGAAAACATAGACTCATGCCAGGTTGATAGGATTGATGAACATTTTGCTCCAAGAATAACTTCTGGATCTCAACCAGGACTTAAAAGTGTCTTGGCTAGTAAAGAAATTACGTTAAGAGCACGACTAACTATTGCCAAGTGGTTCTATGATGCATGCTTTGCTTTCAATGCAATTCAGTCTCCTTACTTTTAGCCAATGATTTATGCTACTCCTGGGTTTCGAATGACCTTCTTATAATGATATAAGGGTTAATTTGTTGAGTGATTGCAAGAAAGAGTGTGATTTGCTTGTTGAAAAATTGAGAAGTGACTGGAAAGAATTTGGTGCACATTGATGGCAGATGGTTGGGTTGACCAGAGGCAGAGAAGTTTGATTAATTTTCCTGTCTATTTCCCGACCGATATGCTCTTTGTGAAATCTTTTGATGCATCTGATATAGTCAAGGATGCTCATAACATCTCCATGTTGTTATGTGATTGAATGGATTGGTTCTGAAAATGTGGTGCATATGGAGACTGATAGTGTAGCAAATATGGTAGCAGTTGGGAGGAAGATAACTAGCTAGCGAATATGATAACATCTATTGGTCCCCTTGTGTTGCTCATGCTCTGAATTTGATGCTAATAGACATATGTTCTCTGGGTGGAATAGATAACCTTGCTCATCGTGCATCTAGATTGACTATTTTTATGTACAATCATCTTCCTTTGTTGAACTGGTTGAGGAAAAGACCTAAATGGATGGAGATTGTAAGAGCAACAACTACTCGCTTTGCTAGTACATTTATCACTCTTCCTAGCATCATTGAGCAGCAGGGTTATTTGCAAGCTTTGATGGTGAATGAGTTCTTTAGAGACCACAAACTCTAAAAAACAAAGGATTTTGGATAAGAAGTTTTAAGATGGTTGTGTGTTTATTCTGGACTTGATGGGTCCAATCGTTAAGCTGCTCTGGATCGTGGAGTATGATAGGGAACCAACTTTGAGATATGTATATGAGGGGATGATTAGGATGACAAAGCAACTAAGAAGATGCTTAGTAATGATGAGAAGAAGCATTAACTTTACATGGATATTATTGAAGAGAGATGCGACAGACATTTGAATCGAAATTTGTTCATTGTTGCATATTACTTAAATCATGACTTATTCTATTCTGCCTAGTTTGAGAAATCCAGACAACTTCATAATGCTATGTTGAATGTTATTGTGAACAAGAGAATATATCCCGAAACTTAAACTTTAATGGATGAGTTCACAATATAGGAGAACCGCTCAGGAAGTTTTGGGCGTGAATCTGCTTTGCAATCTACAAAAACTATGCAACCAGGTAATTTATAGCTACCACAATTATATAATCGTTTTGGTCATTCTTTAAAAAAAAAAAAAAACTAATTGAATTTTACTTTCATATTTTACGGCTATATGGAGGGGATGGGATGGCTTTGATACTCCAAGGTTGCAAAAGATAGCCATTTGACTGCTCAGTCAAACTACGGCTTCCTCAGGATGTGAGCGAAACTGGAGTGTTTTTGAAGGAATTCATACTAAGCGAAGAATAGGTTGGATATGAAAGACTAAGTAATTTGGTATATGTCTCTTAGAACTTGCGTCTTAAGCATAGGTACGTACATCTATTGATTTGCCTTTCTTAATGCAAATGTATAACATTTACATATTCTCATTTAAAAAGTTGAATTGAATCTTTCCTCTCTCTAGGGACTTCTATAAAAACAAACCTTTGAGTTATGATCCAATAGATATTGACTCTATTGATATGGTTGAGGAGTGGGTAATTGTGAATTTTTTTTTAAAATAATACATTAGATAAGTCTTTCCATTTTATATGTGTGAGTGGTTCTTTTAATGGTTCACCAACGATTTTATAACAGTTAACCATTGAATCATGAATCACTAACTATTATGGTTCAACTTCCGTTTTGGTTATGAAAATAGAGCATAAATCTTATACATAATTATTATTTGGAAAACTCAAAAGGTTTAGTCGTCTTCACAGAATAACCAAAACCCAATCAGTTACAATAATCATTAAAACATCCAACAAATCATTGTCTTTCTTCTCAACACAAGAATCACGACTCCCACCCCCACAATCATCCTCGAACCGCAACTTGTCCAACTCATCCAAAACATATACATGTCCATGCTTCCTTCCTATCGCGGTCACCTTCCCCATCCTCTGATCCTGCACAATACATCCACCCAAAATAAATATGACATTACAACCGTCTTCTGCCGATTGGCCAACCAAGACTAGGGAGCAATTTAGGAACATAAAGAGAAACTGTTACAGTCATAGATCCTGACGTTCAAGTGTCGGAACCATAAATTGGAAATGTGTCTCATTGGCCGCCTGAAGATTGAGATTCTGAATAGGGCAAAGTTGATGAAAGGAATGTCTAGCATGTGTCATATGATTAAATGCTGCAGGCTCAAGTAGACAACGAAGTGACTTACCCGATGCGACTCTGGATGGAAAGGCGAAGGTAAGGGCCGATGGTAGGGCCTCCTATACTAGCTTACGGACTAACTCAGGTTAAAACGGTTGAACCACGATCGTACCACAAAATACCATACCAGAAAGGAATCCGGTATGATGTCCGGTATGGTTTCCTTTACCATGGTCAAAACCCAACTTTTGACGAACTAAGAGTAGACACACTCCCTGTGTTGGATGGAAGTTCGGCCACCACAGACGGTGCCTGATGATGAGGTGTTGCTAGACACTAGTTAAGGCAGCTTCTCCTGCTTGCTCAACGTTGGCCATTCAAGTACAATATGACACGTCTTCTTGCAATAGTTACGGAAAATTCTGCGTAAAAGTTCAGCAAACACATCTTCAATATCAATAACATTACAGTGGAAAATTGATAACATGATATTTCCACATGTTTTGCCCACTATTCTTGCATCGTTTGAGGGTTGATTCAAGTGTTTTAGGCCGATTTCATGCTAGGTTGTGCTTTTATGTCGTATTTCAGGACCTGGAGCAGAAATTGAGGCTTGGAAGCGAGTTTCGAGTCAAAAGCGGGGAGATGGCGGAAAGTGGAGCCGGAAGGACAAAATACCCGGCCAGGTCATCCATATACCCGACCGGGTATAGTCAGCGGAGATCGGGTATTTCCCCAAGGAGAACCAGGAGGTCGGGTATTTCCACCTGTGATGAGAAGCTGGAACGCACGGTTTCAACTAATACCGGTTTGATTCGAGAATACCCAATCGGGTATTTGGATCGGGTAATGCCCAACTCGGGCTATTACATGCAGAACGCGGGTTTTGGTCTCTCATTGAAGTTTTGGAGCAGAAAACAAAGGTTTGGAGAGAGAAAGTGACAAACAAAGACCCTTGAGTGCCCTAGATCAAACTTTTTCATCATTGGAGCTCGATTCAAGCCTCGAGGAGTGACGATTGACGATCCGGAGCAGATTTCTTCTGTCTACACGATGATTTCTACATCCGGCATGGCTTCCCCCCCCCCCCCCTCTCTCTCTCTCTCTCTCTCTCTCTATATATATATATATATATATATATATATATATATATGGAGTAATCCCCTCTATCACTTGGGTATGTAAGAACCATAGATTGTATGTTAGGAAGAGTTGTATGAACCCTTTGCCATGAATGATTGATTGATTTATATCTAGTTGAAGTACTTATTCAGAATTGCTTGAGTCTTGATCAAATTCTAGTGATTCCTGGTTTGACCTTGAAAGATAAACTCTGCATAGGTCAATAGAGCATCTTGAATTGGAGGTAGTGAATCGGCGACTTTAGTCGAAAAGCCGATTCACTGCTCTGTACTGGTTTAGAACCCAATAGAGGGAGTTTGAATCTTATTGCCTCAGCTAGTTTACGCCGATGGAGGTTAGTTGCATGCCGGGTATTCAAACTGAGAGGGTCCGGAGCGCTTTAGTCGAGACTCCAGACTGTTAGAGAACTTTGCGTAGTTTAAACATCAATCAACTTGACTTAGGTGAATTACAACTTGACCTAACTCACTACAAGAAAATAACTTTTTAGTGACTAAATTATAGAGGCAAATATTGTATATGTTGCCAAAAGTACTTATACACAACATATATTCAATCTGCCTCTATAAGTATTATTATTGGCCTGCAATAATATTATGGTGTCTTATATATGAAATTACGTAAAATAACCTATTACTTTTGGAGGCAAAGTTTCGGCAACGGTCTCCTTTAAGTTTTCGCTTATAGGCTAACAGAGGCAAATACTTATTTGTTGGCAATTCATTGCTTTAGGAGACGAAAATGAATGTCGCCATTACTTTTGCATATAGCTAATTAACTTTTCGTGGCACATAAAAAGATATGCGATTTTTTTCTAATGGAAAATAGGTATGTGGTTCTGAATATAACAAATATATTTGTCTCTAATGGAAATATTGTAAAATTAGATTTTATCCTAAAAAATAAATGCATCAACTCTTTGGAATAGAAAAGCAACTAACTGTAAAAAAGAAAAGATTTCTCAATATATCCGGTATCCATCCATCCACTATATAAGATATTCCTTCCTTTTTGTTTATGAAGCTATTGCATAACACGAGTTTGAGTGCATTGATAGAGGACCACTTCGGACACTTCCTCGGTACAAGAAAAGCTGCCAGCAAGTCATATTCGAACAGCCATGGATCGTTTTTGAGATACACAGTGATAGATCGTTTTTTATCGATTCTCAGGAGGCGGCTTATGGCGTCGTTGTTTCGAACAACCATGGTCAAGTGTGTGACGGTAAAGCTGAGATCTTGCACTGTTTTCCCCCATTTGAAGCTGAAGCCAAGGCTCTTTTGGAAGGCTCACGTTTAGCTGTTGGTCTCCTTTCTCACTGCTTGGTCCGCTCTGACTGCCTGCCCCTTGTTCAGGCAATTCATGATCATCCGAAATCGTGGCCATGGCGAGCGGCAGCATGGATAGGCATTATCAGACAAACGATGGACTATGACTCATTGATTAAGATCACGCACATTGGTCGTAAAAGCGATTTGAAAGCAAACTGGGTAGCTAGATCATGTGCCAAGAATACTCTACCCTCTGAATGGGTTCAGATTCTTGATGTTGTCTCACCACTTTTGTAACACTTGACTTCTGCATCAAGTAATGGAAATACAATGTCCTCTTGTAAAAAAAAAAAAGAAGTCATATTCTATCCATAGATACATACAAGCCTAGTGATAGCTTCTGATATCATGGTCCGCTTGAGCCACGCGAGAGATCTCTGATTCTATAGCTCAATTGTCGTGCAAAACTATTATGAGAGTGAGTCTTGCAAATATACTGCCACATTGTCGACTTAGAGCTATTTGTACATCGATCGAGGGAACAATCGACATTATTAGTTGAAAATTCGATGCCGTCCAATCGTCGAGCATCTCTGATGCAGCCTTGGCTGGCTTCTAAGTCATACCAATCAAGATACCCAAGTGAAGCTTTCCTCCACAAAATTCCGAAGTGGAACTCACACAGAGGAAAATTATTACCATTGAGTTTGATGGACACAAAATCAGACTTAGTTGAACACCCACGTGTATCTAGGAGCCAAAAGCTTTACGAGGGAAGACTCGAAGCAGATTGTCAATTACCAAGGAACCAAGTAAAAAATTCCAAAACAGCAGCATGGATAAGAAAGAAGAAAACTAAAACTCCCAAAAGAAAAACATCGTTAAAGCACACGAAATGATGGATCGCCAGTTTTAGCTGCCAACTGATTATCTTCCAGAAGAGCTTCAAGGACAGTTGGGCCACCAATCTAAGGGAAGACAGCTTCAGGTGGAACCACTCAACATCGGCAGCCAACCGCTCGGACTATTCTGCACAGAAAAAATGTACATAAATAAACATAATACCATTGAACAAATTTTTTGTGTGCCTTCAGGTAAGATGCCAGACCAAAGCATCCAAAGCTGCCAGACCATTGAATTTGAGCACCGACAGAAGCAACCAGTTTCTTATGCTATACATGAAAGTAAGTGTTCAGCCGCCCCAAGAAAACAGCAAGAAGACACAATACCTTCATCGTGTCTACTGATCCGCCCCCTTTAAAGTAGCCAAGAGCTCTTGAATTCTCCTTTCTTTCACGAGCTCCGTCCTAAGGCGTTTCTGGCTTAACTGACTGCAGGACTCGATCACAGCAACAAATTCTTCAATTAGCCGATCTATTTCCTGAATGTCAGTGCGTGAACAGGAGGCTATTCGATTCTCCAGATCCAGTCTCCGAGAGAACTGGATCCGGAGATCCTGGTCGACCTTATCTACCACAGACTTGTGCATGTTGCATGCAGAAGCAGCAGCGCTTGCCCTGCTGCTTACCTGCAAACAATATAGACACAGTTACAATCAAAGTAAGAAACAAAGAGACACGTATCCATAGAGAGAAGGGGGGAGGGATGGATGGAGAGGTCTGCTTACCTCCTCATCTTTCGACATAATTTGCTTCTGCAGTTCGTTGAATAAGGAGGCTTCAGGAGTAGGCTCTTCAGTCTGCTCAGAGTGAAATCATTCGATAAATTGTTCACATACAATCAAAAGAAAAAGCAACTATCATACTTGACTACCGTGAGAGCTCTAATTGTAGCCTTGGCTTCTCGAACTCTCTTAGCATAGGTGTTTGATCTTCGTTTGTATAGGCGACTAAGTTCAGTAGCCTAAAAGGCAGAGGAGAGGCATTTCAATCAGATGCGCATACATTTTTAATAATTGCGGGGATTGTGTGAAGCCTCTATCTTACCGTAGATAGGTCCCTGAGAAGATGGCCTTCCTTGTCCAAAGCTGCCTTCTGGTTACTCTCCATCTCCTTCATATATTATAAAAATGTTAAAACAGTTCCATTCAAACATAAATGTGATAGTCAGTTTGAGACAAAATCCACCTTATTCATTATGGAAATCTTCTCCTGGAGCTCTTCAAGCTTATCATCATTCCGCGACTGATCCAGCTCCTCCTGGAGCTTTCTGTAGCTGTCATTTACTTCATCCAACTTGACGTTCAGCTCAATTATATCACGATCTTTAAATCCCAATTCCTGCACAAATGCTTGTTTATGAGTATTAATGTACTACTCAGATATTTGACCAGCAAGAGATTAGTATTATATGGTTGATTTACCTTATATTGTTGTGCAATACAATCTCTCCATTCATCATTACTCATGTAGCACTCCTCATGAGCAATGTTATCGAAATCAACTTCCTCGGCATCAAGTTTCTGTTTTTTCTCAATTACAGGTTCCTCGCCATCAAATTTCTGGAAAACACAATTACAAGTTGAAACAAACGGAGCAAGAAGAGCAATGAATCAACTACAAGTTGGACCAAACGCCTCACAGATATTTTTTTTATGTCAGTAATGTCAATTTTAGTAATCAAAAGAGTCAGCAGACATTGGCAGGGGCAGAGGAATTACTTCACGATTGCTTAAACAAAGATCACATGAAAATGAATGAGCAAGCAAAGCAAGGGGAACAGGAAGACCAACAAACAGTTTAGTACAAAAGAAGTGACATAAACCTTATAAATCTATGGGCAGAAACCTAAAGAGAACGGAGGGATAGCTAGGTGAGATTAAGGGAATAATGAAGACTCATCTGCACGATATTAGTTATTGTTAGAGGCGGGATTTGCGGACTTGCCACTGCCCACGCTCTTCATAGGATATCAAAAACTTGGTTAAGTTGTATACATAACATGGTTGCAATATGCTCACATAGGCAACAAATTTAGGCTTCCATCCTTGCATCTTGGATGTGATATTCTTAATGAGAGGCCTACAAGATTTGGCTGACAACTTACATGAAAGGAGAGGAGTTCCTAGATACCTCAGAGGATATTTCCCCAGAATGTAACCAGCTTTAGCTACAATACTTTCATATCATTCAAGCAGCAAGTCCCCACAATAGAAGTCACATTTCGCAGGGTTAGACACCAAATCAGATAATTTTCTAAATCTAGCAAGAACATCAGAGAGTCTATTCAACTCAAATGCTTCTTTCATTAAGCATGCAAATACTTCCAATGTCATGTACAATCTATGCACGATCAAGACACAGCAGGCATTGGCCAGCCCAGACTCAATGCGGCAACTTTTACAAGAAGACACAAATAAAGCTTCCCAAGAGAGACTAGCAGGAACCCAAACCTCGAAGCAATCAAGCAAACTCGAGTCGAGAGGCTGTAACAGGAATAGCATAATCGAAGAAATTCCATGCTTGCCAAAAGGGCATCAACCAAGAACAGAATCGAAGAAAATACTGTAAGGAGGAAAAGCCTAGAGCCAGCTAGTTCTCAACCTTACTCCAAGAACAGATTCATTGCGCAATCGAAGAAAAGATCGAAGGAAAGTTTGCCTAGAGGACTAACCCTTTTATCTGCCATTGTTGCGGTTCCCGTCGCCAGTCGGCTCCGGTGCGTTATGCCTCAACTCCGCAGTCGGCTCCGGTGCGTTATGCCTCCACTCCACAGTCGGCTCCGCCGCTCCGGTACTCCGCCGTTATTTCTCGCAACAAGGACGGAAAGAAAGGGCTCCCGCGGTTCAGGGAAGAGGACGAAAGACGGGGTGGGGACTAGGGAGTAGGGACTAGGGGTCGCGGGATTTCTTTTCAGTTGGACAACTCGTACGTGGCGGGATTTGGGTCCCTCCAAAAACGTGCTAATTTCTCACTTTCGTCTTTTTTTTTTTTTTTTTGAATAAGTTTTCTCACTTTCGTCATTTCTCAATTATTGCAATTTAAGTTTTCACTTTTGACCCTAACTCTCTCTGGTCTTGTTTTTGTTGGAAATTTGGTTTGAACCAGCTGGTCAATCCCATTCGTTTTCAATGGAGTCTAGGGCCGATCGTAACACCATTGCAATTAGGGGTGGAAATCGATACGGTATCGATATTCTAATACCAAATACCGAAATTTTGAATACCGAATTACACTTTAAAGTCAATCACAATCTCAGTCCCTAATTAATTTTGGTATCTCAATCTCAATTCCTAAATATTTTAGTATCCCAATTGGTACCTCGGTATCCCAATCGGTATTATCGAATACAAAATTAAATACCTTTGCAATTAATCATTAAATATGTAAATTGGATTTTATTTTTAATTTAGGGAGAAAAAACAAAGCAAAGAGTCTTGAATTAGGATAGTATTTAGGAGAATAGAGAAGAGGAGACATCTCAAGTTCTTGTCATTGGTAATCGTTAATTTGACGAACTGGAGGTTGAGAGACAACTATTAATAGTGATGTAATGATCTATGTATAATTAAATCACACTCTTGGTGGTTGAGGGTCGTGCAGTAGTGAACGAGAGAGTCGAGTTGAGAGGATAAAATACGGGATTTTTTCAGAAATAGCACCTTTCAAAAAAATTACAAAAATAGCACCCATTCTGTAGAAATTACAAAAATAGCACCCTTTTTTAAAAACCGCACCCCTGGTGTGTTTTGCATGTAAACCGCACCCCCAAGGTGCGGTTTAGCATTTTGGGCCAAAACCGCATCTTGGCCATGCGGCTTGTGTGTCTGACCTAACCAAACCGCATGGCCCAGATGCGGTCTAGTCCTGACCTAGCAAAACCGCACTTTGGCAACACAAATCGCACCCTCAAAGTGCGATTTTGGCAACACAAACCGCACTCCCCCCCCCCCCCCCCCCCCCCCCCCCCCCTCATGCGGTTTGTGTGTCAATTATTTTCCGACACCAGAGATGCAGCCATGCAGATTGACAGGCGTGGGGCTGCATGGCAGATGAAAACCGCACCTCTAAGGTGCGGTTTTCATTTATGATTTTGCCTATAAAAGGCAGCCCGGGAAATCTCTTCTCTTCACACCTCTCCTTCTCCCTTTTCAATTTTCTGTTGTAGCTCCCTATTTCTCTAGTGTTTTTGCGGTTAACGTTAACTCGTAAGTTTATTTTGTATTACTTTTTATTGTGAATTGTGATTTTTATGATATTAGTTGAACTACTGTTTTTTTTTTTTTTTTTGCAGATGGCATTCCAAAAGTTCACGCTTGGGTTACAGTGGAATGGTTACACGGAAGAGAGCGGAAAGGGGTTCACCTACGTCGGTGGCAATTTTCAAAAAATAAAGGTCGCTACCAGACCGATGCTTGAAGACCTCTATCAAATGTGTACTAACGTTACTTGCATGGATGGCACGAGAAGAGTTGATCGTATGGTGTACCGATATCCAAACAAAGAAGGCGGGTCGTTGTGGCACGAGGAATATCTCATAACCACTCAGGATGAGGTAGATGCCATGCTCGAATTCTTGAGGTCCAACAATCTTTCAAAAGCCGAGATGTTCGTTTACACCGAGCCGGTCGTGGCCGTTGGAGGTCATTCTAGAGACGGTCAAACATCTAGTATCCATGGTGGAGGTGAATTATATGGAGATCATCTCTACCAAAGTTACCATGATCCTCATTCCTATTTTCAGTACCAAGAGCAAGGTGAAGGTCATCATCAATCTTACCCGTCATATGAATAAGAAGTTCAACCGGACCATGCCAACCAACCCCAGTACAACTTCCAATCAGGCAGTGGTAGTTTTCACAACTACCATTATGGAGCTGATGAAGGTGCCTTTCATGAGCTAGATCAGATGGAAGATGCTCTGCCAGCACCAGTCAGTGACCCCTTCGATGAAGAAGGAGAGAACAACGTCAGTGCAGACAGCTCCGACCCTCTTGAAGGTAGGGCTACAAATGAGCCGAGCTGCTCGCGAGGGCTCGGCGTTCGACTCGAGAAAACATCGTTCGAAATTCGACTCGTTAATAAACGAGCCAAACACGAGCTCAGATTTGTTAAGCTCGCGAGCTAGCTCGACTCGGTGGCTTATTTAGCTAAATTCGTGAGCTGGCTCGTTTAGAGCTCATGATATATCTTGACATGTGGTTAGAGAGCCAAGTCGATTACCAACTTATGGACGAATCAATCTATATCTTATGATTTTGATTCATATAGTTGTTAAATTATATATCTCACCATATATAAAGTTTAACACGTTGAGTTTGTGAGCAAATATATCTGATTTTCTACTTTAAAAATAAATTATGCATCATAGATTGCTTCGCTATACCGAAATAACATGATTTGGAGTAGTTAAAATTTATTAACTAAATGATATATGATACCAACAAAGTATAATATGAGATTAGCTAACAAAATAAATCATATGTATCATGATATACAAAATGAAGTATCAAATAAAAGTTAAGATTTTAATAAACAAGCTAGCTCGACTCGACTCGACTCGTTAATAAATGAGCTGAGCTCGAGCTCGAGTCGTTTATTAACGAGCCGAGCTCAAGCTGGGGTAAAACTCGACTCAGCTCATTTGCAGCCCTACTTGAAGGTGTTGATGATTCAGGACCAGACTCAGACTCAGATAATGATGATGAGGTGGCTCATGACCGTGTACCAGTCCCCTACTACAATCACATTCCAGACGGCAATTGGATGGTCGACAACAACATGGAACCCCCTGAGGTTCCAATATGGGGTCCACTCACTGGGTTTATGAAGGGCCAACAATTTGGCTCGAAGAAGGAGGTGTGACACGCCATTGATACTAAAGCAATGACCCAGCATTTTGAATGGCACACAACTCATTCCAACACGAAAAGGCTCATAGTCAGATGTCGTAATCATAACGAGTGATGCAATATTAGGATTCGGGCCATCAACAACAAGAGACACGACCATTGGGTTATAGCACTTAGAAGTATTCTAGTTACCTCTCCTTCCCAAAGTCGCTCTAGCCTCCTCCGATACTCTACCAACTTGTGTTGCGCAAGTTTGTCGCATGTGGCGGGATTTGGGTCCCTCCAAAAACGTGCTAATTTCTCACTTTCGTCTCCTTTTTTTTTTTCACTTTCGTCATTTCTCAATTATTTCAATTTAAGTTTTGACTTTTGACCCTAACTCTCTCTAGTCTTGTTTTTGTTGGAAATTTGGTTTGAACCAGCTGGTCAATCCCATTCGTTTTCAATGGAGTCTAGGGCCGATCGTAACACCATTGCAACGGTTAATTATAACTAGGGAAATTGAGCCGCGCTATCGCAGCGGCTTTCGACGGAGTTTTGGTTTGTTGTTTACCGGTCCATGAAAACCTCTTTTTTTTTGTTATTTTTAAAATTTTCCTCGTCAAGAAATAAAAATATTTTTCTTGAGCAAATAATCCAAATTGGAAAACGCCTCAATTGACAGTTAGTTTTTTTTCATCACTAACTCGTTCCATCTCGGACCTTTATTTGTACTAATGTACGTTAGTCTGAACCTTAATTTTATATATATATTGACGTATTTATTTAATGTATTTAAATATTTTATTTTCGTATTAATGTCAAATCATTTCATTTTTATCCATATAATGGCTCCCGTACTATATACTTATAAATTTATACAACACCTTTAATAACCTATTTAAATGTATCATATTCCACCCAAAACTCTCATACTCAAGGTTGTCAACCCGCGGGTCGGTCACTGATTGACCCATTTTGACCTAACCCACTGAGAAAAATGGGTCGTAACCCTGCTGGGTCAACCCGCTGTAAGGTTGTCGGGTTGTAGGTCATACGATGTCCTTTTTCCATTTGGTTTGCGAAATGCCCCTATTTTTCGATTTTCCTCTTCGCTTAACCCTATTTTTTGAATTCTAAATTTAACATTTGAATATTGATGTCACATAAGTGTGTATAAGTTTGTGTTAATTTTCACTATATGTTGCATTCACATACGACTTGTTATTTTGGAGTAATTTTATATGTTATTGCTCATATGTTATATGAGATTTGATATAATTTATAAATGTATGAACAATATAATGACTTATTCATTTATCCGGACTAAAACGGACTAAAACAGTTGGACATTAACCCTCAACCCACTTGCTCAACCAGACTAATGGGCTAAACCGAGTAAACAACCTTACTCATACTACTCATCCCTTATTTGACCACCTAATAATTGTTATCTCCTTCCTTCTCCTTCTATTCGGCCCCCCTCTCAATTATTCCTAATTATAATACTCATAAACATAATAATTATAAAATATCCCAAACCTACATCCTTAAGTTGCCGAATATAGCATAATCAAGGGTTAATAACTTATTTTGGCCCGAACTATGACCATATAATCAATTTTGGCCCTTGGTTTCAGAAATTAACATCATGGTCTCAACTATGTAGCATATAGTCTCAATTAGCCCAACACATAGTTTGACCGTCAATTTGGACGGTCAACATCATTGACTGTTAGTCAACACGCCATGTCATTGCCTAGTCAACCTAAAAATCATTAAAAAAATCAAAATCAAATTATTTTGCGAATTATTATTATTTATCATTTTCAAATTAACCATAAAATAAATTTAAAAATTTAAAAATATAAAATAAATTTTATGTTTTATCTTTTGGGACATTTGAAAACGATAAATTTAAAACATATAATAATTTTTTATTTTTTGGGTAATTTAAATAATCTATAATAATTTGATAATTTTTGGTTAATTTATAAAAAATTTCATTTGAAAAAAATAAAAAAATAAAAAAACAATTATTTTATGTTTTTATAATTCTATTTTTTTTGGTTATTTTGATAATGATATATAATAAAAGTTAGGAAAATAATTTGACTTATAAAAAATTATTTTTTGGTTTATATTTATTTTATTTTCTAAATTTATAAAATTTAATGTAATATTTTTTGGTTAATTTATAAAATTAATTATTTTCAAATGTACCAAAAGATCAAACATAAAATTTATTTTATATTCTTTATTTTGGTTAATTTGAAAATGATAAATAAGAGAAATTAGAAAAATAATTTGAATTTGAAATTTTTAATGATTTTTAGGCTGACGAGGCAATAACATGGAATGTTGACTAACGGTCAACGTGTTGACCATCCAAATTGACGGTCAAGCCATGTGTTGGGCAATTGAGTTTATATGTTATATAATTGAGACCAAGATGTTAATTTCTGAAACCACATGCCAAAGTTGATTATATGATCATAGTTCAGGCCAAAATAAGGGCGACGAATAGCAATGCCCTTTGGAAAAGGGTTATAGGTATAATATGCCCCTTTACTATGACGTTTTATCAAACATGCCCCTCTACTATTTTTTACATCAAACATACCCTTGTACTGTGGGAAACTTATCAAACATTCCCTTTTGCTAAAATTTCCATCCAAAAACCGTTAACCAAGACCGAACTTTGGTTTGGGAAACCCAAATATCTAAAACATCTCTAATAATTTCACTTTAGAGTTTTTTTTCTTTTGTATAGCCAAATAATTATAATAATTTCACTTTGATGAGACTTAGAGAAATAAAGCAAGGGTCAAAACTGACATTTCCCCTCCCATTTATCGATGTCAGGTCATCTAAATCTCGGTTCAACCATGATTGACGATTTTTTTTTTCAATTGAAATTTCAATTGAAGGGCATGTTTGATAGTTTTTCCAAATTACAGGGGCATGTTTGATGTAAAAAATAGTAGAGGGGCATGTTTGATAAAAGGGTTAATACCTTGTTATGGCCTGAACTATAACCATGTAATCAACTTTGGCCATGGTTTGAGAAATTAACATCCTGGCCCGAACTATGCAGCATATAGACAAAATTGGCCTGGAGCGTGGTTTGACCGTTTGTTTGGACGGTCAACACCGTTGACCGTTAGTCAACTATCCAGGTCACTGCCATGTCAGCATAAAAAAATTATAATTTCATTTTTCTTTTTATTTCATTTACAAAATTGAATAATAAAAAAAAACTTTTGGCCCACCCATCCCCACCTTATCCCCTCACCTTCTTTCCTTTTCGATCAAACCCAAACAAACCCTATCTTCCTTCTTCTTCCTCCTTCTTCCCCGACGAGCCGCCGCCTCCATTCTCGCCGCCTCCAAACTATAACTCATCACCTGATCCCCTGCGCCAAGGAACACTAGTGTTCCCATGCTCTCCCCTTTCTCCCACGAAAACCCCCCTTGCCTTCCACCACTGGGGCCCCCGCTCTCTCCGCCGCCGCCGCCGCCCAAGCTTCCCCCGCCGCTGTCTCTGCCTTTCACTTCCGCATTCTCTTTCGCCTTCCCATTCCGCCGAACCAGGCACAAAACAAGCACCGTCGCCACCAGGATCAAAACCACCAATGCGGCCGCACTTGGAGCAATGATTCTGATCAGCTTGCTCCGCCGCCGCTTCCACGACGATGATTTTGAACCAGCTGCGGAACTAGGGCTCGGGGAAGGACTCAATTCCGAGCAGTGCTTCCCGATCTGTTTGTGTGAAGCGGCCCATCCCAGGGCGATTCCGCCACAGGAGAAAATAGAGACCTGCATCTCCAAAACAGGGGAGTCGAATTCGAAGCTTTCTCGACGGAAGGGAGCTCGAGGGAGGAGGCAGTTGAGGTTTTCCGGTTCACGGCGTTTGAGGAAATCGGAAAGGCGGCAGCTTTCGACCTTGACATGGATGAGCGGGATGCTTTCCCCGAACCTGTCGATGAGCAAATTGCCCGAATTCGTCCTGCCGGAGAAAGGGTAGTAGACGGTCAGAGTCTCGGCAAGAGAGCGCTTCAGGTGGGCGATGAAGCGATCGGTGGATTGGAGATTTGGGGTTTTCAGGGTTGGCATAGAAGAGGATGAGTGGAGTGTAGGTTAAGGGGAAGAGCTGGTCGAAGAGGCAGAGCTTGTGTGGAGGTTTTGTTTTTACGGTTTCAGGGGAAGCTGGTGAAGATGATGCAGGCGGCGGCTCTCCGCTGCATTTGAAGTCGGAGAGAATGGAGGTGGCGGCTCGTCGGGGAAGAAGGAGGAAGAAGATGGAAGATAGGGTTTGTTTGGGTTTGATCGAAAAGGAAAGAAGGTGAGAGGATAAGGTGGGGATGGGTGGGCCAAAAGTTTTTGTTTTTGTTTTTGTTTTTTTTAATTATTCAATTTTGTAAATGAAATAAAAAGAAAAATGAAATTATAATTTTTTTATGCTGACATGGCAGTGACCTGGACAGTTGACTAACGGTCAACGGTGTTGACCGTCCAAACAAACGGTCAAACCACGCTCCAGGCCAATTTTGTCTATATGCTGCATAGTTCGGGCCAGGATGTTAATTTCTCAAACCACTGGCCAAAGTTGATTACATGGTCATAGTTCAGGCCATAACAAGGTATTAACCCTTGATAAAACGTCATAGTATAGGGGCATATTATACCTATAACCCTTTGAAAAACAAAAACGGGAAACATTTGTCTTTTAGTGATGCTGACATGGATGCATAATTTTAGTTTAAAACTGACGTGGCAGGGTCTAAATCTTAAAGCCTTTTCAGAGTAACCCACTTTTTATATATATAATTGCTTAGTGTGCAACTGATTAGAATAAACACATGGCTCCAACCCCAACTTAACTCCCCTATTTATTTACACATAACATCGAAGGACCATACACACGTACGTTCCTATATATTTACATACATACTAGACACGACCCGCATCATGCTGCGGTCCATGTACTAAACACATTATCAGTGCCCAGGGACGGAGCCAACGTGTTAGAAAGTTCTAAATCTTGATTATGCAACATAAGGTAAATATACAAGTTGTAGTCTAACGGTTGACAGTCTTTATTATAAGCGTCAATGCAGGGGTTCGTAGGTCCGAGGAGACCATTTTGTAAGGTTGCTTTTATATATAAATTCTCATTTTGAGCTTCAATTTTATGTATTCACATCCTCAAATTTACCAAGTCGCTAATCTCATCCTCAAATTTCCAAGTTGCTAATTTTTCCTATAATTTGGTGACAAACGACATTTTCCAAGTCCCTAATTTTTCATATCCGGATTTTCCAAGTCCTACATTTTTCACATTTGGATTCATTTCTTCCTCCTAATTTTCTCAAAGTGTTGCTATAATTGAAGTCCTTTTCACCTATTTTCCCAAAGGCTACAATTTCTTTTTAGCAAATTTCATTAGTTTTGTGTCTTTTCTCCTAATAATGTCAAAATTTTGCTCAAGATTGAAGTTCTTTTGCCAATCTTTCTTTCTCCATTAGTAATTTATGCTGTAAAAAACAGCATGATAAATTTTAATTTACATAGTATTTTAAATAGTCTCAATAACTTTAAATAACTCATATATGGATAAAACCTAATATTTATATGTTCTCTTTTACGTTATATTATGACACCTCTAAAAAATTTAATTGGCCCCCTCCCCTACCTAAATTCCTGGCTCTGTCCCTGTCAGTGCCCATCAACCATGCATTTATTCATGGAAATGCTTGAACTTCATATAAGTAGCTTCTAGCTCTTTTGAAAATGTTAGTCACTCTGGTGTAAGGTTGTAAAACCGGTTTAAGACATTGAGCCGAACAAGCAAGGGGTTTGACTGAAATGAAAAATTAATGAGGTAGTAATTAAAAATAAGGTAGTAATTAAAAAATTAATGACTGAAATGAAATATATATTACATGTATCTATTAAACACTTATTTCCCACAAAATAAAACCTAATTAACCTCCATGAACCACCCACCATCTCCCTTCCTTCTTTCCCCCTCCTCCCTTCCCTCTCTTCTTTTCCCTTTTTAGGAGTCAGACCGGGGGCTTTCTAGAGGCCGTATTGAAGCCCGACTTAGGTCGGACCGGGTCCAACAGGGGGCTCAATAAGGATTTAACAAACTTGCTCCGGTGGAATACCGGTCGGTTGAATCTGGTTCAATCGGTGCAAGTCATCAATTCGCTGTGAACATCAACGGTATGATTGACATGATCAATTAATGAACTCTATACAAAAAGACGTTGTAATGAATTTAATTAATAAAAATAATTTATTTTAGTAAATTGTCTTATATATAATTAAATTCATTTTATGTTAATTGTTTTTCACATTTCTACATATTGTGTTATCAGTTTGAACCGACACAGACCAGTTGTCCATCAATCAAACATTTCACTTGTTTATAAAACAGGTTTGACAACCTTGCTTAAGAATCATTCCCATAGGCATGCGACATACAGAGTACAACCCTTTTCCTCTCACTTTTAACCCCCTTCTCAGTTCTCACTCTTCAATTTTGGGGCCATTTAAGGAGAATGATTTTGTAGAGAATGGGGCACAAATTCAGCTAAAAGAATGACCACGGTCCACGGCTGAACCCAACCAAAGCCCACGGGCTGAACCCAAACAAAAGGGCATGTTTGATCATTTTTACAAAGTACATGGGCATGTTTGATGTAAAAAATAGTAGAAGGGCATGTTTGATAAAACGTCATAGTAGAGGGGCATATTATACCTATAACCCTATTAATAATTACTATTATATTAAAAAGTTAAAATTATTTTGCACCCCCCTACTTTTTTTCCCAAACAACAATTTACACCTCTATTTGCACCCGCCTACAATTTACTCCCTCCTCAAATTTGTACCCCCTCGTTGCAAAACATGACCACATTTCCACAATAGATTCTAATAAAATTTTACTCGTCTCACACATTCCACCAGTTCAGTGCCTCAAATACCATTCTCATCCAGTAAAGATCTAATTGTGTTCCTTTGATGCCTAGTCTTTACTGATCTATGAAAGGAAAATGTGTTTGAGTCACCTTCCGTCAACCAAATTTCCCTAGACTTTTGTCTAAAAAATTACTCTTCAACTGCTAATTATTAAGCTCTTTGGAAAGGATACTTTCAAATCCAATGAACTTGGAGAGGTAGAATTTAGAGCAATAGCTTGAGCTTGAACCAGTTCAACTTCCTTCAATCCCATTCTTTCTCTCAAATCCGAATAAACCTCATGATTAAGCTTCTTAAGAAACCGTTTTAAGTATTCTAAGCTTTTGACACACTCTCGCAGAGGGGAACTAGAAACTTCAGTTTCCCAAACTTGTTTTAGCAAGTCAAGGAAGTTTGAAAGAGCATTGACGAGTTATTTTCACTCGTCGTGAAAATGACACCTATTGATACCGTATTGGGGCTAGCAACAAGTCTTAACTTGAGTCCTAAAGGTTAAGAAATTGGATGTGACGAATACTTTCCTTCATGGAGATTTGGAGGAAGACATTTGCATGGATGACGCTAAAGAAGTTAGTTGTGCTCTTGCTAACCACGTTATGCTGACATCTAATATGAGCCTGCCTATAGACAAAGAGAAGGCGGAGATGGTACTGTCTGTCCTATGTGCTTCAGTAGTGAGGAGTTTGATGTATGTCATGGTGTGTATTAGACCAGATATTGCTCACAAAGTTGAAGTCTTCAGTAAGTTTGTTTCCAAACTAGAAAACGAGCAATGTGAAGCGGTGAAGTGAATCTTCATATACCTTGGAGACAATGTTGATACGAGGAGGCCTACTTCTCAATACCTGATTACTTTATCAAGGGAAGCAGTATGGTGGTAGTCAAGACTACAAAAGTTTGTAGCTCCTTCCATACTAGAGGCTGAGTATATTGAAACAACAAAAGCGTATGTGGAGATGTTATGGGTGAAGAAGTTCTTGAAAGAACTTGGGTTCCAAAAGAAACAAATGCAGTTGATCTGTGATAGACAGAGTTTGAGTTCTACAGATCAGCAGCAAAGATGAGGAAATCTCTCATTTAGTCGGGCGAGAGAGAATTGTTGGGCCGAACAATTATGAGAGTCAGGAGGCGTTAGAGAATGCAGTGTTGGTGATGATAATTGAATAAAATAATAATAATTAATTAAACAATGTAGAATGTGCAAGCAGCAGTTGGGGAGGTGAAGTGAGTAGATGCGAATTCAATTCCCCTTGTGTACCCATTTGCCTTTAAAAGGCAGCTAGCTTTCCCTATGAAAAAGGATCCCTCTCCATTCCATTTTCTTTCTTTCCTTTGTGCTATGCTTCTGCTCGTATATCTTTTCTATGTGTTTCGGTTGTGAAACGATTTCACAACCACGGATAGATAAAAGATTTCTTGTGAGGTTGTTTGGGAAACACAGTGAATTCTATTTTCTTGTATCTCGAAACTTTCTGAGACCTACGGTTGTTATAGTGAAATATATGATACCATGTCATAAATCATTTGGTCCAATAACTCAAATTGTTAGGCAAAGGTCATATTGGATCTTATATCATTCTCTAACCAGCAACAACAAACCAGCCGAAAGAATAGCCGATGGCTTCCTTATCTTTTTTCTTCTTTTTTTCTTAAGCATATTGTATGCTGGTCTTCTGCACATCAACAGTATAATTTATAGCTGAAAAGTAAAACTGCACCCCCCATTCAAAATTTCCTGCCCATAGAGTGATTTTAGGAAGCTGATGTGGCAGAGTGTTAAGCGGGAAAAAAAGGAGTCCCGCCTGATTTCAGAACCAAAAAACTCTCCACTACCCACTTTTTTCTCCTTCCACGCCCACGTTCTCATTTTTTTTTTTTTGCTTGATTTCAGAACCAAAAAACTCTCCACTACCCACTATTTTCTCCTTCCACGCCCACGTTCTCATTTAATTTGTATTAATTTGTATTTTTTATTTCTGATTTCCCTTCCTTCATTCCGTTTTCTTTATTCTCTCTTACCTTCCTTGCTTCATTCTGTTGATTGGATTCTCTAGAGATCAAAAGGGGATTTTTTATTTTTCCCTTTCTCTTGAAAGTACCAAAGCTGCTTACTTTAAATTCCACTTCGCTTAGACTGTCTTCCAGAGAGCAGCCGACTGCCGATTTTGAGTTGAGTTTTTCCGGGCCGCAGAGAAAGAAGAGGAAAGAAAGAGACGTTCGGCGGCAGCAGGCGGACGAGAATTTTGGTGACGAGATCTTGGGGAAGGTGATCGGACATTGTGGTGCCAAGAGAATCGGCTTGGAAAAGGGGAAACGCGAACACTTTTTTGAGTCTTGATAGAGACGAGTGGCCAAAAAATAAGGTCTGCAAGTTCGGGTGATCGCTCTAATGGGAACAGGGGAAGGCTTTAAAGAGTTTTAGTAATTGCAAGTTTGATCACTCAGCTCAAAATCGGTGAAATAAACATATATTTGTGTTTTCCATTACATTGTTGTCCTTCTCGCTCTTCCTTTGCATCCCCAAGCTTGGAAGCCATTATGTTATATGTGTTTTGTTCATCAATTTAAATTATGCCTTATATAGTTATATTTTTCTTCGACTGTTATGTTTGTGTGGTGTGTTGTATGTGTCATTAACTCGCACAAACTTATAATTGGTGAGGAGTTCAACTTCTGTTGTAACAATTAATTAATCAACAGTATAATTTATAGCTGAAAAGTAAAACTGCAACCCCCATTCAAATTTTTTGCGCATAGAGTGATTTTAGGAGTCTGACGTGGCAGGGTGGTTACACGGGATTAAATTAGAAATCCCCGCGTGACAGGAGAGATAAGAAACCGTCGGTTCCCACTACTTTTTTTGCGGCTGAAATCATCTTCCGTCACTGCCAACGAAGGTTGTTCTGCGGAGGGAGTGGAGGTTGCGAGGCTTTAGGAGGAAGCGCTTGAACTCGGAGTCGAGGCGACGCTCGAGGGCTCCATTGTGTGGGGTGGTTATGTGTGGTTGCCGACGGATTACTCTAGAGCGTGGGGAGTGCTTTCTCGACAAGGTCACCGAGCTCGGTGTAGTGGGAGTCGAGGAGGGAGACAAGGACGGAGTTGAAGTTACTTTTGTCCAGCGGCGGTGGAATCGGGGTAAGCAGAAGATTGAGAATGGTGGCGCTGCGGTTTAGGGGAAGAAGAAGTGGGCAATGTGGCATTGGAAGTAATAAGGAAGAAGAGGAGAGAAGAGACACCATAAAGGTGTTCGTCCCATGGTGATTGGCGGATTGTCAAATTCCTCTCTTCGATGGTGAGAAAAGTTTTGAACTATAGAAAGTTAGAAACACATGTGTTTATCTCTCTGTTTACTTAGGTTTTGATTTAAGTTTTCATTCTGATTCATTGGATTCCACGGGGATCTGACAGTAGCGATCAGGTGATGCATACCAAGTATTCTCCTGGGGAAGGACTCTCTTTGTGGCTGTAAGGCTTGCTGATTGTGGATGAAGAAGATGGATCTTTCCAAGGAAATAGAGAATATGAAGTTATGGATCCGAATTAGGCCCGAGGAATTCCTTAAGTATGTCATCTCGATTTTTTTGTTTACTTCACAGAGAGTATCTCACGGTCTTCCTCTTCTTTGTCCCATATATCATTTAGGGGGAGAATGGGTGCTTCAGGTTCAAACAACACAGATTTTCGTTGGAGATTCATGGTGGAGGCTACGAACCCAAATCAAACAAATAGAAAAGGAACCATAAGCCCTATAAGCAGTGGTCCCTCCAATTATTTTGTGATTGAGTTTGTAGATTTCCATTCTTTTATTCTTGCCAGTTTACTCTGCTATTAGCTAAGTTTCTTTGGGTTCTCTCTATTTTCCTCCACATATGACATTATTTAGCCTCTTTTTAGGAAGCTGTTAGTAGTGGTGGGTGATGAACCCATTGGACAAGCAATGGAGATTCGTGTTGTGATGAAGGAGTGTTAGATTCCATGAAAATCACCAGGGCTTATCGTGATTGTTGGCAACTAATTTCTGGTAAGTTTTGTTGTAGATGAGGCCTCCCACGGTGAGATAGCTGTCAGAACTCAGAACTATGACTGTTTCAAAGCAGCCTCAAGATGGGAATTTGGCTTATGGTTTCCTGATCATTGGGAAGATGAGTACCTAACTAAAATCGTTTATGCCGTATTTATTCATCATGTTTTTTTTTAAAAAATATGCTAACAGAGTCTTGCTGTGTTGCATCTTGATGAAAGGAGGAAATCGAAGATCATAGCTGATGAAAATGGTGATTCTTTTTGTTTGTCTTTTCAATGACAATTTCAAGATCTATATCAGATTTGAGTTCTATCTGACAATTAAAGTTGGAGAACAAATAACCCATTTTAGAGCCTTTACTTATTCTGCTTTTGCTCATCCTTATAGCCTATTCTTCAATGAGTGGTAAGAGAAATGAACACGCATTACATTTTATTATTCTCTTTGGAGCAGCATTAATAGTTTTGTATCCTTTGAGGCTTGAGCTGCCTTCTTTGAGCTCTTTGGTCATGGACGAGAATCACAGGTAAAGAAAAGAGAACTAATTGATTAGAGTTGTTGGATTAAAGATACACATTTTAAAATGAGGTTTGTCCAAATAATGGACTCACTCTCTAAGCGTCTCTCTTGGTTAGTTGGTCTATGATTACCATTGTGAGTTCACAGGTCAACGCGTACATACAAGCAACAGTATCCTTTTCATGACGCAGCTAAAAGACTCAAAGTTGTTCCTTGGAGGTTGGAAGGAGAGGGATCGATAGGACAAAAGGTTCAAGGGATAATGCTGGTTTTCTATGGGGTTGCAGGCTGTCGATAAGTGCACCCGTATCATTTTCATGGTGCAGGTGAACCGCCGAAGAACCTTCTGCAGTAAAAAAGACAATAAAGCAGTTTGGAAGACAGATTAGGCTAAATAAGTACATCTTCCACTATATATTGTTTTCGAACTCTGTGTGAATAATGAGTATAGAGTAGAAACAGTAGACTGAGTTTGCTTATGTATTTTCGTTATTCTTGAACACTCAATCTCTTGAAACTGGCGAAAGAGCAGCTACCGGTGGCTTCTGTTCGCTGAGAGCTGCCTTCACCAATTTGATGCGGAGACCTTGACCTCTATTTGATGAGGTCATTCCACTCTGCCTTTTTATCCTGCTACAATTGTTCCATTCTTTTTGGTTGTTTGCTGTAATTTGAGTCTCATCAATTGCGTTTGGGTTTATGGTTTGCGTTTTCATTCTAATCCGGTGGATTACATAATTTATTTGCTAATGTCTTAGGTGCCAGTTTGCTATGGTGTTGCGGTATGATAGATTAAAATGAGTTTCTGGTAATGTCTTGCTTTTGTTCGTTTTTTGTTTGGTGTTAATAATCACTTTGGTCACTATATTTTTCATTTTGGTTTTGTGCTGCTACTTCAAGCTTTATATGGCTATTTCAGTTTTTTTTTGCGAGAACGCAGCATGCCAAAAAAATTCAAATGGGGTGTTTATGAAAAACATTAAAACTCCATGATTCTAGGTGAACACTAATTTTACTTTACAGGTGAAAGAGTGGAGAGCCGAAGGAAGAACCAGTAAAAAGGATGGTTGTTGTGAGATGATTATGTTTCCTTAATTACACCAACCAACAGGAATCAATCAATTCCATGAATAATATAACATATTTATGAAACAAACCAAATTTAACCCCATAAAGTAATTGGATGTCAGATAGATCTTCAGGGCTTCATAGTTTGTGATTTGTTTCTCTCATTTTGGTATGTTTCAGAAGATTTGGGGCTTAGTACAACAATGACTTTTCCCTTGAGGTTGATGATTCTATCTAACCTATAGTTTTATAATTGAAATCCCTCGACTGTTAGACTCCTTAATCTAGGTTCCTCTTTGTCAGTTTGCATTTGTTAATGGGAAATTTCGACTAAATACATTCCTCTATTGAGTTGTTATGAAACATAATACAATGCCTTTTTTGTTCGTTTGTGATGATACATAATACTTAGAATGGTTGAATGTATGTTTATGCTGATAAACATGGTTCACCAAACTGGCAAACTCTTAATCTTATGTTACTCAGATTCATGTGTTGTCTATTGAATTGTGCCGCGTGCTTGCAGTGATACCTAATGTTTCTGCTGCCGCTATGAGAACTGTAAGGGTAAGCAACTTAGGTGGGTGAAAGTGTAGTCAGTGGAATGCTCGCTAAAAAGCTCAAAGTATGGTCCATGTAGATGTAGTGTTGTTGGTGCTATATATGCAAGCAGCGAGGGAACTAAAAGGGGGATGGAGACATGCATGTGTGTAATTGTAGTTAATTTGGATAATTTGTGAATGAGCTGTCAAACCGTTCAGGGGATATATGAGTTTCAAAGTGGAATTTATGTGTTGGGTAAAGGGTTTATATAATTAATGGGGTAAAAAATTCGACGTGGATTGTGAGAGTACACAAAATGCTGCATAGTTTGGAGACTAATTACACTCCACCTACATGTGATGGTGGTTAATAATGATTAGCGTAATTGTGAATGCAACCATATTTAGCCAAATAAATTCATTCGAGTTCAGTTAGTTTTCTTCCATGCTTTCATTCATTGGAATTGTTTTTCTCACCTTGGTATCATTTGAGGGGATTTGTGGATTTAGCAGAGCAAACCTTTTTCCTTCTATCTAAGCTATTCTTCAAAAATAGTAATTGACAGCTCCCCAGAGCTTCTGTCTTCCTTGCTATAAGGTGTTTACATTGTTCTTATTTCCAGTCTATATGTCCTGACTTCAAAGTATTCACTCTTCATGTTATCTTTCCAAACTCCAAAGGGAATCATGTACAAACCTATTAATTGAGAAAAAAAAAATCCCAATCAAGTATAATACTTTTCATCAAGGAATTGATTATGATAAGTGAGAACACCATTCATCAATAAGGTTCAAGGTATACAAATTAAACTCTCAATATATTAATTCATATGATTGCTTTAATACTAAGAATTGAGTTTTATTTATCATGTTTTAATAATATCAATCTCGATTATAAAAAGTCAACTATTAGTTCCAAACAAAATCTATTTAACTATTTATCAAGATTAGGGGTGTTAGTTCGGGTCGGGTTCGGTTACCCAAACCGAAACCCGAAAAAATCAAAAACCCAAAACCAAAAATCACTAAAACTGAATCCGAAACTGATAAGGACTTGCGGGTTCCAGTTACTCGAAACCCGAAAATTCCTTATCGAGTTCGGTTAAAGCAAAACCAAAACCCGAACGCCTAAGAATACGGGTTGAGTTCTATTCATTGGAGGTTTTTAGCCGGAACCCGAAAAATCGATAAGCAAAACCGAACCCCAAACCGAAAAACCCGAAACAAACCCGAACTCGAAAAACCAAAAATATATATAATCGGGTCGGTTTCGGGTAAACCCGAATGGACACCCCTAATCAAGATATATCATCGAAATAGATATCTCAAAATATTCCGACCAACGGACGGGTATAAGCTAGTATATTTTAGATTCCGAAAACCTTCCTCCGTTGGAAGTGCACGCGTAGGAAGTGATTACGAAGAGAAAGAGAAATGATTTTTTATTTTTTTTATTTTCTGAAAGTTATTACCAAAATTGTAAAGAGTTAATGTTGATGGTCAACTCAAATATCAAGACATAATTATCCATTACTACCAAAATTGACGTAATTTTTGTCATTACTGATAGTTGGGGTCAAAATTATTTGTTTATGCAAAGTTGGGGCCATATTGAAGTATTCACTATTGATTATTGCGAAGGAACAAAAACTCGTCTTCTGAGTTACAGGGCGATGCATATTCTCATCTAGTAAGATATGCATATATGATGCTGCTCCAAGTGTCTGGAATCCCAGCAAGGCACCAATGTGTACAATCAACGAACCCATTACCGGCGTCACTGTAACGACCAGGATGCCCATCTTTTCTCAGCTGTGACAACGTTGTTACGTTCAGAAACTGAACTGGGCTTTTTATGCTGCTCAGCACTTGCTCCACTATGCTCAGCCTCGGCGGCGGACCGGCAGGATACGTCGATCCTGACATCGGCTCCGTTTCCAATGCACAATCTTTCAACTCCGGCTGGCCCCATTCAGAAGGACTATATATATTGACAAATTAATCAATGAGCAAAGAGATAATAAAAAAATCATCAAAATACAAAGTTAATTAGTTCGATTGAAGCTAACCGGTAGTGGTCAGGGTAGAATCCTTGGTAGAATACTTTGGTTTTGGCAAAATTCAGCACTCCTGAATCAACCCATTTCGCCCATGTTGTTAGGGCTTTTCGAAAGGCTAGGGTTCGGTCCATATCTCGTACGATCGGGTTATTTTCCCCGTCTTGAATGAAATCCCATCTAGATTTATTTTAAAAAAACAATAAAATCAATCGTATTAACAAATTGAACACGCGTGAATTTTGGTGCATGCATGCGATTAACTTGGATTCAAAAGCGTACCCTTTTAGATTCCCATTGACATCCCATCAAAACCCGATATTGAAGATAAGAACGTCAGCGTCTTTCCACACGTTGCCGTAGTCGTTTATCAGATGAAGTTTCAGTACTCGGCCGATTTTTTCCGTAGTGATTTGCGCCAAGAACCGGGTATAGAATTCAGCTATCGTCACTTCTCCATATTCCTGGAATTCATCAATGAATGTATTCTGAAATTTTACTATGTAATTCCTAGCTAGAATGAATTGTTCACATCCCATTACTATTATTATTTTGTACTAAGGGATTAGTTACCTGGAAAGTCACGTAATTAGAGTTGTATGGACCCATGGCGCCTGTGGTAATTTTCGAGTCTGGCCCAACGGCAGCATGAAGCAAGCATGTCAATGACTCTTGTTGGTTGAAAGAAATCGAGTCTCCAACAATCACTAGGGTTTTCCCTCTCAATTTCTCCAAGAAAACCTTCCCATCAAATCTGCAACATTCAGAGTGCGATAGCAGGATTCATGTTTGAGATTTGGAATTTCAAATACCAAATCATTTGTTTGGATACTAAATTATATGTTACATTCGTATTTTCCGAATTTGTGGGGTGAAATTTTAAATACATATCTAGTACTAAAATCAATGTAAAAAAAATATATATAAATGGTAAGAAAAATATATTTGAGTATTAAAATATATATTTTTTTTTTTGGAAATAGTAGTATGTGACCATAAAATTGAACATTAAAAGTAGCACAAGATTCCCACAATCAATATCTGCTAAGAATTTCAATGAATATCAAATGGCTATCTGCAAAATAAGTAAGAGAGAGTAATTAAGCACATACTTGGGCAAGTTGCATGCACTAGGTTGCCATCTATAACGAAGGTAACCGCGATCAGGGCGACCATGCTTGGCGCAGTCGAATAATGGGTTGATGAAGGGACATTGCGAGGAATCATAGACCAGCGGAATATTATTATTGGATGTGCTGCTGTTATCCGACACCCAACTTCCTTGGAACAGATTGCAGCTGCTGGGAATCGCGAAAACTTGAGGCAGCAACTGAGTTGAAAAGGTTGCAACAATAAGGATGCTCAAGTAGCTGACCAAACCGCCATGGCTTCTTGAGTTCCTCATCGGCAGAGGACGAGAAAGAATTAAGAGCTTTCTTAATTAATTGTGTATGTGATTTGGAGAAAGAATTTTAAACTTGGGGGGCCCCTGTGTTGTTTTTGCAGGATTATTGTGGTTAAATATTTGCAGGAGGAGGTTTAGGGGGCAACATGGATGAGTTACGAATTTGTTACTAGTGTAGTTAAGATGCCATTAATATTTTTAATGAGGTTTATGGATTGTAATTCATCAATGGAGAAGCCACCGTTACAAAGAAGGAAAAAACTAACCAGGGAAAAAATTAAAATTTTAAGTATTAAGTTCGCAAAAGAAAAATCAAGGAGCTCTTCTAATATTGTTCTACCCAAAAAAAATTGTTGTAGGGAATTTTTCATTTTATTTTTATTTATGGTACTTTTACATGTCGTACCTGGATGCTGGGCTGTGCTTGGACTGATGACAAGGCACGAGCATGCTTCGGACTCAACCCCGGGACTTTCAGATTCAAGATAATGGTAATAGGACTGGACCAAGCCCTTGTTCGCATAGAGAATGAAACTATTAATTTATAATATTTGAGAAAAGTAAAAAAATAAGGGAGGAGCAGAAATTTGGAAGCATAACAGGTGTAATTTGGTATTTTTGATTCTTCGTCCATTTTTACTTATGGTAGTAATTACTTTATGATCACTTCTAACAACAATAAATAATTGTTTTTGTTTTTGTGTTTTATAATATTTGAATTTATAATTCATTTATATTAGGTTCGACAAAATCCACTTATAGACCGTACCATGCCCGTGCAGTTTAGGTCATGCATGACCCAAAAATTATTCGTGCTCGTGCCTGACTGACCTATATACTTTGTACATGTGCTCGTGTCGTGCTCTAATCGTGTTGGGCGGCCCGGCCCGGTGCCTAGATACAATCGTTACTTTAATAAAAATGTCCGTTTGATAGGTCGATGTTTGACTAATTCAAAGGATGTGTAAAAGGTTACGCTTTTATGCTTACGCTTTTCTACAACATTTCGCTTCCACTTACGAAGTTTTCACCAATGGTGTAAAATTGGGACCTAGATGCTATCTTTTATGAAAATCCTATAAGCAAACATGAATTTTGTGCATAATTTCATGGATATGAGATTTTAATCCAAAATCGATGATAAACATTACAAGCAAACGACCTCAGAGTTGGGTTTATACAATACCCGATTCTCCTTCTGTAGCACCATCGTCATCGCTGCCTTAACCGCCATCTCCATTGTCTGGTTCTTTGTCTTTCCATATTGAATCATACCTTCGTCGGCTCAGTGCAATTAAAGGTTGGAGGAGGTGACAACTATTGGCATATTCCAGAAGCAAAAGGGTTGGACTTACGCAGAGTGATAATAGAACAGATGATGGCAATGTAAATTGAAAGATTAACTACCATAAAAAATAATAATATCGGAGATTTTATCGAACAACTTAACAAAATAGCATTTAGTGGCACAATAGTAATACAACCGCGGTTACAACAATAGCTAGCATACCTATTATCTATATATAAATAAAATAATAGCTCGGTTTGGCCCTGCTGCAGCTTTTGCAGAAACAGCTTCTGGCTTGAGCTTTTAGAGAAGTACTTTTCGAAAAACAAAAACAGTTGAGTGTTTGGCTGAAAAACTATTAAAAGTGCTTTTTAATACAAAAGGTTATGTAAAAACTAGTCAAAATGGATCTTGTTAGACTTCTTTTATATTAAATAATTTATTTTATTTTTAAAATGATATAAATGAAATAAAAATTATATATGTTGAAATAAAATTAAAATATAGTAAGGATAATCTTGTATTTTCCAAAACAGCTTTTCGCAGAAGCTCCAAATCGGAGCTTCTGCTTTTTATGTTATACAAAAGCGCTTTTCAGCTTTTCAAAAGCCGAACTTTTAGAGGTGTTTGGCCCTGCTTCAGCTTTTGAAGCCGAAAAACACTTCTAAAAGTCGGGCCAAGGAGCTTCTGCTTTTTATGTTATACAAAAGCGCTTTTCAGCTTTTCAAAAGCCGAACTTTTAGAGGTGTTTGGCCCTGCTTCAGCTTTTGAAGCCGAAAAACACTTCTAAAAGTCGGGCCAAGGAGCTTCTGCTTTTTATGTTATACAAAAGCGCTTTTCAGCTTTTCAAAAGCCGAACTTTTAGAGGTGTTTGGCCCTGCTTCAGCTTTTGAAGCCGAAAAATACTTCTAAAAGTCGGGCCAAGGAGCTTCTGCTTTTTATGTTATACAAAAGCGCTTTTCAGCTTTTCAAAAGCCGAACTTTTAGAGGTGTTTGGCCCTGCTTCAGCTTTTGAAGCCGAAAAACACTTCTAAAAGTCGGGCCAAGGAGCTTCTGCTTTTTATGTTATACAAAAGCGCTTTTCAGCTTTTCAAAAGCCGAACTTTTAGAGGTGTTTGGCCCTGCTTCAGCTTTTGAAGCCGAAAAACACTTCTAAAAGTCGGGCCAAGGAGCTTCTGCTTTTTATGTTATACAAAAGCGCTTTTCAGCTTTTCAAAAGCCGAACTTTTAGAGGTGTTTGGCCCTGCTTCAGCTTTTGAAGCCGAAAAACACTTCTAAAAGTCGGGCCAAGGAGCTTCTGCTTTTTATGTTATACAAAAGTGTTTTTCGGCTTTTCAAAAGCCGAACTTTTAGAGGTGTTTGGCCCTGCTTCAGCTTTTGAAGCTAAAAAACACTTCTAAAAGCCGGGCCAAACATAGGCAAATATATACTTAACCAGATCATACCAATTTAATATTGGTTGGCATACTTATTAGCAAGTTGTCAACTTAACTGAGTAAAATTGGTCCACACAAATTCATCAGAATATGGTAAAGATTAATCATAGATTCAACCAAAAAAAAAAATATAAAGATAAATATGGAACAGCAACAACAACAAACCGGCCGGAGGAATAGCTGAGGGCTTCCTTTTCTTTTTTTCTTTTTTCCTTAAAGGATATTGTACGCTGGTCTTCTGCATTTATCTTATAAATTGCGGAAAATCAAGTAAAATGATTCAACCGTTTTTGCTTTCTCCCTCTTAAATAAGCCACCCCTTCTTCTCCTGTAAACTATCTCCTCAATGGATGCCAAGCGAATTAGCTGCCATTTTCTAGCAATTATCCTCATCATCATTCTCCCCATCCTTTGCTCAGCCGGAGGAGCCGGCAAGAATTGCGACATCTTCACCGGAAGCTGGGTGTTGGACCAGTCGCCGTACCCTGATCTTTCCGACTACTCCCCCACCTGTCCCTTCATACGGCCGGAATTCGATTGCCACAAGTACGGCCGGCCGGACCGGCAGTACCTCAAGTACAAATGGCAACCCTCCGGTTGCAACCTCCCCAGGTACTATTACTATTACTGTTCTCCCATCATAGTATTGTAACATCGTACCGAAAGTTGTACAGAAAAAAAGTCACGCGCGACATATTTTGATGCTGAAATTACGATTTAATCGTTTCAGTATTTTTGTTTGTTTTTTTTTTTCTTTGGCTTGGATGCATGCAGATTCAATGCGATTGGGTTTCTGAAGAAGATGCAGGGGAAGCAGATCATGTTGGTTGGCGACTCTGTCACTTTCAATCACTACAACTCCTTGATCTGCCTGCTCCACGCCGCCGTCCCCAATTCCAACATCTCCGCTACCGACCCATGGCGTTCCGTCACGTTCCACGTATGCTATCAAACTTGTCAAACATCGCGCATACTATGCATCCAATTCTCGATCTAGCATTAAGATATTGAATTTTGAATTTTAATTAGTGACATTATTCAGATATTGATGATATAATATAGGATCGCAACTATAGTCAAATCGTTAGATTTCGAACCCCGATCGTAAATACTAAAATAGTAACCCCTAAACCCTGATTCCGAATACTTAAAACCCTCAATCTTTCAAATCAGGGTGAGTCCTAAATGATTTTTGTGAAAATTCGTGGGTTTTCACGTTCATTATATCACAAATGATGATTGACATTGTTTTAACATAAATTGTTTGCTCAAAATAATGACCATGAGACGAGTGAATAAAATGCACCTAGTGAATTTTTATAGTGTAACTAGCTTCAATCATTTTGTGTATTTTTCCAGCACTTTGGTGTTACGGTGATGATATGTATGAACCACTACTTGGTAGACAATTGAGGAAACAAAATTCAGGAGAGTCCTGAAGCTTCATTCCATGCATTATCTTAACTTCTAAAACTTTGGACTGTGAATCCTAACCCTAAAACTCAAAATTCTAAACCTAAATTTGTAAACCCTTCGAATTAAAGTAAATCTTAACTTATATTTGTGAAATTGATGTGTGTTTTTTTTCACGTAAATCTTAAATTATATTTTTTCAGGACTATGGAGTTACGGTGACGATATTTATGAGCCACTACCTGGTAGACATTGAGGAAACCAAAATCGGGAGACTCCTGAAGCTTGATTCCATCAGCAGTGGTGATGTTTGGAAACAGGCTGACGTGTTGGTTTTCAACACCGGTTTGTGGTGGTACGTTAAAGACGACCGAAAAGGGTACGTGAGTGAATCATCCACCATGCCACACTTCTTTGTCAATTTTTAATTTTTGTCATATATATATATATATATATATATATATATATATATTTTATTAATTATTTTTCCTCTTATTCAAATATCAGAGAAATTTATTGTTTTCATTTCTGTCCAAGTAATGTCATCAATGTTAGTCAGTTCGGTTTTGTTATAACTAGTCAATTATCGGTTATTATGTCGCTTAACTGACTAATCATATATAAGTAATATGATCTTACCAATCCTAGTTTCATACCTACATTTCAATTGCAAAATCAACTATGCTCTTGTTGATGCTTTCAATTTAGGGTTTACACGAGGAATTTTGGTGCGGGAGGGGGCGGGGGGAGAAGAGGGTCGGGGCGGGGATTGTTTATTCGAAGTTCGAGAGTTTTTTTGGAAGGACTTGGTTATTTTGGAGGAGATAACATAGATATTTACATTCGTTTAGTTATCTGCTAAACGTTAACCGACTATTCAATTATCCGTTATACCGGAAATCATGTCAGCTTAGCGATAACCGCACTGCTAACTCATAACCAATTAACAATATAATCATTAATCATCGATTATCAGTTAATTTATGCGTATAACCGCTCCGACTAACAGAATATCACCTCTAACCACCATCCTTTTTTTTTTTTTAACTTTTGTTCCCCTCACTTGAATTCCTTTTTTTAACTTAAAATCCCGTCTGACAACATTCTTGTTAGCTATGCAGGTGGGATTTCATCCAGGATGGTGACAACATAGTGAAGGACATGGACAGGACAACTGCACTCACCAAAGCTTTGGCCACCTGGCGACGGTGGGTAGACTCAACCGTCGACGTTACAAAAACTACACTATTTTTCGAGGGTGTTTTCCCCTATCATCACCGGTAAATTATAATCACAACTATACGGATGTTCTCGTCCTCAAATTATCACTAGGCCAACTTTTTTTGTGCGATTTACGAGTAAATTAATTCGCTAACCGCACAACGAATTTGTGTACAGTGGGTTGGAGTGGGGGAAGCCCGGACGTCGGGACTGCTCAAGGGAGAAGGTACCGCTGTCCGGATCGAGGTATCCGGGAGGTCCGCCGCCGATAGCCGGAGTGGTGGAAGGAGCGCTGAGGGAGGTGAAGAAGCCGATCCATTTCCTCAACGTGACGACGCTTTCACAGTTGAGGGTAGACGGACATCCGGCGTCGTATAGTGTAGGTCACGGCATGGATTGCACGCATTGGTGTGTGGCCGGGGTCCCGGATACATGGAATCAAATTTTGTACCTATTTTTGTTAGCTTGACGAAAATCGTACAGTAGAATAATGTGTGTAGGGATTCAGAGTATTGTTTATAATAAACTAGTTTGTTGTTGGAATGTAATATGTGGGTACGGTAGGAATGGACATTAGGTGAGTTGGGCCGGTTTTTCAGCGAAAAACTACTCAGTACTCACCCATGCAACCACAAGTAAGCTAGTGAACAAAAATGCGACACACACAGACATTCGAATATACAGTGAGTGGGGGTGTGCGAGTTAATGCTGTTTATTGGTGGTTTTGAGTGGGTAAAATAGTTTCATAAGATAGAAAACAAATCTGGAGCAAAATAAATTCATAACCAAACCTCAATCAAAATAATACCATGAAAAAATGTAAACTCTCATTGGCAATTCTAGGATAAAAGTTGCATAACTTGACAAAAGGATTTGGTTGACTAAAAAACAAACTAAGTGACCAAACTGACATGAACCAAAATGACATTTAAACGACTAATAGCCAATGGTTACTCTCATTCAAATATGTTTCTTCTTCTAGCAAGGTTGATTAGAGTACTACTGACATATCCTCCTCTGAACTAAAGCCAGCCAGCATATATACTTCAGCTCACCTCTTCTTCAACCTTTCTACTACTTTGATCACTCTAAGCTTGCTCCTCAGTGATTCAATGGTTTCAAGTTTTAGTGCTTAGATCATCACATCGGCCACCGGAAAAATAAAAAAAACTAGCCACTAAACCGGCTAGAAAGTGGTAAGTTTTCAACTTTGTTCAAAATCGAAAAACCAGCCAATCTTACAAGAAGCAGATTTCAGCACTTTCACACATGTTTACCAAAAATAGACACCAATCATGGGATTTGAACCATGTACCTCATGGTCATGACTCATGAGTTTCAAAATTCTACATCAATAGACTATAGATAATTTTGTGATATATATTAACTTTATATTTTATATAACTAATGCTAGATTTTACACAAACCATTGTAGATATTAGTAAAATTCATTTATATACTTTCATTTTTACGTATCTAATTGTTTGTCATTAGTTACCAGTTACTAACTATAAATTATTTTAGGTTCTTCCAAACTAATTTATTTGGTGTTGATGTTCCCATTTTTCTCATGTATTTTATACATAACTAATATAAATCGATTTTACCACCGATCATATCAAACCATTTATTTCATCTAAGAAAAGACCGTGAAAAAATGGACAAACATTCAACGGAAAAAATGGACAAATTCCTTTTCTCATGAACACATACAAGATTCGTCACTCCAAAAAGGATAATGGCAACCCCACCACTCACTATTTCATTTATTAACTATTTCAGTTATGAATTTCATAGTAAATTAGTAATATTAATAGAAATAAAATACATGTATATCCTACCGAGACAGCTATAGATATATATAATAGACAGATTCTGCAGAAAATAGAAGAAAAGAAACAATATTTTAAATAATAGAAACATCTAAGCGAAAAATGAAGAATTTGGAATTCTACACTCTCTATTAATATAAATATATTAATAGTTATAAACAAAATATTGCGTTCAATAGGATTTGAACCTATACCAAAGGTTTAGAAGACCTATGTCCTATCCATTAGACAATGGACGTCATTGGGTTCCAAATTTTTGACGATCTCATCTCTTGGTCATAACAAGCTAATAGGCTAAATTGCAAGTTTGATCACTTGAATTACTAGTAAAATTCATGTTAGCCACTAGAATTACTTTATTCCATCATTAGTCACTTAAATTAGGTTAACAGTTCACGTTTGGTCACTGGTCGTTAGTCTCCGTTAACTTTTGCTGATGTGGCGGTCAACTCTTATAGTTGACCGTTAAATGAGTGACGTGGCAATAAAAAAATATAATTTTTAATAATTGCCACCTCATTGTTACCATAAATTAAAAAACGTAGGCAAAGTTAAACTCTCGAATGCGTTGGGAAAAACGTGGATGAATCCCGTGGAAAGGATAACTCCGACGGAGAAGGCTTTCACCAGGAAGAACACGTTCTTGTTCGGGTGCAAGCTAGACCATAATCTTTTTCTGGGCGAGTACGGGGAGGCACACTCCGATTGCTCCCGCCAGTATAATCGACGCGATTGCTACCAGCTTGTACTTGAGGGCCGTCGCACGGTCGCGGTCCGAATCGTCAGTCTCGCACTCTCAAGACTACTGCCGGCGATAGTAGAAGAAGAAGGAGAGAGGAGAACGAGCCATTCCGTTGATTAGGGGTGGCTATACGGTCCGGTTCGGATAAATTGGAGCAAATTGATCTGGTCCCAGTTCGGTCTTTTCGGGAATATAAGGACCCAAGATTGGATTGGATACAGTCCAATCTTGATTCGGTCCGGTACCAATTTGATCTTTATTTTAGGTGTTGGGGTCTCTTATCCGGTCTTTATCTGGGTTTTTTTACCTCAAATCTAAGCCCGAATATGAGATTGAATTGTTTGCTATCCGGTCCCAATCCGATTCCGGTCCGGGTTATACGGTCCAGTTTCGGGTAAAACCAAACAGTCCGGACCAAATAGCCAGCCCTACCGTTGATCCATTTGCGGAGACGGGACGAAGCGTGTGGAGTGGGGAAATTTTAGGCTTTTTAGCTTGTGGGTTCTGCTTAGTGATCTGGTTTGAGTTATATATATAGTGATGGGTATTTCTTTCTGAGGAGAAATCTGTTTATGTTAGTCCCAATCATATCCCGTCGAGCACCTCCTGAATCCCGACTATCCGCCTGCTCGCCTTCCTCCTCGCCTCCCTCACTGTCGGATTGATATTCCCCGGGACGGCGTCCAGACTCAGAAGCAGCCGCACCAGCTCCACCGCTCGATCTACCCTGCCTCGGCCTCCACGGTGGAGTGGATGGGAATTTGCTTAGATCTAACTCATTTTTTTTAATTATTGTGAAATTATTAAAAAATATATTTTTTTGTTTTAATTTATTTTAATAATGAGGTGGAAATTATTAAAAATTATTAATTTTTAATTGCCACGTCACTCATTTAACGGTCAACTATAAGAGTTGACCGCCACATCAGCAAAAATTAACGGAGATAAACGATCAGTGACCAAACTTGGACTGTTAACCTAATTTAAGTGACTACAGATGGAATAAAATAATTATAGTGGCTAACGTGAATTTTACTACTAATTCAAGTGACCAAACTTGCAATTTAGCCAAAACTAATATATCCAAAGTGATATCTCTTTCCCCTTCAAGTTTACCTACTAAACCTTTGGGTTAGTGGATCATTTTCAATCATTCATTGAATGATAAATTACTACAAGCGACTGAAATACGCGATTTAAATAACGAAAAATACAACATTTAAAAATTGTATCTATAAAGATGGGAAATGTGGAAACAAGTTGAAGTTCCTATATAATTTGATGCGTTATGACCAAACTCAAAATATTTGTAGTTTGATGCGTTATGACCAAACTCAAAATATTTGTAGACAGTGTGTAGCTTAAGTTATATACTTATATAGGAATTCTTGGGTGACACAATAATTTAAAACCGGCCCGAGAACTTGATTTTAACCAACCGGCCATTTGGGTTGGACAGTTGGTGGCTATTGGCTAATGACCCGGATTGAACCTCCGAATGACCAGGGTTATTTTCCAAGTCCAGCCAAATTCTAAAATCGTCAAACGGACGCCATGGTTAGGGGTCTACATGGGTCGGGTGGTCCGGGTTTAGGCATTTTAATCACCCGACCCATGCACTACGGTTTGGGAAATATTAAACCCAAACCCACCCAAAAAAATCTAAACCCTACGGTTTGTTTCTAATTGGGTTGGGTCGGGTTGGCGATATTTTTAAGTAAAAACCCAACCCAACACAAAATATGTAATTATTTTACATCATAAAAATATTTTATAAAAAAATAAAAATTCAAACGAATAAACCGAGATGAAAGGTATCAAAATTCACAAATATTGTTTGAATTTTAATAAAACTTGATTTACTTCAACTTATGTCTAGTTTTTTTCATGCCATTTGTTGAAATAGGCTAAAAAGGTTACAAATGAACGCATCCATAATATGATATTCTTTTAAAATTGTACACAAGAAAAAAAAATACGTGAATCATAGCTATATTAAATATATGTCTAAACTTTAAGTCGAAGAATGCATTAGATTAGTGAGACTTTAATAGAAAAACATGGCGAAATATCTTAATTTTCTCATAAGTATGACTATATACGACATAAATATTTTTTTGGATACGAACTCATACCAATAATTGGAACACGGGTTGGGTCGGGTTCTACGGGTTGTGTAATCTAAAATCCAAACCCAACCCAAATGAGGCGGGTTGTACAAAAGAAAACCCTCACCCAACCCAAAACCTTCGATTTAGCGACAAATACGGGTGGGTTGGGTCGGGTTGGACGGGTGGGTCGGTTTGCGGGTGTGTTTGTTCACCCCTAGCCATGGTTACTCCAAAGCACCTATCGAATACCAGAAAAATCCAGACCCCTTAAAACCCTACCGATTTTTCTCACTTTCGCCTCTTCACAGCGGAAACGATAACCCCAGAGCTCTCCCTGCTGATAAGCCGATAACTTCAACCATGGCGTCTATGTCACTGGAGGTGGCTACCACCTTCCTGTCCTTCGCTTCTCGCCACCAAACTCCTCTTTTCAGAGCCCGCACCAGTCCCCTTCTTCCATTCGTAGCTAAATTACCCAAGTCCTCATCTACCATCCGCTCCTCCCACTCCTCGCCCGCTCCTTTCCGTTTCTCCATCAGACCTTCTGACGCCGGACGCCGAAGGTTCTCCTCCAAAGCCGCCGCCGCCACTACAGCCTCTCCCTATAGCGAGGAATCCGATGTCACCACGAAAATCCCTCCTGATGATCGCATTCCGGCCACCATCATTACTGGGTTTTTGGGTTCTGGCAAGGTCTAACATCAAGCTTTTTTTTCTTTATTTCGATTTTACAGTTGTAGTTCTTCAATCAATCTATTGCTATGATAGACTGCGTTGACGTTTGGAACTTCATTTTCGGTTCAGTTCTGCACTTAGAATTGGGGATTTATACTTGCTGGAAATCAGGTGATTATTTTGTTTCTGGTTTATGCGCAGACGACTTTGCTCAATCATATCTTGACCGGAGAACATGGCAAGCGCATAGCAGTGATTGAGAACGAGGTGACTTGGGATTCTTTCGGGTCAAAGTAGATTGCCTTTATTACTTAGGATTGAGTTTTCCTCATGGGTTTTGTCAGTGCGTTTGGATGTTCTGATGATCAAGGACTGTTTATCTGCAGTACGGTGAAGTTGACATAGATGGCTCTCTAGTTGCTGCCAAGACGACTGGAGCAGAGGACATAGTCATGTTGAACAATGGTTGTTTGTGCTGTACAGTAAGGGGCGACCTCGTGAGAATGATTGCGGAACTGGTTAATAAGAAGAAAGGAAAATTCGACCATATTGTGATAGAGACTACTGGTAGGTTGGTTAAAGTTACTTGAATTGGATTCATTCTATTCACTGAAGAGCCCAATTTTTAGCTCTCTTAAGGCGAGTTCTCAATAGAAGTTGTGTGTTGACTTTGCAGGGTTGGCCAATCCAGCTCCAATCATTCAGACATTCTATGCAGAGGATCAAGTTTTTAATGATGTCAAGTTGGATGGTGTTGTCACTTTGGTTGATGCTAAACATGCTACCCTTCATCTGGATGAGGTCAAGCCAAAGGGGATTGTCAATGAAGCTGTGGAGCAAATTGCATATGCTGACAGGATCATTGTTAACAAGGTACTAGCATTTGTCATGTTGAGCTGCCTCTCATTGAGTTTGAATTGTTCATATCTACCTGCTCCTGACTTCATGGGTATTTTATTTGCTAGACTGATCTTGTTGGAGAACAAGGCATTTCTTCCCTGGTTCAGAGAATAAGGGTTCGTAGCCGGTTTCTTTAGTTTCATTGTTTATCGAATTTTAAAACTGTGTTGATTTTTTGACATTTGGTTACACCTGCAGAGTATTAATGGCATGGCTGAGATGAAGAGGACTCAATTTGGACAAGTTGACTTGGATTATGTACTAGGGATCGGAGGCTTTGATTTAGAGAGGTCTTCTTCTTCTTCTTCTTCTTTAATGTTCTGTTTGTCATTAGTGCTTTAAATTTCAGCTTAGATATGTTTATTTGTCTAGAATAATAATCAAATCAACGCTACCTAAATTGTCCCCAGCTACTTTTACCGAGCTTACTGGAGCGGATTTCTTATTTGTGTCAATTATTACTATCATCAGAAAAGTCCTTCAGGTGTTCTGAAGTGGCCCTTAGATTCTAAGATTTAGGTGGTAACCTGAAAGTGCCATTCACAAATGGGCTCATATTATTGTTCCGGAGCGCTGCTCCTCTTCTGATTATTTATTTCTTTTCTTCTAATCTTTTTTTCACGTTAGGGATTTTACCTTGTTAACTCATAGAGGTTGTTCTCTTCTTCCTTTTCCACCTAGTGTTTTTTTTTTTTTTTTGGTTCGTATAGATGCTGAATTTGTAAACCTCTGCAATACTGAACAAGATTGCTAATAAGCTGCCTATGTTCAAGCTATTTACCGTTCTCTTTCCCCTGCCTGCTTCATTTTTATTGTCAGGATTGAAAGTGCAGTCGATGCAGATACAAAAGAAAGTGATGATCATGACCACCACCATCATCATGATGAACATGATCATCATCACCATGAGCATGAGCACAAACATGGTAAGTGGTAGACGCCTTTGAACTATTTTTATTTTTATTAATTGTTTTCTTGTTTCATTTCTTAAGTTGGAATCCTTGATTGATACTCTTAGGCAAATTATTGGTACTTTCCGTGTCAAAAAAATTATTACTGGAATAGTTTCAAGTCTTGTATTAGCTTCCTAAAGAAATTATTACTGGAATAGGGTGGAATTCTTGCATGCTAAGCTTCTAGTTTCTATGAGAGGGGGATTTTTCTGTGGAAGTTTTCACTTCCTAAATGGCAGCAAAATCACCAACAACATTAGTAAATGACAAAAGGATGTGCAAGTATAGTCATTTGCCATGTATTCTTATGCATGTCTGTTGTTCTGATAGTTTGTGATTTACTCCAAACCTAATATATGGCTATCTCTTACCTTGCAATACAGAACATCATGATGGTCATCACCACGCTCACGATCACACTCATGATCCTGGTGTTTCTTCTATGAGCATAGTTTGCGAGGGGCTCCTAGACCTAGAGAAGGTTGGTTTGAGCATTGTTTTTAAGTAACATGCAATACAGTTTGAAATTACTGTCACTGCTATGACTGCTGAAAGGTCCTCTTGTAAGAAATGAATATGGGGCCAAGCCGACAGTATTCATCAATTGACCGCGTAATGCACTCTGCTGGTTATGTACAGGCTAACATGTGGTTGGGTACATTGCTGATGGAAAAAAGTGAGGACATATACAGGATGAAAGGGCTTTTATCTGTTGAGGGCATGGATGAGAGATTTGTGTTTCAGGTAAGTGACCTTCCTTTCAAGTGCCTGATACTCTGTTTAGTTATCACTATTTATTCTTGCTGCAAAGGGTTTAGTTGGCAGAACTTGAATAAACTCAGCATGCCCTTTTCATAACGTAGTTATTATTCTTCAATCTTGGAACTGAAATATAGCTGCTGAAGGTGATAAATTGGTTTCATACTTTTTCTTAAGTGGATTTTTTGTTTCTTCTGTGTTCTTGGTAGCGTGTTATGTAGGTGGTATTAGTTGAATTTTGTGTCGTTTTTGCTCATCAAGGAACTGTTGGGTGAAGCCCATTAATGGTTCCTGTAAGTTGTAGCACATACTAATTTCCCCCTTTAAGTACATATCCCTACGGCTTTAAAATTTTGCATCTTAGATGTGGGCTAAGCTATACGGATATACCTCTTGTTTGTAGGTCCTTTGGTTGCGTACTTGCATGTCAAAGCAACCAATTCGATATCAATGTTTGGAATGGCCTTTCCCTTAATTCTAGCTAAAAGATAATAATTTCGTGGAGAAATATTAACTCGTTCGAGATATCACTCCTAAATAAACTACCGAGTAGCCGAGCTGAACCTTAATTTTCTTCTATAATGTCGATACCGATTTATTTATAAAGTTAAAAAATACAACACAATTCAAAGATAACTTATTCAGCTCAAACCAACATCCCACATCTCATGATAATGGGGAAATTGTAATCATTACTAACCTATAGACTCATCTGCTACTGCATTTCGACACCTTGCTGCATATTTTCCAAACCTGCTGCATTTTTTTCCTTGCTGAACCGTTCTTGCTTTACTGTTGTGGCATTTTGGCAGGGTGTTCATGACATCTTCCAAGGCTCACCGGATAGGAAATGGGGGCAGGACGAACCGAGGATTAACAAGATTGTTTTCATTGGGAAGAACTTGGACAAAGAGGGGATTGAGAAGGGCTTCCGCGACTGTTTACTGTAATTGCTGATATAACCTGGACGCCATGTCCTTTATTTTCTTTTTGCCGCTTACTACTATCAGTCTTTACCATCCCACCATGATCATGAATGGTGGAAATTGTAGACCTCACCGTTTGTGTCCGAGAATTGCCTGAAACCAGTGCTAGTCACCAACTTCACAGTTACAGCTTATAGCAAGGAGTCAACTGGGTTTGTGTGGAGGAAAATCAGGAAATGAATACTTTGAGCGTAAAGAGGGGAATTGGAATCCTTTGTTCAGTTGATCGAGTAGATTATAAACAACTGACACTCAGCTTGTGGGTCTTTGCCTCTTTGGTATCGTCTCCAGTTCTCTCTTTGCCTTTGCATTGTTTTCCTATTGGTCAATGAACTAATGCTTGTTCCGCTCTTAAAATGGGACTAGGGAATAGGGATGGCAATGGTAGGCTCGGGTGTGGGTTTATCCTATACCAACTCCTAATCTGTCGGGTAGAACTTTCTAGAATACCCGATCAAATAACCACCGGGTATGAAAATTATATAACCATACCCTACTTACTGGGTAATCACGGATATTCGGGTAACTATGGGTACGAATCCTAAACTATGAACTTATACCTTATACACATATATGCACATCCATTCACACAAATAAAAATAGCAAACACAATAATTGTTCTTGCTTCTACAATCCACACAAACATAATAATCGTGTACATCTTCATCATCAATAATGGTAGCTAAACTCAATTTCTCAAGCTAATCTAAATTTCTCAAGGGAAATTGACCCTTTGGTTAGCGGGGCGGGTATTATTGATTACCATACCTGTATCCTACCCTTTATTTTGAAACCGGCTATTAACCGTACCCACCCCTTAACCCGTCAAAGCGGGTAATTATCCTCGTTGACCGGTTACGATCGGGTACCCATGGTTACAGGTTGGATTGACATCGATTGACATCCCTAACTGGGACTAAATAACTTTCCAAAAGTACATTTGGAGCCGAACAATTTTCTTATTTTCAGCTCTACTCGAATGCAAATCTGCATACCATCTTTCATTACTTGCTTTCCTTCTCTCGTTGAATTTTGCAGTCTCCCCTATTTATTCTCCCATTCTCTTCTCTCATTAGCAATTGGTTAAGGCTGAAATTAAGGTGTTATTACACAACTTGTTAGCATATTGCAATGTTGTCAATCCAGATGATCTCGTTGGTCCAATTAAGCAAGTGGGTAGAGAGTTAAAAGTTTGACTGCTTTAAAACGGTTTAATTTGGATATTCGAAAAAGTCATGACACTGTTTCTATATTTATAAATTATTTCAAATTTCATCTAAGCATAAATGAGTAATGACATATGATATAACATTTTACTAAAATAACAATTTGCATTTGGATCCAATATATAATGAAAATTCAAATACACTCATATAACATCAATATTCAAATGTTCAACTTAGAATTCCGAAGTCAGGTTTAGGCGATGGGAAAAATAAAAATAGATGCGTACATCGGAAACCAATGGAAAAAACAATATTGTATGATCTCTACTCGGTAACCTTGTTGCGGGTCGACCCACGGGGGTGTGGCCCCTATTTTCCTCACCGATCCTAGGTCAAACTACGTCAACCCACAGGTTTTGACATAGTGCCAACACTAGTTCTAGCCAATAGAAATATTTCGCTTTAATAACTTTTATTTTAATGGGATGATCAAAATTCATGCTAGTTTAAGGGGCACACTTGTCATTTTAAAAAGTACAGGGGGACACGTATCTAGTGCGGTTATTTATTCTGCGTCCCGTACTAACCACAAGTATAGTATTATGAAGGAGATTAGAAAAATGCAAACTAGAAATATACAAAATTCCACCAGAAGTAACATAGAGTAAACCAAAAACTTATAAAGCATACAAGAATCTAAGCTTAATTTTTTTTTCATAAAGCACAACTCAAAAGTCAAAACTGACTACAAGTCTCTTGAAGTGGACAAAAAACCTCATAAGTCGACCACAAGTTCTCTAAATCATATAAGAAATATGTGCAACTACACCACAACTCTCATAAAACAGACTGGAAAGACGAGAACGCACACCACAATTCTCGTGGAATAATTTATACGGAGAAAATTTGAGTTGGGATGGAGAGCGAGAGACAAAAAGCAAAGAATTAAAGTCAACCCACAGATCGACTCACAGTCCCACGGACTAAGAACGTGTAACTACATGACTCCACAAAAATACTTTTACATACCATTTGGTATAAATGAATTCCTTAAGTTTTGAGGAATTCGTTTTGAAATGAAACATTCTTGTGTTTGGTATTTAACATAATTCATTTTCAATTCAAAATTTTGAATTCTATGGAATTGGAACTAGTTATAGCAATTTCGAGAAATTGAGATGAAATTTCCAAATAAATTCCACAAGTATTTACTAATTATAACACAATGATATAATTGTCCTCTTTTATTAACTAAATTATTTATATATATGACAAACCAAACGCAGGAATTCATTTGACAATGAATTCTACACACCAATTCATTTTATTTCTGAAGATTTGAATATGACATATCAGACACAAGATTTTCGTTTGACAATGAATACTACACCGCAATTCATTTTACAATGAAATGAATTCTCGATTCATTTGATACCAAACGTTTTGTTAATGTAGGAGTTTCTCGATTCATTTGATACCTAACGTTGTTCTATTAATGTATGAGTACATTACATATAAATTTACCTACATTTAAAAGTGGCCGCCATTAGAACTCTCTCCTCGTGGCAAGCTTGTTATCTGTTGGAGCTCCTCATTTCTCCCCTGAAAAATGCTTGAACCGCCATCGCTATCTTTCAAAAGGACACTCGTACGGCTGATCCAGGAATCCAAGTCCATCAGAAAGATGGAGCAAATCCACGCCCAAATCCTCACAATTCCAATTTTCTCCAAAACTGATCTACACTTCTTGGTTTCCCGACTTCTCTTCTTCGTTGCGATCCCCGATTTCGGTTGTCTCGCCTACGCCAAGCGGATTTTCCAATGCGTCGACAACCCGGATCTTCCCTTATACAATATCATGATCAGAGCTTATTCGTCTAAGTCCAAAGGAGATTGCAATGCGCTAACAGACAGGGCTCTCCCTCTGTACCAACAAATGCTGCTCAATGGCATTCAACCTGATGCCCTGACGCTTCCCTTTCTGTTGAAGGAGTGCTCTGCAAGGCTGGATATGAGAGCTGGTGTCAGTGTTCACGGGCAGTCGGTCAAATTTGGTTTGTACAACGATCTCTATGTTCAGAATTCCATGATTAGCTTCTATTTTGCTTTTGGGCTGATAGCGAGTGCGGCGAAGGTGTTCGACGAAATGCCCGAGAGAGATGTTGTCTCTTGGAACTCGATGATCGTTGGGTATCTAAGAAGTGGAATATTGGGGGAGGCGCTTCGTTTGTTTGGAAGGATGGAGGTCAGAAATATTGTCACTTGGAATTCGATGATAACTGGGTTTGCTCAAGGTGGCCAGGCGAAGAAAGCATTGGAATTTTTCCTTGAAATGCAGCGATCGAGCTGTGGGATTGATGAAAACAGACCAGATAAGGTGACCATAGCTAGTGTACTATCAGCGTGTGCTCATCTCGGGGCAATTGATCATGGCAAGTGGGTGCATGATTACTTGAGGAGAAGCGGTGTGGCATGTGATATGGTTCTCGCGACTGCATTGGTAGATATGTACAGTAAGTGTGGTTCTCTAGTTAGAGCATATCAAGTGTTCGATCAAATGCCTAAAAAGGACACACAAGCATGGACAGCAATGGTTTCAGCATTTTCATTACACGGTTATGTCGAAGATGCCTTTAACATGTTCGAAGAAATGACAGCAGCAGGTGTACAGCCTAACCATGTCACATTCGTCGGGTTGTTGTCAGCTTGCGCGTATTCCGGGCTGGTAGAGAAAGGCCGCCATTGTTTCAGCATGATGAGAACCACGTACTCGATTGAGCCAGAAGTGCATCACTATGCTTGCATGGTCGATATACTTGGAAGAGCAGGACTCTTTGAGGAAGCGGAAGAGCTCATTAGAGGTATGCCTATGGCCCCTGATGTATATGTTTGGGGCGCTTTGCTTGGTGGATGCCAAATACACGGTAATTTGCAGCTCGGGGAAGAGGTGGCGAAGCGGTTAATAGGCTTGGAACCGAAGAACCATGCTTTCTACGTGACTTTATCTGAAATATATGCTAAAGCTGGTAACTTTGATGATGTGAAAAGGGTTAGAGCCGTCATGAGGGAGAATGGGATAAAGAAGGAGACCCCTGGCTGTAGCATGATTGAAGTCGAAGGAGCTGTTTACGAGTTCTCGGTTGGCACTTCCCCTGACGTTATTGTACAGGAGGCGCTGACTGAAATTCTCAACAGTCTTAACAGTGAGTTGAAAATAATAGGTAACAGTGAGTTCTTAGTCGGCGCTTCCCCTAGTCTGCGCTGCGGCAGCCAAAGGGGCGAGGAAGCGGGGTTTCTGCAAGGTGAAATTTGAAAAAAAACTCCTAAACGACACCACGTCCGCACCCCAAATCCCCAATTCCATCGTTCTGCTGCTAAGTTAGAAAACAACAACGGACGGATCAAGAGCAGATCGTCTTCTTCACGGCCGCTGAGTAGCTGCCGTCATCTCCCACGCTATTAGTCCGCGAGTCCATGCCCTGCTCTCGATCGTCCCTTACACTCAATCTGTCAGCTTCTGTCTTCTTGCCTCTCACTTGCCACTAGTAGTTCACTGGCCGCGTTCGCCGGCCTCCTCTGTATCTCGCCGCCCACTAGGTAAGTCCTCCCTGACTCTGTTTGGGACTATTTGCTGCGGTTTTTAATTACAGCTTGTGCTCTGTGGTAATGTCTACGTGTTGGAAGTAGGAAGTTGGGCTTAAAAAGTATATTGCCTATTTGCCTTTGAAACAGGGGAAGTGCACGCAAATGTGGGCGTGATTTAAGATGGCAGAGTGGTGGGAACACTACCCAACAATGAGCCCTTTGCTGTTCACTACCCTGGCTACCCTGGCTATCCTTCTTCAACTTCTCGCCCTTTGTGTAGCTGTTTTAAAACCCTTTGAGCTCTTTGATTCTTGTAAGGAATGGCGGACTACCAACATGTACTGGCTGGCCATGCTGATAGAGCTCGCAGGAACAAGCGGAGCTGGACTGAATGGATCAAACATATCTTTGGTAACCAATGCTTACAACTGGAAATTTTATGCTATTACTCTCTTTTGGTTTCGCTGCATATTGCTTTTAGCTTCCATATACTATTGGGAGGTATCATTGGAATGTTGGTTGTGTTGTTTTCTGAGCGATGATGTTTCTTACATGGTGTTTTCCTATAGTTTGCCCTAGATTTGGATACAGGGAGCAACTCAAGAAACTATGTGCAAGAGCTCTTTAATAGCTTTCCAGCAACTGTAGCTGGAGGCGGGAAAATAGATGACTGACAGCAATGATGGTGAAGAATATCAAATACTCGAGCACGATGACTACGATGATTACTCTGACGATGATTACGAATGACGGCATTTTTTACTGAAGGAACTTGTTCAGAGTCTCATAGTGGTAGATAGTTGCTGAATGCAAGAACATAGTGGTAGCCGTAGGTAGTTGATGTGTGCACAACAGGCTAATTGGCTAAAAGAGGCTATCAAAGGGCCACTGCCCACCCTATTTGTTTGACATGGATTCACCATCTCAATTATGTTAAAACAATTGTGATGCAATTTGCAGGTCAAATAAACCTGACAAGTTTCATCGCCTGATCCAATTTACTGCCAAAATCCAAAACTTCTGCCGACTTTACTATTACAGATGGTAAAACAAATGAAGGGAAGACTGTACACAAAATTGAGAAGAATGAAGAAGCTAAGAGCATTTATTTGTGTACTTTCAATTGCTCTCTATAGCTATAAACATATAAGCAAAAAAAGAACTGTATGGTCTTTCCTTCCAATCTACAGATCCGCCACACGATCTTGTTTGTTCCCAGGTGCGATGAGTTAGAATGGTGAGTTCACTTTTCACTTAATCAACTGGAACCTCAACCTCCATTTTTAAGCCTGAATTCCCAAATACCTGCACCAGTAGCGTGGATACTGTAAGGAAAGTAGTCACCAGCTCCATCCCCACAGTTGAGATTCATATGAAGGCAAGTTTCGAGCTTTATGATAAATAATCTGTGGTAACACACCTTAATGAAGTCATCTAGCAAGAGGTAACATTCCTTTGTGTAACCTGCCTCTTTTAAAACTTGGGTCAGGACTTGCTGCAAGAAACAAACACCAGAAAGTAGAACCCTGCTCACTATCCGTGGAAATGCTTATAAGAAATCAAGCCGATCCCTGCTAGCTACATTATCAAGGCTCCAGCCTTAGTCCTGAATGACTATGATCATCAGACTATATGCTAATGTACGATATCATATATATTCCAGCGAGTTCAAAGTAGCACGAGAGGATCAAATTATACAGCACGGGCAGTAATCGTACCTCTCTTTGCTCATCTGACATGAATGAACCAGATAAATTACGAAGCACGTTTAGTATGTCGTTGAAAGAGACTTTTCCATTTCCATCCGAGTCGTATACTTTGAAAATCACTGGGCAAAAGAGATTTCACCACTCATCAAAAGCAAGAATGGCAGAGTAAATGTACGTTACTGCATGCTTGCAGCCCTAAACTGCTAGGCTGTTGCATTATGAATAGCAGAAGAAACAGTTTCTTGTAAACTGTTGACCAATAAATTACCAGTGAAGCAATCTAATACGTACATGCTATTTTCTGTTCTGTAGTGGCTTTCGAACTAAATGCAGATAAGAAAGCTACAAAGTCCTTAAAGTTCAAGCCGTCCACCATTTTGAGAAGGCGCTGCATGAATGAAATCCCCGTGTTATACAGTTACGATTACACTGGAAAGTCACAGAAACTAATGACAAATGACAAGCTACCCTACATTCCTCAAGAAAATCGAAACCTTCACATCATCTAATGGATGGAGAGATCACCTGAGAAAGTGGATTCATTGCAAACTCAGGCACCGATAGGAATTCATCCGCCGAGATAAATCCTTTCGCATTTCGATCAAGTTGGCAGAACCTTTGATACAATGACACTATTTCTTGTTGGGAGACTGAAGTTTGCAGTTGTAAGAAACAGATGTTAGATTGAGCATAACAGCAGGGAAAAACAAAAACCAACCAATAGGGTGCAGAATTGTTGGCCAGGACAAATGAAAGCAAGCAACTTACAGAGCTTGTGACAATGCTCCTGAACTTCTTCTATATCATATTGAGTTAGCATAGACGAGGCGTTCCCCATTGCGATATCTGATGAACGAAAGGAAGCTCACAAATTCGAGCACACACACAAATTACCTGTAATCCGTATTTCCCAGAATGATTAACAAAGTGAGACACACACACACACAAGTGATTGACAATGGACAATCAGAGACTATCTTCTAAAGCAGAACCAATGAACTGTAGCAGTAATCGGAAGTTTCAATTCAAGATTTTGGCGATTCCCCATCACATATCAAAACCAACCCAGTCTACTGGTATCAACCCAGAAGATAGAAACAAAGAGAGATAGAGAGCGAGAGACACCTGAGGCTGGGAACGAGGCAGGGAGAGGAATGATTTGGTCTCAGTGGAAGGTGGGTGGGGCGGGTTTATCATGGTTTATGTAAAAGCACAAGGAAAGGGGGGAAAAAGAACAAAGCGCATGAGTTACCTCGCCATTATCGACGGTAGGATTGGCCGAAGCTGCGCGCGAGACGATATTAGTTTGTCCTACTGATCCGAATACGGCGATTTTAGCGGTCCGGTTCTTGCTCCAAATTTGGCACTACCTGAGACGAAGAGAAGACAATAGAATAGACATTAACAAGCAATAGGGATATTAGTGGCTTCTTTGTGTTGGACTTGTTAGTTTGGGCTTCGAGTTGGGCCCATGGTCAATGAGCCAATAACAAGCCCGGTTAGATTAGTAGAGAGTTAGTTGTTGCTTAGTTGAGTTGTTAGTAGTTGATGGACTTTAGGAGTGTGACAGTTGAGGCATCTCCTTGCTTACTGCTTTGTAGGCCGAGCAATAGTGATTAGTGGCTTGTTTGTAGTAGTCATTAGTTAGAGCTAGACGTATTAAGTTTGTTTTTGCTTCTTCGATAAAACATCAGGTTTGCAAGGCAATACATATTACATTGTGGTATCAGAGCCTACACGCAAACTACTATCGGCGAGTAAGAGTGTGTGAGGTGAGGATAGTGTTTCAGGGTGAGTGCAAACACAACAGATTGAGTGAGGGTAAGGATACTGAGTGAGGATGAGCGAATCTGGACTTGCTCAGGTGGGATTGCCAAGGTTCGATGGCAATTATAATCGCGTGGAGTCTCATTATGGAGAACCAGTTGAGCTCAGCCAAGTGTTGTTTGATTGTTGTTGATGGCTTCCAGGAACCAACCAACTCCTGGAACTGAACTTTCTGCTGCGAAGAGTAAGGTCTTGGAGGATCTCATAATTAAAGACCTCAAGGCAAAGAACTATCACCTGGAGATACTAATACTATCTCCACGAAGAGTATTGCTATGGAGTTATGGCTTATGGGACCCCATGAAGTAGAAGTACCAAGGTGATGCTTGAGTCAAGAAAGCTAAGCTCTAGAAGCTCAGAAGGGACTTTGAACTCCTGGAAATGAAGCAAGGTGAAATGATAAATGATTATTTTGGTCGAGTTATGATTGTGTCAAATGCAAGGAGAAATTATCGTGAAGAGATGCCTGATGACAAGGTTGTAGAAAAGATTCCCAAGACTCTCACTGTGAGGTTTGACTATATTGTATGCTCAATTGAGGAGTCTAAAGATATAGACACATTATCAGTTGATGCATTGCGAAGTTCGTTACAAGAAGATTGTTATTAGCAGGGACGCGGGTTTGATTAGAATAAAAGTTGGACTTGGGACTTATAAGTTCAACTAGTTTCACTCAAATATTTTGGGAAGGAAGTGATGAAGATATGGAAGATTCTGATAAGGAGAATGAAGAGTCTGAATCCACTAAACCAGTTACTAGTGTGAAGAGAACTCTCACCACAGATAGCAGTTGTCCACACTGTAGAGGAGTGTATGAAAGCCCAGAATGGATACTTGACAAGGAGAACAAGAAGACTTTAAGATTTGGCTCCAAAGGAACCTCAAAGATGCTGACAAAGGGATTGAATTTGGCATTTGTGGAAACAGAGAAACGAAGAGGCCATGGAGGGTCAACCTTATTCTGAAGCGGTCCTTTTACCGAGAATCATTTCATGGTTCAAGATTTATGAGAAGGCTAAAAACAATGAGGAAAGTATCACAACATCAGCAGTTAGACGCCCAGTCAACAAACAAGTTTCATGGTGCCCGCCAGATAAAACGTGGATCCAACTTCAAACCGAAGACTGAGTTATCCCACCTTGAGGATTAGCAGCAGCTGGCAGGCTTCTTCGTGATCACTTGGGACATTGCAGAGGTGCCTTTGTCAGCAATCTCGACGTGTGTTCCATCACTAGTGTCGAGCTCAAAGGAGCGACAAAAGGATTATCTATGGCGTGGAACATGGGATTCAAGAAGGTCCACCTAGGCCTTGACTCCACCACTGCCATTAACATTATAAAAAATTCGGAAGAGGATGACCACATACATGGTTTGCTAACCAAGTAAATTAATGACCTACTGAATATAGATTGGGATGTTAGAATATCTCATGTTTATAGGGAAAGTAATTTTGCAGCCAACTACATAGCTAGTGTCGGGCACTAGTTTCCTTTTGGCATACATTTATTCTATGCGTGCGACTCGAAATTTTGCTCTTGGGAGTTTACCCATATAACCTCATGAAATTTTAATACTCCAAGGTTATCCTTACCTTTAGCTATTGTACATTACAATTACTCAATTAATTAACAACAAATCCATATTATAATTATTCAAGTAATGTGTTTACATGAGTTAGATTTTCTGTCCTTCCTTGTATTCTAGTTCCCTTTAATCTTTTCATGAAGTGTGAAATTCTTTGCTCTTCTCGCTCTAATATATGGTACTATATGATACGTTTGAAACGGTGGACAAGGAATTGATAACCGATATATATATTATGTTAAAGTTAAACGAAATTTCTCTATGTATTATTGTCTTTATGGCAACATTATGCTTATTAGTACATATTGTTCTTGATTGTGTACATATCATAAACATGACAAACAAATAAAAAAGGATAGCAAGTCTATTTTGCACTTTAGGTTCTAAATTCCAAATCCTTAAATTCATGATTTAAATATCTCAACAAATAAAGGATTGTTTCAAATCCACAATACCTCAAATCCTTAATAAAATCTTGGATTTTTAAAGCACAAATTCTTATTTTAAATCCATGAAGCAAACGGCCCTAAGGACCCAGTATGCTAACCAACACTTTGAGAGTTATGTGTCTTACGTCTTCCCTTAATTTTTAAAATTCTCAAAAATATTTTCAGAGCCTTATTTGGATTTAATGTGGAGAGTTACTGATTTAACGTCCTAAAATTCAAATACCATCACCCTAAATTCGTGCGAGCAGCAGACTGACTATGGCGAAAAAATGGTCAGATTATTTTAAAGGATTAGGAATAAGTTGGGGGCAGAATCGTCTATTTGGTAAGTGTAGAGGGAAAATTAAAAAAAAAATATATATATAGGGTGTTAAATAGAAGTTCGATTGATGAGGCTCCATCGCTGACATCTACAAATGCATTTTCTTTTTCTATTTTGAAATGTTAGATGTGGTAGTTGATTGTCACATCGAGTTAATCACTAACCCATACTTTAGCCAATCGAGTTACAGAGAAGATTAGTAGGTTTTGCTTAGCACGAGAAGATGAGTTCAGTGTTCAGAGACAACTATAGGACAAGCTCTTAGGTTCATGGAATTGTTTGGTGTCCCAATTGCAAGAAGAGGCCACAGGGAACAAAAGGGCCCTTTTAAATTATTTGGCCAAAATTTTGGTTTGGTTTCCCACTTACATTTTGTGCAGATAACATGGCGCTCTCAGTCGACCACACATTATGGACTCTTGACCAACCCAAAGTTCACCCTACTTTATTATATAAATAAATCATTCACTGGGTTTTGTTCCCTGATCTCTGGGGTCGTTTGGAAGTTGCGATTGTTAAATAGATGTATTGTTGAGAATGTATGTATAATATTATACATGTATTGTCGAATTTGATGCATTGTAGAATACAACGTTTGGTATGTGTGATTGTGTATGTCGCATCAGCTAAAAACTGAGACAAAACAATCTCAACTCAACGATCTCAACAATCACAACTAAAAGTTGAGATATAACAATCACTCAAAATGAGTGATAGTTTCTGTCACATCACAGAAACAATCTATGTATTGTTTCTGCTAAAAAAACAAAAAAAAAACGATGCATTGTAAACAATACATGCATAATGACAATCTCAACAAAACAATCGCAACTTCCAAACGACCTAAATCTAATAGCTATCTTCCACCATAAAAAGAGAAAAGGGTAACAAACAGAAAATACCAAACTAAGAACTGTACACTTGTTAACGTGGACAAAGAAACCAACACAAATAAATTCTGTTCAAACCAAGAGGAAAAAAGAAGGAGAAGAAAACAAATAATGGGATGTGGATGAAAAAGCAATCAACCGACATTTCTGTGCATTGTCGCAATTAATTACAGTGGTTTTCAACTTTCCTCTTGGGATTTTCACAATTTCGTAAAAATCATCTAAGTGGCATAATTTTTATTTATTTTTTTTGTGTGTAAACAATTTCCCATTTCTAAGAAAATATTAGAGACTAGTTTGCATGGATGGCTTATTGTTGTGAGCAATTGTTGGGAAGTTTGCATTTCTAAAGGTAACATGACAATTTAATACTTAGAAATTACTTTAGTTAATTATCCAGCATAATTCCTCCTCCACCACCCTATTACCAACATAAAAAAAAGTTCAAAAATAAAGAAAAATTAGAAAAGGAAGAAAAAATAATTAGTAGTTATAAGTGCTCTAGTTGGACCAGGAGATGTATTAGTTATTTAATTAATATTATAGTCAGGGAAGGAAAAAATATTTACAGTCTCGAGAATGAGAAGGAAAGAGGCTAAACCCTTAAGGTGAGAATGAAAGAGATTTGGTCGTGTGACTCTATTAGGGGTGGCAGTTTGGTTACCGGTTACCGGTTAATCGGCCGGTTATCTACTAATCAATAACCGGTCGGTTATCTACTAACCGATAACCGAAGTAACCGAACTTCGATCGGTTATCGGAGGCTGGACGGAATGGTTTTTGGTCTTAAAAGTGGTTCGGTTAACCGAGAAACCGAAGCCTATTTTGGGTGATTTTCGGTAGGGGGAGTGGTTATTTCGGTAACCGATAACCGGCTGATCAGTTACCGGTTATAACCAAAATAACCGAACTGCCACCCCTAGACTCTACAGATAGGTGCTTTGTCTATTAATATATACGCAACATGGGGTTGATCTAGTGATTCAGTAGGATACTATGAGCAGTATCCTAGAATTTTCACTCGAGCCAATTTATGTTTCTCGCTTTGTCTATTCAATTAGTAGTTTTCGTAGTATTTTAGGGCAACTCACCTCGTTAAGAAGATCATTTACTCGAGAACATCAAGCAACGTATCCAAAGTCCGGAGACAAAAATTCCAGTCTCGTAACATCGTTTATTTTTTTTGTATAGACACAATTTTACAAATAGAAAATTAAAAAATTTACACACTGATAATTCGTATAAGTTATCCCATAATTTGGGTTCTACCAAAATAATAATTAACAACAATATATCTCACACTTTAAAAACCTAAGGACAGTACACCAATCTAAGGCCTGGCTATATCTGTGCCTCTCCAGTAATAACAGAGAACCTTCAACAGCCTGGAGGCCTTTACCCTTCCAAATTGGAAAGGTCTATGGGGCCAAAGCAAAGGCCACAAAAGCCATAGCTCTCTGTTTACTGTGTGGGAGTCAACAGTCCAGGTTGAGTAAAAACTCAAAAAGAGCAAGGAAGGTTCAGCTGCCCTTTTCACCATTATTATTGTGTTTTGTTATAATACTATTCTCTGCCTCCTCTGGCCCTCCTCTTTGTCAGAGTCCTTATCCAGCCTTTGCTGTTATTATTCCTGCTGCTGCTGCTGCTACCGACCACCTTGACCCCTTCCACCTTGGATCCCACGTGGCACACATTTGACCTCTTCCATCTGATGAGGTGGAACATGTGCCCAATCCGCTTCCGCCACCTCATCGACCCGGCTCGTGGCTTCCCGTGCTCAACCACACTCATCATCATCTCCTCTTCCTTCACCTTGTAGCTGGTCGAAGAAGAAGAACAAGAAGAAGAAAATGGCATGATCGTGGTGGTGGTGTCCTTGTTCTGATCCCTTCTCTGGCTTTGGCTGTTCTTCTTCTTCTTCTTCTTCTTCTTGCTGTTCTTCTTGTCATGTTTTTTGGATTGAGAGACCAAATCCACACCTTTTTCCCATGAGGCCACCCCATTGTCTTGGAACTGGATTGAAATGAAAGAATCTGCCAAGAGAAACAAAGGTCATACCACCATTCGACTGCGAATTCCGTTGATTATCCGTATCTGACTTCGATTAGTAATACGTTTCTAATTTGGATCGAAACCCACGTGTTGAAACCCAATTAGGGGGACATTGATTTAAGCTGTTGAGGATTATTGTGCCTATATGCTTGGCCCTTTTTCAACATTTGTCAAAAAAAGATTTAGGGACCCCTCCTTGTGCTTATAATAATTGAGATCACATCCCATCCATCGTATAATAATTAAACCTAACCATTTGACTAATCTAATCAATAATGAGGATTAACATTGATTTTCAAAAAAACTGAATCACAACTGCTGTTATAGGTATCAATTAAACCACTATGATCATGTGGATCTACAGCAGGAGGAGGAAGCATTTCTTGACTTGGAAACATGGTTCTGCAAATTTCCTACTGACAGATCTCCCTTCTGCCTTTTCCTATATAAACATTTCCTCTCCCCAGTTTCTATGTATAGATGAGGGAATCTTATTCTTGACCACTGTTTTGTCAAAATCAAATCCTCTGGCAGTAACATGCATAGATGCTCTAATTGAATTTTTTTTTTTTTTTTTCTAATGGAAAACAGAGTGACCATAACATGGCTGAGTAATTAAAATTCGAATCTAAAATCTCCAGTTTGAAAACAAATTGAAAACAAGTCCACTCTTTTCGGTTTTTTCTACCGACCCATTTTCCTAAAATCACCAATTCAATCAGATGATGAACCTTTTCAAATCGACAATAACTACAAATCTCGAATTGGGTTAGACAGAGGTTTCAGGTTCGAATCCGGCTCGAGAGATCTGAATTGAACCAGAAAAAGAAGAAAAAAAGCATATAGTGAAAGCTTAAATTGAGAGAGTGTTACCTTCTAGAGTGCCGGTGGATGCATCATCATCATCATCATCTGCATCATCACCATAATCAGGGAAATGGTCGTCGTCATCGTGAAGATCGGATTTGGGTTGTCGGAATTCGAGCCTGTTGATGAGCAGGGAGCCGAGTGCAAACAGAATCGATGGCTTCTTCTTGTGGCGTCCCGCCGCCGTGGAAGAACTAGAAGTAGATGTCGGAGAAGGGGAAAGGTGGCGGTGCTTGGTGGCGGCGGCGAGGACTAAAAGGCGGTCGTGTAGGCAGAGCGGGCAGACTCCGACCACCGCTTCCTTTGGATGGAAGTAGCAGAAGTCGCCGCTGCAATTGCTGTCTTCCTTGTACCTGTTATTCATGCTGTTTTGGTTTCTGAGTTGTGACAGAGAATATGCAGAATGGGAAAGCAGAGGATTGTTGGATTTATATATATGTGTGTGTATAATTTAATTTGATTTAAGGATGTAAGAATGTTTTGTTTAGAGTTAATATGGAGAGAGAAATGTGGTTCAAATGTAGCTATAGCACACGTCTTAGTTAGAAGTGTCAAATGTGGGTTTTAAGTAGGGGTGGATTCGGTTTGGTTTGGTTATAACCGATAACCGATTGGTCGGTTACCGATTAACCGAACCACCATCTCTCCTACCGAACACCAACCGACGCCAATGCCTCGGTTAATCAATAACCGACCGGTCGATTATCGGTTAGTTGGTCGGTTAACCGAGATAACCGAAAAAATGATGGTGGTTCGGTTTTACCCGGGTAAAATTATTAGAATTGCCTAAAATGAAAGGTTCTAACTTACATTTCTACATCTAAATCACCAAATTAATGTCTCAAATTCAACAACATAAAATTATAAACTTCATAACCGGGTATTTTCACATCGTTTTGGTGAGGAGGGTGGCCGGTCGGTTATTTTCGGTTAACCGCATAACCAATTTTCGGTTACTCGGTTAACCGAATTACCTATTAGTAGCTCCGACCACCGACCGAAGCATATAATTTTCGGTTAACCGGTAACCGCCGGTTATCGGTTTAACCGGTCGGTTAATCGACAACCGATAACCGAACCTCCAGCCCTAGTTTTAAGGGGATGAACAAGATGGGAAATTCAAATGGGTCCTCCTTAACATTTATGTATACCTGTAATTTTGACTTACACATATTTTACTTTTCAATTGAATGCAAATCCGTTTTAAATCTTCGAGAATTATTACTCGCGGTTGTCGCTTTTATGATGCCGCATGCAGGTCAAATTCAAGTTTGTTGAGCCACGGTAGTCGGGTATGGCTCGGGGTGGTTTAGGGAGGCTAGTCAAGAACTCAAGATATCCACCAAGAAGCTTTGGAACGACTCCGACCACCGCCATAAGCAAAACAAAGGCGCCTCCACTTTGCCAGGATGCTACTGAAGAGATCACTGCATTCGTCGGGACTCAAACGCACGAGTCCTTCGAATCTCATACATCGTCTTCGTTCATAACTCATAATCCGTTAGTGTTTTAATAACTCTGGACAATCGTATAGAATTCAGTGTCCTGTATAGGATCAAATTTATATTTAAAAAAATATAACGAGCAGCCAAAGAAATCCATTCATATGAGATAATTCGAACACATGTTGCACTCTGTAAGAATACGACAAACGGAATGACTCGCTAATCCCCAATATTAACTGGTTTTAAAAAAAGGATTTATTGTGGTCTCTAATTAATTTATATGAAAAGATTTATTGGTTTTAAAAAAAGAATCTTATTTGATTCGGACAGAATTTTACAAACAGCTTGGTAGCTCAGGGGTTAAGTTAATTTAATGACCTAGAAACACACTACAGAAAGCTACGTAAAGACTTGTCTGTCTACACATGGTGGTTCTTCTCTTCTTCTACTTTTTCTTCTTTTTTTCATTTTCTTGATTATACTTTTTCGTAGTCATCTTTGGCAGATTTGCTAGAAATAGATAATTAATCGAGATTTCCAAGATTGACCTCTATTGGTAAAGTATTTATGTGCATGGAATAAATAGTCTTCCCTTGTTGAGGAAAACCAGAGATTTTTTTGGCTTTCGAGTTTTCGAGTTTGGAAGCTGCTGGCCTGCCTGGGAGCTTCCTTTCCTTTTTCTGATAATATCGTCAACTCATTTGAACATTTGTCTTCGCAGTTCAGAATCCCATAAAGAAATTACCTTACAATCAATCAACTTCACTGCCTTTGCTTGGCCTCCTTACTACAGTCAGACTAACTCCAACCCAAAAAGCTATATTTAGCATCCCTAGCTCTCAAATGTGCATATTTGCCTCCCCAAAACACCTTTTTGCTCCAACCCTAAACCTTCTAAATTTGCCTTCCCAATTCATAACCAACCAATCAAAAATTAAGAAAGTTAAAAAAAAAAAAAAGAAGATGTTGGAAAGTGGAGGGGCCCAGTGTGTGGGCTTGTGTTCCATGGTTGGTCCCCCACCTTCTCCTTGCATATCTCCATATGAGCTTCTATCTATCCACCCCCAAGCCCACTTCTCCAAATTTGCAAGCCAAATAATTGGTGGGTTGGAGATGAAAAAAGCCAAAAACCTCCATTTCTCCAAATTTGCATGCTTGGGTTGGAGATAGTCTTATTATTTCAATTGATAATAAATTAATAATCCAATCCATAAATCTATTATTGGGTCATTACTCATTACTAAGTTGATTTTCCCAACACATTACTAGCCTAACAATCACATCTACACACACATATAATTTTGTTTTGGGTACAGTCAATTTTTGAATGTATAATTATCATTTTGAGCACATGATTAATGTCAAAACGATGTTAATTGTCACTTGTATATGATGGACAAAAAACGCATGATTTAGCAAAAAAAAAAACTATTAATTTGAAGGATATAGAGTTTAGAGATAGGATTAGGGTTAGGGTTCAGATTTTAAGGTTTAGGGTTTAAAGTAATGCATTAGTTGTATTTCTATGTCATATAATTCTATTCGGCTAATACTACCAATTAACAATGTTAGAAGGTTAGTTTTGAAGTTGAGTGTATAGTATGCAGTCATTTTTCTACGTGCATTGTAGAAGCAACCTGTATATAAGTTCAACTGCCATGCGCACAGATGGGGTTTGGATTGTATATGTAGGGTATATGGTGCAGAAATGAATCAAGAAAGTAAATAGCAATGTTTGAGAAATCCTACCGTACTGGTCGATCGGATCGGATACCATATCTAAAATCTAAAACAGTTTTAGCAGTAGAAAACAGTTGAAATCAGGTTAAATCACGGTTTTAGTACATAATATTCTAACACTAATTTTTCTTTCTTTATGGTATAACCTTTGGTACAGTTCGACTAACAATGCAATGAATATTTTGACAATGAAAGAACCTAGGATTTACCGATTCAATGGTATACTTGATAATGTGAATAATATTCTCCCGATGTGTAAGCTTGGATTCTAGCAATCCGATTGGTGAAAAATATCGTGGTCGGACCGAAACTGGCCCAAGGATTGGGGGAAAGAAAACAACTCACCATATGAGTTCTCTCTGAGGGTGATGATTAGTGATGGCAATTTGAGCTCCGTGGGTATTACTTGATCTGACTCATGATAGGGTGAGTATTACCTGACCCGTAGTAGCGTGGGGCGGGACATGAGTATCTACTTTCGGCCCGACCTGACCCGTCATGTTTTTGTCTCATTCAATTTCTTGCAATATCTATTCATATTGCTCATATTTTGAATTTTCTTCAACTAGTTAGACTCGGCCTTTCAACTATATAGACTTAATTACCCGTTCTATTAATACTATTTTTCATTAATAAAGTGTTTTCACATTTTTTTATCATAAAAAGTAAATTTTGCATGTATATTTGCCAAACCACATATAAGAGTAGGTCGACCCGCCCCGCCCCGTCCCGTATTCACGCGGGTATTACCCGCCCCGATCCTCAGTAGCGTGAAACGGGGCATGAATATTGAAGTACCCGTCCCACCCCACCCTATTGCCGTCACTATTGATGATCATAGCATGGTGACCGTTTCACAAACCCAAAAAAAGTTCAATGACCCAATTTGCAAGTTTCTAAAAGTTAGCGACCAAAGTGAGACCACCTAATGTCAAACTAAAGTGAGCCACATGGGGAGAGTTTCCTTTGAGGAGAGCCTGTCAAGTGTCAAACAAGAAAGTTCCATCGTTTCAATCCTAACTAAAGGGAAGAAAAAAGAAGAAGGAAACTTAATTGGAAAGGGTCTCCCTCCAAGATTCAGCAGCAACTTTTATTATCAGTTCTATCTTCTAGCCCTTTGATTGAGATAGCCTTCTGCATTGTACATGTCCCCATAGGAATTAGGAAGAGAGAAAAAAAAAGGGTTTGTAGCTGGCTGAAGTCAAACATTGCAACGCCCACTTGAATTGGGACCTCTAGCTAGCTAGCCAAGGAAAAAAAGCAACTGTTGGAGGGGTCCTTTCTTTTGGACAGTGGTCAAGAATGACACGAGAGAGGTTATAGTCCTTCTCAACTCTGAAAATCAAAGATTAAAATATCGTACTGTATCAGCGGTTCGATCTGAAAACCCTCTTATCGTAATTAAAATTGGCAGGCGGTATTTAGCGGTTTAATACGGTTGAATCATGATTAAACCACGATTTTAGCATAAAATACCCTACCGATGACTTTTCCGGTATTTCAATTCTTGATGAACACTACGTAAATTACATGTAAATTTTGTAATAAATTTGAAAAATATAGTAGTTGCTAAGGATTTAGCTCCTCTTATCCGTGTAGATTCTATGATCACAAATTTTTAGTCTGCTTATTCAGATTTTTTACTCTGTCACTACTTACGGATTATAATTGTTATTACTTTGATTGATCAACAAAGTTGTGCCTAGCTTTTTAGTATAGGAGCTTGGGGTCCATAGGGAGTGGGGGATAGGATTTGGGATCATATATATCTTCAAGGTGTATAACACAAGGCATGTGAGAGTATGTGGCAAAAGCTTTTTGTTGGGATAGTGAAGATGACAACTTGAAGGGTTCTCTCAAAATCTCTTTATAACTCTATGACCACATCTATTATTTTTCTTCCTTGTATGCAAGGAACTCTTATGGCTAGATCTGTATGCAAGATTGTCAAGCACAAGTTCATGATTACTCGGGATGTTAATAATTAGATTTCATAGTTCCTGCCTAAAGCTCAAATTGATTCATCTTTTTAGGATTTCTAGCCATGCTAATGATGTGGTGAAAACAGGAAACAAATCCCTAAGTATTTGGGTAATTATTTCTCACGTTTGAGTTATCTTTCTTTAAAAATGTTGGAAGGTGATTTGAAACGCAGATTCTAACTGGTACTCGTAGCAGA